TTCTCAGCATTTAGCCTGGTGGGCAGATCTCGCCCTCACACGCGAGGCAAGGCTACCAAGCGCATGTTGGCGGCAGTGTTCGCCCCTCCCCCAAGGGTGAATGATGACTGGGCTTTGAATGTGGTATTGCTAGATGACACGGAAGCAGCGTTTAAGGTTTGAGAAGTTTTTTTTCCCGTTTTTAAAGGGATGCACTGTAATTTGTGGTTCAGAAAATGAGGCTATCTAAAATTGCAATTGGGAGAGAAATTTTGAAATGAGGAAAATGCTCAATCAGTCGCGAGAGCAGGTTGCGTGAAGACAGGTTCTTGGTAGTAGAGACTACGCCTCCTCCACAGAAGTGACCATATCGAGAGACAAACAATGATACTCAAGTTGAGCCTCATTTTCTTCTTAGTAGTAGCCACATTTGCAATGCGAAACCTGATTTTTCTTCAATGGGGTAAGATACAAAGTAGTCAAGTAAATTGTTATATTGATTTTTTTAGGATGTATGCAACTCTGAGGCAGAGCTTGGCCGATTTCCATTTTCTGCGTTCAAACCTGTTCTAGTGCACGGAGACGCTAGTGATGTCAGAGTACAGCTGAGAGACCTCAACAACAACTGGGTGGCTCGATCAAGCTGCAAGAAGGTAAGAACTTAGATATATATTGGACAATCGGGAACATTTTAGATCAGCTATCCTGAGAAGATAAGTGGTTTCACGTTTTAGGCTCTTGCAGTTGCTCATTCTTTCGTCGTTCTTTGAAGTCAACAAGTTTGAGCAAATTTGAAAAAGCTTGTAGAGAATTGCATTTAAGCCAGGAGTAAAATTACACCTGTGTTAAGGCCACAGGCAGGTTGCTAGCGCATCACAAGTGGATAGATCTGCCCTATGAATAAAGGGGTAAGTTTCTTAAAAAAAAACTGTGGTGCTGCGTCGTTGGGAGAGTATAACAGGGTAATTTCGTGTTATCAACTGAGTTGTTCACGTGAATTGGCTACCGTAGAGAGTTTAAAGGCTGACGTTTCGAACGTAAGCCCGTCATCAGAGTGATTGGCGAAGGGCTAACGCTCGAAAGATCAGGCTCAAACTCAGTTGATACGATTAAATTAAATTATCGTGTTCGATCTACACCTGGCGTGGATCTCAGCTACTCCAAATTGGATTCAAGTCCATATGTTTTCTCCTTTAACCCTTTACATCCTAACATCAGTATGCATATTCTCCATACTGTTCTCTATACATTTCCTGATGTGCTGGCAGGGAGAATTTGTTTTACAATCAAGAACTTTATTTAGTTGGTGATCATTTGCTATATTCTCATGACCTTAAGGTATCATTCTAAGTTGATGTTGTAGGGAGAAATTAGATGCAAGTCACTCTTAGGGGTTAAAGGGTTAACTGTTGAATTTGTTTTTGTGCAACAGTACATAGAATTCCATGATTCCTGGGAGGCTTATCGTCATGCTCCGTGTGTAGAGTTCTTGATCCGTGACCGAAACTTCAGCCCAAGTAGCAATGTGTGTGTGGTGGATGTGTTCCAAGAGGGTCACGAAGGCGAAACTGCCGCTGTCAGTGTCTCTACCAGGCCTCGCAAGGTACTCCGTTAGGAAAAAAGTTAGTGATCTCTCCTCCAATTTCTTTTTGTCAGATACACATCTCGAGGGTTTAACGAGTGTCGTGGAGCGCCACCTCAACTCAACGCTACTGTTTTGTGTTCATCGACACAAGTCTTGTCTTATATTACCGTTCTCTGGCAATTTTCTTTAGACAAGTCTGTCTGTCCAAAAATCGACATGGCACCTTATAGACAGGAGGACTTAACTTGAAAAAAACATTTGAAAGGGTTAAATTATGTTACTGAAGTTGAGTTGTTAGGGATGCTGTAAGGGGAATTTACAGGATTCAAAGAAAACCCTCTTCGAAGAGATTCCCCCTGATAAGTTCTGTGAGATAATTTTAAGGCGAAGACTTAAAATTGAGGAAAATAGATAATCTTTTCCTTTAAATGCGGTTCAAGTTGCCGGGAAAACCAAGTGAAGCGTAAAATGCTCGCAAATGATTCCTTCGGTTGGTGAAAGTGGCATTCATCATGAAGAATCTCTTGTTTGTTAAAAATGTTACTGTCTTTGATTATCGCTGATTATCGTTTCTTTTTGATTTAAAGCTTATTTTCAGCGAGGGTTAGGGTTAGTCATCCCTTGTTTATTTATAATTCATTTTTGTACGGCATTTTATTTTAAAATCTACTTATGATGTGTTTTCTTTTATTTTCGCAGATTGGAGGACAAAAAGTTCAGTATCTCATTTAAAGACGATGTAAAGTCAAAAAAGTCTATCTACTTGTGCCAAATTGGACGAATCTGACACCGTACAAGTGTCGCGCATAAGATATTTTTCTAGAAAGATGAGCAATTTTTGGCTAAGCACGCTTAGTGAGATACTACACAACACCCACCAAATGCATCGGGGTTGTCTGTCAATCATATTTGTCTGTCAACTGCTTTTCACTGATTTCCTAGCTTTTAGACCTTTTGCTTTTGGATCTTATCCTCTTTAACAGAAAACATCCTTTAAGGGTAACTTTTTGAAGGAGCCAATCGTGCAAAGACGACAATTTCTAGTAAATTTTTTAGGTGAATTTGCAAATCTATGCAGTGATACGATCGTCGGAATAAATGTATTAAATAGAATTGTAGCTTGAAATGATTTTTTTTTAAGTTTTAACTTGGTGAGATGATCTCGCGCGGGATAATTTTAATTGAACAATGAAATATTTTAATGGAATCGTACATTAGAGAGTGATTGTGTTGTAGTGTAACGAAATCGTGTAATTTTAGGACAATAATTAGTTTTTATCGCAGTACCGAATTTCCAGCATTGGTCAATTGTATCTTTCTTACTATGTAATCTCAGAAACTTGCACAAGAACACGTAGTTAGGTCTTAAAGACTAAGAGTTAAGAACAACGAAACTTATCAGGTTGTCAACCAGACCTATAGTCTGTGATGTCAATTTTTATTCTTGACGGGGATTATATTATGAACCAGGTTTTGTTAGAATTTGAACTAATGCGTAAACATTTATATGAAGGCAATCACGGAAACTTCACTGGTAGTTTTTAATCTAAAAGTCCGGTTGTTAATCAGACCACCACGCTGTATCAATAAACTTCGTACACTTTTACGTTCCGAGTTTAATTATTTGCGTTGGTTTGTTACGTCTCACTACAATCACTTAAAACATATAAGTTTGTTTGAGTGTCTCAGTGGTGTTAACCGTTAGCCGTAAAGAAAAGTGAACCGTAAAATTTTTTCTTTTCTACAATGTGTTATTTTGGGTTAACCGTAACCGCAAAGTAGCCCAAAGTTTAAGTGTTAGCCATTAAAGCTATGACCCCATTGAGACCCTCTTGTTTGTGCAAGGTTAAGAGTTTTGGTAGGTATTCTTGACATCCTTCCGCAAAATTTCTTACAAGGCCGAGAGCGTTGTTTCTTCCCTGCAGCTTGTCTCAGCCCTTACCCGTCCTACTGTTCCCTGGTCCTCTGTTGTTACACCCCTCCTGTTTTGTCCACCTATCGGTTTCTCAAGTTTCACCAGGGGAGTGGAAGGGAGGGGAGGGGAGGGCTGGGACTAAGAGAAGTCGCGCGTTTAAACTGTTGGATGTAGTGTTCCCTTGAATCATGACAGCACCTTTTTCCTAGCTGTACTTTAACCCTTTAAGCCCCAAGAGTGACTAGCATCTAATTTCTCCTTACAATATCATCACTGAATCACGCATTAATGTCATGAAAATAAAGGAAATGATCACCAACTGAAGAAACTCTTGATTGTTAGACAAATTCTCCTTGTCAGCACATTACTAAATGTACAGAAAACAGTATAGAGATTATGAATACTGATGTTAGGGTGTAAAAGGTTAACAGCGACTTCAAAGTGTTCTCCACGAGTACTGATCACTTTAATTGATTTGACCTCAGACAGCCTACGATTTATAAACAAAACTGTTTCGCGGTTTATTCAAGCATGAATTAACCTTTTCTGTTGAGAAATTCATAGATTTTGATTCAGAAGTGCCCGGCTTTGTAGTTTTTCAACAAGGACACTAGTAAGAGACAGGGAAACATAAGGAAATTTCTTGGGAAAAAATATTTCGTCTGTGAATAAAAAACGTTCACTCTCAGTTTAAGCATATTAAGCGATGCACATCGGCAAAACATCGCCGAGAGTTGGTAATGATATCTAACATTTTGGACACGAGTTTCCTTTTGTGCTGGTCGGAGGGAATTGAACACGCGACTTTTTTTTATGTAACTTTAAAGCATCAAAGATGGGAATGCTAGTTTGTGGGTGCGATGTCTGTGATATGGAAACTGATACTTTCAGCTTCCAGCCAACGAGGGTTTCGCTCTTACAAGATTGCTTAGAGACAGAGAATGATCCCTGATCCATTCTTCTGTAAAATTTAAGCATCACAGTTCTATAGGCGTCAGAATTGGTTTGTTTCCTTGGAGTCGTTATTCGAATGACGCAGATGATTCTTTCAATCTGTGACCGTTACGTAAAAGAAATCGTAGTGACAGAGGCAATCATCTAGTCTGAAGTGTTTATTTTTCATATTAACTCTTAAGCTCTATGGTGATGGAGATAACATTCGAAATCCGCTAAATAATTGATTCGAGAAGAGTGATGTGCCATTAATGTCCATAAAGTTCGAAAATGACGAGAAGGTTTTATTTAACTCTAGCTAAACAGGGACAACAATATTTGGCAAAAAAATACCTCAGTAAAAGTTTAGTAACTTTATTAGCTCGGCTTCGTAATCGCTAAACTTCGTAATCAATCGATATATTATGCAATGGAAACCATGCTGTTCCAATTTAACTTTGTTATAAATTTGAAACGGAGCCCGATCTTGGATGACTGTTTATCAGAACAATCCAGCAAAACTCATCATTTCACTCAACACCGCCCATAACACTTTGTGAAGAATATTTATGAGCGCGGAGGGTCTGGGTCGAGCTTGAGTAGTTTGTCAGACGAATAAGGGAGTGTTGTGAATGAAATTTTCCTCAATTTTCTCGTCCAAGGAGGGAAATAACCGGTTATTTTCCCGCTTTTAGTTTGTATCTTTCCAAACGGAGGACATTTTCGGCAGAAGAAATCATATTCATCGAGTACTTTGACGAAATCTTACTGACTTGGGCACTAAGTTGGACGCCATGTCTTGGGTGAAGCAAAAAGAGTCTGTGGATCTCGATCAGTTCCAAAACATCGATGAGGATTCTTTAGTGGAAGCTCTGTCTCCAGAGGAGTTGGCAGACCTCAATGCAGCTATTGATCCCGAGGTAAGAATTTATATTAAAGAAAGACATGCTGTCCCTCCAGTGATTCAAGTAATCATACCATCATGCCAAGTCGTAAGTCGCTCGCTCCTGCTGGCATCGAAGCATGTCATGTGTTCGATATGCTTTCTTTGCTTTTGCAACTCACCGAGCTACACATCGCTGTTTTAGCCTTTTACCTAGTTTCGTAAGGATGTTTTTGTTCTAAACGTGGATGATTCTTTTTAATCTCACATACATTCATACTGAGTGTATGTTGTAATAATTTACATTTATGATGACTGGATTCACGCACCCTATACTCGAACACAGCACTGATTTATAAGGGCTATATTTTGGATCACCTTAAAGTTAACTTTCGTTTGTATTATTTAACCTACAAAGCGAATGTAATGATCAGTTTTATGAAGTCAGGTCTTTTACACATTCACGAAGACGTACCTATAATTAGGCTTTGAGCGTGTGTTTATGTTAACTTTTGATTCGGATATTGGCCACTGTGGTAATTTTAAAAGTCGCTTTTTCTTTCATCGTCATTCATGGAAAAAAGCTTAACATAATTCCGCTTGAAGTGAATGTTTTTGGGTTGATATTCCTCGTCAATTACTTGTCAATGCTCTTCGTATAATGAGTGTGATTGGTCAGATAGTAAATATAGTAAACGATGCAGTTTGACAGCAGCCAGATCTCTTCATGGATACTGGTTTCCTTAGAATAGTCTCGATAAAGTTAGAGAAGAAATGCAGGGATTTTCCGCGCGGATTTTAATTTATCTCAGGAAGGAGTTACATTGACATGATAAGTCCTAAGTATTTTATAGCATTAGCTTAGCATGAAACTTTGAAAAGCTGGTTTTGTTATCTGTCAGCTTGCATGCATGCTAATTCTTATGGTGAGGAGATCTTCTTCTGTGAGTATTGCAAAGACTTTGCAAAGATGTTGCATTTAATTGTGCACTAAACTGATAGTAGAACAGATTTAATAGATTGTTCAAGTGCCTTGTAGGTCCACTTGAAATTGTGTTTTGTGTTATGGAGAAATACAGACCTATTTTTAATGGCTTCAACAGATGCTACAATTTAACTGGTCAAAAAAAATTGCTTTTTTGGTAATTTAAACACTCTTGCCATGCACTCTGCATTCTTGCACTTCCTGAAAGACTGCTTTTATTAACTTGATGTTGCATCCTGAGAACTAAATTTACTTAGAAAAGATGAAATACCTTTGCAGTTATGTACACAGCTAAAGCAGTTGTGAAAATGATCAGTTATCTAATTATTTTTAAAATTTGTGATTATTATTTTATTCATTCTAGTGACCTTTTAAGATTTATCCTTGTTTGAAATTTATAAAGTGATTGTATCCCCCAGCTTTCACACAAGTTCTTTTAGAATCTGAAAGTGAAGCAACTGACTGTAAACTGGTATTGACTAAGGTTCCAATTCTCATTAGAAACTCAGACTTTTGTTTTCCTTTCTTAACAACAAACTTTTAATATTTCCTCCACATTTTATCTCTTTAAAAGAATGCCCTTCTCCCAGTTCATGAGCGGCAAGAAAACCAGACAGAAAAGGATAACACTGGACCATTTGATCGACAACATCTGTTGGAACACCTGGAGGAACAGGCTAAGAATCTGAAAGAACGTTCAGATTATGTTCCATACAAGAAAGAAACGCGTGGCAAAGTTTGGCGGCCAAAGGAGCAGCCAGGGAAAAAAGATCCAACTCCACTGCTCCCTGATGATCTCAGTGAGGTTTTAGATAATGCAACTGATGAGGAAATGATGGAACTTGCAGGTAAATGAAACGACCATTGATCTCTGTGCAAAGGTTCAAGTGTTACTTTTTAGTACTGTAATCAGTAGAATATAGTTATCAGGAAATTCTAAGGGATTGACCAGAAGGTTCCAAAATGTGCTCTCTAGTTGCATTCTCCTTGTGGTGATGAAATGGTGTCTCAAGTTTGAGATTTCCAGTGATCACAGTATCAAGACTCCATTGTAACAAATCATTTGTATATTTGTATAGTTGACCATCTGCATTATACACAGTCTATAGCATACATAGGCTGCTGCATATTCAAGACAGACATTTTTATAGGAGTTATGTGTTTTAGCTTTTGTTAAAAGGAAACTTGTATCAAGCTTACTTAACCCTTTAACTCCCATGAGTGACCAAGACAGAATTTCTCCTTACAATATCAATACATTATCAACCATATAAGTGATGAGAATTAAGAAAACTATCAATTTGGGGATAATTAGTTGATTCAATTCTAAATTCTCTGAACTAACATGATAAGAATTGTATGGTTGACAGAAAGGAGAATTACAAATTTGATCAGGGAGTTAGAGCTAATACTTATATCAAAAAAAAAAGTTGACCAAAAATATCCAAGATCTGCTACCTGAAGGCAGAGTGTAATGAAATGAAATAGTGCTGTTTGTTGGAATCCTTCCCTCTTGAACTTGATTGTTTTTGATATTGTTCTTCCAGCAATACTTGGTGTGCATGGCATGTTAACCCAAACTCAGAGTCACTTTGCAGAAAAGATGGAAGCTGGGAAAGCTTTAAGAGGCAGTGGCTTAAAGAAATACAAACCTGGTGAGTTAAACACCACAGTACTCCTATATGTTCTCAGGGTTGTGCTCTTGCAAAGCATGGGTGCTATATACAACCTGTGCTTTTGTCTTTGGGAAACTTACAAAACTTCATATTTATGAAAGGGCTTAACCCTTAAACTTCCATGAGCAACCAAGGCAGATTTCATATTTATAACTTCTTCAAAACTGCTGACAAAAACTATAAAACATTTGTTAGTGGATTTGGTTTTAAGACCTGTCTTGATCACAGGCAGTAGACTTACAGCCTGTAGTTGTTAGAGCAGTATTATACTTATATTGCCTAGCTCATTCGTTTGAATCCAGCAGAGGACTGCCTTTGGTGAATTCAGTTTTAGTTTTCAGCTGCTAAAGTACAATGAAAGATTAACATCATTCCTTTTCTAATCCCAGGTGTTGTAAAGGCAACTAAGATAAAAAAGCCTGACCTCACAGCTGTAAATGAGTTGGACCTTGGGAAAGCAATGGAACAATTCAAAAGAAATGATGCAAAATTGACAAATCTAAACTTGAACAATCATAGAGATGTCACTACAGAGATTCTTGAAGATGTTGCTAAGGCACTGAAAAGTAATACCAATCTTAAACATCTTCAGTTAGCCAACACACAGATGACAGACAAGACTGCCAAGGTATTCTTTGTCTAGGATAAACTCTGAATTGAAGTGCATTCAAAAAACAGTTTTTGTCTCATTTGTTTCCAATTTTTTGACAATTTTGCTTGTTATTCAAGCAATAATTATGATCTTCAGGGAAAATCATTTTGATAGCACTACTTACCATGTTGCAACAAAAGTCAGTAACCATGAAAGACAGGACTATCTTCCCCTCCCCTGGTTGATAACATTGTTTGACAGACATCTACATTTTGTTTGAAAATAAATTTGCTGTTTGATTCTCTCAGATGTTTGCAGAGGCATTAAGTAAAAACAAGACCTTAGAGAGCATCAACCTGGAGTCTAACTTCCTGACTGGAGATGGAATCATGGTGTGTAGCTGACATTATTTCTGCAGTTCATTTTTGCAGTAACTTGTGGAATGTTTTGTTAAAATCTCAGAAGCCCTTGTTCAAGATGACAAAGGTTGATGGAAAACACACAGAAGCTATTTGACTAAAATATTAATCGCTTGCATGCAAATATGGTACTCAACAATTATATCTGAGAAGTTATACATGTAGACCAAATGTTTTTGGAAACAAGTTCTTGTGAAGGATATAATATCTAATAAACAAAAAATAAACACCCAATTTTTTTCAACTTCCAATATTTCATTTTATCTTCCTTGAAACTGGCAATATAAGCCTGGCATGTGATAAATTGATTTTCTTGTCTCCTTTCATGTTGACAGTTAGCTTTAAGTAACACATGATTTTTGGTGATGAGAAGCAATATGCTGATCTCTAAGTACTAAATAGCATTAATATTTCTCTATTTTCAGGCAATCATGAAAGTTCTAGAAACCAATACTAACTTGACAGCACTGAGGCTATCCAATCAGGTGAATATATATTTTTTATCAAAGGTGCTTGTTTACAACCCATTCAGTAAATAAATGTTGCAGTTTATTATGATCATGACGATAACTATGCATTCCTTGGTGGTCACATAAGTCTGTGGTCTTACAATGATTAAGTTTCATCCTCAATCTGTACTATTTAACATATTTTCTATTGGTTCTGGGATACTGAAAATGTGGTGAAGCATGCTGAGCAATCTTTTTATGTCTACAGCTTGTGTTAAGTTTGGTTACTCTGTGCTGCTTCATACTGTTGAGCCAGTTGTTTATGCTTTTCCTTATAGTCTGCCATTATTGGTAGTCAAGTTGAACAAAAAATTGTCACCTCTTTGGAAAAGAACAGAACACTGCTTGTTTTTGGTATGAGTTTTGACACACAAGGACCAAGAATCAGAGCAGCAGAGTTGATGGTCCGAAACAATGATTCAAGTAAGTTATTAATATATATTGGGGGAACAGGGGGAAGAAAGTCAGTTGGCTCTTAGATTTGCACCCAGGTTGTATCATTAGTGTTTGCTTGATAAATCACCTGGGAAGCAGTTAGTTATTGTTACCGAAACTCCCAAACAGAAAATAGTTTGCAATCAGTGACAATTTAAGTCTGGCCTTTTTGGCCAGATAGAATTAGTCTTAATTAATACCAAGGGAAAAACCTTTTCTTGTGTGTTACAAAAATCTGGTGTTGGATCAAGATGTCAACTTCTTCCTGATTAGTTTGAGTATTCTCGTTACCTGTTTGCGGGATAGTGTATGAATATTTTAGGGAGAAGTTACATGTTAATAATTTCTGGGAGTTTAAGAGTTAAGGAACCACTTTATGCAGGTTTCAGGGAATAAAGGGGTTGACTTTAGTGTCAGTAAATGTGGAAGGAATTGTTTTGGATTAGGGTTTCATGTCCGCTTAATATAGGGTCCCCTTGATACAGGTTTCAGTGTAATGTTTCTGTTGTACATGACCTTACACATAATGGCATTAGTTTAAATTACTGAAGTGAATTCTTTGTTTTCTGTTTTTAGTTCGACTGGACAGGGTAGAGAATGGTGATGTGAATGGAGAAGAAGATGATGCTATTGAGGAAGAAGACGAAGACGAAGAAGAGGAGGACGAGGAGGAAGAAGACGATGAAGAGTAAAACTTCAAATATTGTCATTCTCATTCTTTAATTAACTTCTGTGATGAAGGTTCACTCTATCTGCGAATAAATCTGTATGGAAACAGAAGTGACTTAAAAAATTATCCAGGTAATCTCCCTGGTGAGCTTGTGCCAATAGTGTCAAGACAGAACTTGTGTAATGTTCTTCAGCTTGTATTCTTTAATTCAAAGTTGTAGCCAGTGTTGATAATTAGGTAGCTACCCCTATAATGATATGCAGATACTGCTTTCTTGTTAGTATTATAAAGGGACTAACTTAGTATCAATCCATCATGCTAAGGGTGAGTTAGAGACTCATTCTTGGAAGTGAATTTAATAATTTGTGCGGAATATTATTAGGTAGAACTCAAGTATCGAGAATCTTTGATTTTCTTGTGGCTTCCTTGTAGGTTAAAGTTAGTTGTTGTAATTTTTCATAACGCTGAGTACGTTTGAGTGGACGGAGCAGTATAAAGGTGTAAAAAAAAAATTTAACTTTACACCTTCTGGTCGCTTAACTTGCGTTTCATTTGAAGGAGCTTCAAAAACTTTCCCAAGGTGGCGGTCAGGCTGGAATCAGATTCAATCTTCTCTATCTCTCACCACTGGTTTTACTTTTTAGTAAAACTACTTTTGTTTTGGTGTTTTTCCATCTCCAAACTATATATTTTGTGGCTTCCCTCACTTTGAAAGTAATTAATTTGGCGTATTTTATGAAAGAGACTGAATCTCATACTGCTGTGGGCTTGTTTCCTGTCAAGTCAAATAAAAAGTTTTCGTGAGGTATTCATCTTCTCTTCGTTCCATCTCAGGAGTTGTTTATAATGGGGGTGTTTTTTTCGTTTGTTGAAATACTAGCATCGACTTTACACTTAGCTTGTATTTCCTGGCTCGCGTAAATTCCCTTTTATGTGAAGTCTTAAAATGTTTTGTAACACCAAGACCGGCAACGTCTTGCAGTTGCTCTTTCTTCATTTTCATTGGTTGTCCTGGGAAGTTTCGTTTTCATCGTAAGTCATAATTCTGCCAGAGGCTTCTCGTTACTTGATTTCTTTGCACAACAGTGCGCAATTTTATTCTGGTTTTTTTTTTTTTGTTTTTGGTCATTGTCTTTTTCAGCCATTTACAAATTGCTGCTTTTGTAATATCGTAAAAGTAATTTGATCCTCATCCATTTTTAGGCAATTTTGAACACAAGTGTGCTGTATCTCAGCGATTGTGATTTCACGGCTGCGAAGGTCATGTCCTCTTAATTTGTGTGTAAATTAGTTTATTTGGTTCAAAAATACATCTGACGTATGTGTTCATTTATTCTTACAACATGGATTTACGTTTTGCGTTAAGCTTGCGTTTTAGCGCGGAAAGATTTCAATTTGAATTTGAACACCTTCCATTCATAACAGTAACTCGCGAAGGAAATGACTCATTTTCTAATCCTGGCTGACCTTGGGCAAAGTTTTTAACTAACTTTTCTCAAGTGGTTTCTTTTTTTTTCCGAGAGAAAGTTGAATATTTACAGGCGGTGGCTAGCGCTAGTTTTAAATTAACTCTAATCTGTCGAAAATAAAGGTATTGAAAACTGAGATGAATTTAAAGCTTTTAATCATGGCGTTATTTAACGTATTTTCTTTCTTAAAGACACGTGTTGAACGCCGTACCTTTGACGTGCACAATATACTTATTTCACTTTGGTATAGTGAAGTTATGGAAATTGTTTCAATTGCCGTAATTTATATTGCCGCCCTAGGAAACACGATCTTTTGGACAAGTGAGAGGTACAGCTGGTGGCAAGGGGAACTAATGAAAACTACAGTTTGTGGCAAAATCCTGTTAAGGAAATATTATGCAACATGGGCTGTCACGTTTCTTGATATTTTCCCATACCTGGTTCCGGCCAATCTTCCTTTTAGCCTGTCTCAATTACCGTGTTATTTGCCATACCGTCGGGAAGGGCACATGACAGGTACAAAAGTGTAAAACTGGCCAAGGCTGGCCACATTTTCTTGAACTAGACTAAAAGAACCGGCTGAAGAATAACCATACACTAATTCAAACATGAATGGAGCTTTTAGCAATATCTGTATTTATTTAATTTCTATCGAACAAGAAGGACAATTTGTTGCAATTTTCAACATTCCATTCAAAAAGGGAATAGAATTGTGGTTCCATTCAAACGGAAACTTCATGTAAAATTTGAATTTCCAGACAGGTTACAACAAACGCAACATTTCGTAACTTTCCCAACGTTGATGTGATCTGTCGCCATTGAAACAATCGACTCAGTTCATGATTGAATTCAAAGGCAGCGCCCGGCTCTTGAATTGTCTCTAATTGTATCCGTTGTTGATTTCCTCGCGTGGGCAGCTTAATTCACCTCGTGACGGTCACGTGTCACGGGCTGGCACTTGTTTCTTTCAATAGTTTGATCTCAATAACCGTTCTCAGATTGTGACTCTGGTTCATACTTCTCTCTAAGTTTTGTCAGCTGTATAGCGATCTGAGTGTGTGTTCCCTCAACTTTCGCCTTGGATCCGAGGCATGACCGGTACTGCTCCTCAGAAAGGCTAGGGTCGCACTTTTTGTCGTGATACTGATGGAAAAGATCTCTGTCAGGGGCACGAATGATTCTAAAACAGATTAAAAGTAAACAATACTGTAAATGCCTTAAATTTATGGCTGCCAAACCGTGGTGATAATAAATGGGGTCAGTTGCCAAAGAAACTGACTTGCTGTGTCGGTGGGGGTAGCACTTGGTTATTTTGTTTTTGTCAAGTGATTTTATGATGTAAATTGGCCACCGTGAAGAGTTTCTAAAACTGACATTTCGAGCGCAAGTTCTTCGTCAGAGATAAAACAGCAATAGTAAATAAGGGAACGGGTGTTGAGAAATTGTCGCGTGAGAGTGAATACGGAATTACATATCTCATGCAAACTGAAGAGGGTTTTTTTAAGTAGTTCCTTTTTAAAGGTATATTACCACTACACTTTATTAGACCTTGCGTAAATAACCGACCCTTTCAGTTTCGCAGGTTCTTTTTTGATTTTCCTCGGCGGGTATGACAGGTTTTTACTGTGAGGAGTAGCTCCTTTATATTACTTCAATTCTCTTATGTTAGTTTAATTAAAATGGTAATTTTATATTCTGGTTGCTTTTTCGTTGATTCATTAAAGACAATTAAAGGGAGACGGAAAAACAGCAGCTCTGCGTTACGCGACAGGTGAAAAATCGAAGAGCTACAGTGAAACATTAATATCACCTGATGTTTGCTTGTTGCAGATATCTTTGGTACAATCCTAAGTCTTCAGTTCCCCAGCCTTCGATGTTTAAATCAAATCCACCAACACGGAGATAGTCTGCTCTGTACTGACAAGTCATTCCAAACCCATATTCACGCCAAAAGCCGTACTTCCGGTCTACAATAAATTAAAACGTTGAAATCTAAAGAAACGTTCGAAGGTGTTTTTTGACATTTACAACATGGTTTTGACGACTGCATAAAACAGGGGAAAATGTCGATTTAGTCGAAATAAGTTTGTTCTACTAAAACCAAAGAGTGCATTTCACTTTGTAACGACCGTGACTATAACTCCATAAGAAAAAATAGTGTGATAACTTTGATTTGTGGTGAACACTGGACTGGTGCCCACGATTTTCGGTCCCCGCCAAGATAGCTACCGTGATGGCTCTAGCAAATCTTTGTTTTAAGCGTTTAACAATAAAATGTGATTTTACCATAGATCACCCATTGAAATTATTTGCGCAAAGGAAAATTAAATCTCTAAAGAGTACTGTAAAAAAGAAAGAAAGAAAACATAAGGAACCGAATTATATCCGAGAAGCTCTCAGTACTCGCAGCGCAGACAAAGACTTGCTACAAAATGCATAAACTTGAAGTTTCTTCGGACTGCTCTAGCAATTTTCTGCTAACTTACTGAGTGAATTAAACATAGAAATGAAATCAATTTCTTACCAATTTTGAGTTTTTCTGCGGGTGGTGGAATAGTTCCTTGTTCGTAAACATTCTTTGGATTAAACAAGCTGAACACCATCGGATAATAAATTTTCTCCTTCCTTTGAGTGTACACGCGACACCTTCGAAGAAAATCAGGGCGAATCGTTATGTCCACATCACAGAAAAACATTAAAACATTTTTCGGGCTGCTACTCCAGTACATGACACCATCATGTAAAGCTCTCCCCCGAGAAAACGGTTTATCCCGCATGATAAGTTGATACTTTTTAAAACCATACGTAACTTCCAGATCTTTGAGGGTAGTTTTTACAGTGTTGAAGTCCGAGGCTCCGTATAAGACCACTGTCAAAAACACGTTTTTGTCAATTTTAATGCACACTTCCACAAACATATCCATAAACTGTTGAAATCGTTCAAGGCGCCCAGATAAGGGAACAATTAAGTTTATAAGTTCATTCGGACCTCTATTGTCTTCTGGCAGAGCAACTGGTTGCAGAACACCTAATGGGCGAATAAGCCGCACTGTGATAAATTTATTCGCTGACGGATCTTTGAAATACAGTTCATAATCAATACCAGTGTTGATATCGATTCTGTAGACCCCATCCACCATGTTTTCGCGGCTTACGTGGTATGACGTGTTTGTGTTGATAAAGTTAACACCGATATCTTGTGCTTGGACAAGATGGCGCTCTCCGGATTTTACTCTCCGCGTGTTCGAATTTTGACCATGGAAAATATATTCTTTCGGTTTCTTTTTAGGGGAGTATTCGAAGAGATGCGTTTTGGCGAAACTCTCAAATGGAATTCGTTGCGATATATGAATATCGCTGATTTTTGGAGATGTTTTAATCAGGGAACCGAGTTCTTTCTTCAGGCCAGTGTTTTGTTCACTTCTACCGCTCGTGACCCCGTTAGAGTAACTCTCGACTTCCGCCTGTAATTGCGTGTTTTCAACCTTCAAGTTCCCAATCATCTGATTCAATTTCTCAGCTCGAGATTTTTCCTTTTCTAACTGAGCAGTCAGCTTTTCAATAAGACTATCTTTCCGATTTATGCGGGTTTTTAATCTCTTCACTTCCATCTGCAATATTGGATTCCCTTGTTCGGCGGTTTTTTTCAAGTCCCTTCGAATAGGCTGTGGCGATTCTATCGCTGCTTTTGTCCGAGACAATTTCACATGATTTGATTGCAAATGCTTGGTCCAGTCGTCTTTTCGTTCTTGTTGATTTTTGCTAAGCAGCTTGCCTCCATGATGGTAGATTTGGTAAACGAGAATCATCGCCAAGAACAGCAAGGAATACAGCGTGACTCTCTGAAATCGAGAAGAGGAAATCGCCATCGCTACAGTACATGTTCATCTTCTTATTTTCTGAAATACCATCTTCCTCAAAATCGCCGTGTCTCTATGATTTAAAAGATATCTCACAATCTATTTTACCGGTGAACATCTTACTTGGTGTAGAAGACACAGTATACGTCACAATAGAATTTCATCACAACTGGAAATAAGAAAACAATGGTGTGACGTATACTGTGTCTTACACCATGTAAGAGCCGCACATTGCTATACACGTTTGTCCACTTAGTGCTGGCAGGTTTATGGCGCTGGTACCCGTGTTCCACTGTTACGAGCACTGATTCACACCTCGTGCTCGAGCGACAACTGTCACGACTGCGAATTTAACTAAGAGATCGCGTTTGGTTTTTCTGAGCGTCACATGCTAAGATCGATATTAATTTGCGCCAATATACTGATGTAACTCGATGTGTACGGCTTCACAGCATAAACCTCATCGTTGAAGTATGATACAGTTTTCTCGAATAATCTTCGTAAAAAATTTTCATTTCTTAAAAGACTTTACAACCCGTAGTTTTTCAAAAGTAGGGGGTCTAAGCTTTTTAACAACAAGATAAACAGCTTTTGAACCGAACCCACTTAAGATTTGCAAGTGATAGTATCAAACGTGTCTGGAATTATATCATTATTCTATCAGGAAAAATTGTGGACCAGTGAAGCGTTTCAGAATCACTGATGCCTTTCTTTGAGGAAATACAATCACAAACCATCGATATATAATGAACATTTCTAAAATGAACAACATTCAATGCACATGAGTTCCTTTGTTGTTGTTGTTAGAGCGAAAAACCGTGAAAATAAACTCGACTGAAATGATTCCTGACGTCTCTATCTAATTTATATGGAAATGAAGCGTCTGCCAGTTTTTTTAGTAAATGAAAAATATCCGATCAACAGTCATGGCACAATACGCGTTAAATGATCAAATAAATTGCTCTGACTGAGAATTTCAATAAATCGTTAGCTTTGAATGAACTCCTGCGAAGCTTTTCTGGCTGACGCTTTTTGTTTGGGTGAGCTTTTAGGGGAAATAGAAAATGACTTCTCTACTTACAGCTTCCACGCTTTTACTTTTCGTAGAACATTTATAAAAAACCGAGTGCTATGCGGAGTATTTCCTGATAAAAGTTTTTTTCTCCCTGATTAGAGGAACCACCTACTTGACTCTAAAAAAGGAAAAAAAAAACAACAACGAATTTCCTAGACGCGATAGAGTTCTACTGCATACATGAATTGCTAAGTGGGAAAAGACCTAGGGTACCTTTCGTGAACAATTTAGAGATTTCTAAAACTTCAAAAGTTGAAACATCAATTGACATTCGCTTCGCTTTTCTTTACATGGGAGAAAAAAAGAATTGAAACATGCACTCACGATTTTTAACATAAACTAGCGCCATTTGTAAGGCTCTATCATAAACCTGTAAAATCTCTTGACCAGACTTAACATAATCAACAATTATTATTGCAAAGAAGTATTTTGAATTGATGCTAGTATTTAAAATAAAAATACTTAGAAATGGGGCGTTTTAAGGATTTCAATTGGAAAGTTATGATTTGTGCATGTTTTGCTATCATCGTGCTGTTCTGTGATCTAACTAAAAGTATTTGCATTTAAATGAAAGGCCATGAATCACTGAACACCCTAAATAGCCTCCCTTTGTAACTGAAACCCTTTAAAATCGATTATTACGTGAATCTAGGTAAATAATGATTCTGTGTAAAATCTTTCAGTTACCTTCGTTGCCTTGAAAGTGTTCAGGGCCGTAGCTAGCATAAGGCAAGACGAGGCAACTGCTTCGTCTTGATTTTGGTCCAAGATTCACTTTTCTGAAGAAAAATGCCACGGAAAATGCTTAAAAGAGCATTTCTGAGCCTCTAGATTTCCAGACCCCCTTAGCGGCTCGCGCCTTCGGCGCTCGAAACTTGCCCCGTCTTGTTCTGAAGTCTGGCTACGGCCCTGGTGTTCACCATAAACTGAAGAAAATTATAGCCAATCGACCGGATAGTACTGAATAGGGGACTAAAATGAACGCGTTCATTTTTTCGAAAGGTAATTTACTCATTGTAAAAGGATTTGAAGAGATTCATGAGTTATTCACACCGTGGAGTAGTTCATCGCCGTACGATCCGAGCGCCGTGCAATTGAAAAGGTTGATGCGTCAGAGAAGGACTGTTTAAGAGGAGTACTTAAGGAACGTCTACGAACTTTTAAAAGCCAAAAATAGAGCGAGCTTTGATGTTAACTCTTGAAAGAGAATATGAAATAATATAAGTGCCCTATAGTGAGCAATTAAAAATGTGGGTAGCTGTGAAATTGAGTGATATCGATTAAGTTTTATTCAATCGGATATCATCATGCAAAGCCTTATAGGTGACTAGCTCGCGATAAAGAACTGGAAGGAATATTGCCAACAAGACAAACAACTTAAATAAACGACGACGCGGAAGTTTAGTGTCTGAATCAATCTTCAAATGGATCTCACGCGTCTCCAATGCGAGCTGCAATGATTCACACATGGTTGAAGTAGCGTTGTCATCGAAAAATCGAAAAAAAAACTTCAAAGCCAAATAGGAATAATCAGCATATGAATAATCTTTTTAACAGATCCTCCTAACTGACGAAATGAATGCTTAAAAAGCCTGAGTGATTCCTTTGGCTTTTGTTTTTATCTCTCTTGATTTTTCTTCACGACAACCTGAATTTGTTCGTATGTAAACAAACGATGTCTTCAACTTGGCTCTCAGTTATATACAGTAAACACTCCGTGCAACTGGGAATTCCTGTTTCTGAGCTCTGCGACAATCAGCGGCGCAAGCAAAATAATAAAGTTTGAAATTATTCTTTTTTCACAGACCTTTTAAATTAACAAGCTGGCAAGAGTTAGAGAAACCAAAACACAGCAGAACGGTTGCGTTTTTAAATTTCATTCGAATCTGAGGGTAAATTTTGAGTACAAATCACGGCGCAGGCAAAAGATGTCGCCGTTATGTTGGAATAATAACTGGCAAACATTTATGTGTTGCTAAGAATCGGGTCTAAAGGTTTCGTGGTACACGAGGAAGAAAATTTTTGACTCATCGTTTGCATGTACTTAAAGTAACCCACGCGCATGTGTTTTTTGCAACTCTGCTTTAACTTAAAATTCACCCAGTAAGCTGTAGTTGCTATCAGCTGTATTTGAGCAACTCTTATGCCTCCCTCGTGATACCCTAACTTCCCAAACGCATTCATAACGCGACTGTGCACGCTAAGCATAACTTGAGTGATCAATTTCATCGTAAGCCCTTTTCATGTCCTTTTCACTTGCCAGCTTTGTCAGTTATAAAGGAGTGCTTATGGTAAGTAATAAGCATTCAAAGTGGTAAAAGTGTTAAGAAATTTGTAAAAGAAAAAATTCGATTTTGAAGCCTCTGAGAGTAAAGTGAAAGTTTGAACTTCGTAAACTTTCACGTAAATTGTCCATTTTATATCAAGGAGGTGTATGATATCATTCGTTGTTGCCTTTACGACGTTGTTTCTCCAGGGGAAATTTACTACAACGTGCAGTAAACGCGCAGTTCTCAACAGAAAATTTCTCACAAATATTTGTGAGGAGAATATTTCCTTGAAGGCAAATTTCTCCCTCCAGCATAGTCATCCGGGTTTTGAAATTGTTAAACTGGTACAAATTTTCGCTTTAAGGTTTGTTAATACGGAATGCAACTAAGCCTGCAAACATAGTCATCAATTCCCACCCCTCATAAACGGGCTACTCACAAGTGACCAGGCTCTCACTGGCGATGCCCCACAATCATCTCCCTAGCCTGTTCCAGGCGCTCAAGAAGCAAAACGGGGCTAAAGATTAAACGGCGCAAAAGTCGGAGGAGCGGACACGAGTCGGGTCGCGTAGGGAAGTTTTCCCTCTGCTGTAGGGAAGGGCATTCATTACGGGACTCGACCCAAACCTCCATCATTTCTTCACATCCTCTGCTTCTACCCAGATCTCGCGGGCCGGCCCGCCATCTACAAGGGGTCTGAGCGAAGAAATAAGCCAAACAGCTTCTAGACCCAAAATGAAAGCCTGACCGTAGGCTTACCGCGCTCTTTCCATGTATCATAAATTTCTCTCTTCTACTGACAAGCCACCTGACACTATGCAAGGGTGCAAAGGGCCTGAAGGCGACTGCTGCCAAAAAACTTAATCCAGTTTCGAGGTTACACAGGTTTCTTTATTAACACAAAGTGATTCGCATAACACTAATTACAATATAATAGTACTAATGCCACAGAATAATATCATTTAGTCTTGAGATTAAATATTATGAGATTAAAGCTTATTTAATGCCTAAATAGACGTGGTTCTGGGACCCCTGGTAAAAGTACACGCTAAATGGTGTTTCTATTTGATTCTTGTATATAAAATATGAACAATCTTGAAAAAGGTATTACGTTGACAAGGCTGTTACGGAAAATAACTAACTCAGTTTTAAACCAGAACATATTTAAAAAAAAAAAATCCTTCGCTTCAAAGTTGAACATTTTGCTCGGTAAAAGGGTGACAAAAGAAATAAAACTACAAACCCAAGGACATTTATATATTTATATAAAAAAAATAAAGTATAATGCATCGCAAAAAATGAAACAAAAACAGTTTAAATTTATCCAGTTATTCTTAGCAGCGTGAAGTTGCTATCGTGTCCTTATGTTCTTTTATATCTACTCTAGACGCTAACCACCATCCCATGTATGAATTTCTCCTCTTTACCATCCTTCCAGGATCTTATCCCCTTCGGGAGCTTTGCGCTGCTGTTCCCGACGATTTTCCATCAGTGCTTCTTGTTCTAATACTGAATGGGCAAGATCTTCATGGATTGACTTCGCACGATCTCTTAGAGCTATCAGTGTCTTCAACTTTTGTTCGGCATCACTGGCTTGGAATTCTCGAAATCGTGCTGGAAGAGGTTTCTTTTCGTCCATAGGCTTTGATTCGGTTCTTTGATTTTCTGGACTTTGATTGTATACGAGACCGTGGGTGTAGAAAATTCTTTTGTACATTCTGTCTGGGACTTCAGAATCATCTTGGTAGGAGCCAGGGTCTCCTTCACGTGCCTATCACAATGACCAAAAGTAAACCTTGCCGTCAACCTTAAATCTTGAATTGTATTTGTATTTAAATCGTTGATGAATTGAAACTTTTACTTTAATTCACATGACTTTTTAAAGGGAACCGAAGTAAGACAGTTTAAACTTAAATTTGTCCACCTAAGACATAACATTCTTAATTTCGAGAATGCTAAGGCCAGCTAAATATTGTTGATTTGTCTAAATTAATGTTTAAACAAAATTTGAGTAAACGAAAGGTCAGAAAGAGGGTTTTTTTTCAAGTCTCCCATCCAGGTAGGCCCCGTCTAATAGGACCTTTTAGGCGTATTAGCATTCAGCACAAAGCCGCAAACAGCTTAGATCTACATACATAGGCCTAATCACAATATCAGGATATTTTTTTTGAGAAATTGAAAAGCATCCGGGGGTGTAGAAAAATGCAAAGATGTCTAGAAAAACCTGTAAATATTAAGAGACAGCTGAAGAAATGCTTTATAGTACCTCAGTGTCACTTTTCTACTTTACCGAAAAATAAACAAAGTGGGTAATCTTTTGATTGCTTCTTCTTCGCAGTTCATTGGGTTTGTTTCAGAGAACATCAGAGATTTCTGATGAATTTACTTTGGGTGTGACCAATCTGAGAATCGGTGGCTGGACAAACGATAGGGAATTTCTGTGAGACTAACCGTTAATTTCAGTAACGATCGATATCAGTCTGGTATAGCTGGATAGCGATGACATGTTATATGAAAAGCTATATTATACACACATTTTGATTGGCTCTTACGTATGGTCTATTATGACATAACGCACGCAAGTCCTACCTACTTTATAATCAGCCATTACGGAGTATATCTCTTTAAATGATAAGCTGAGATGTACACGCAGTTTGGTTAGTTCTTGCCACGATATTAGAAACTTTTCATAATCTCTCGGAGGACAGACACCTTGGTGACGTCATTTTTAGTTACGTTTTGCTTTTTTATCATATAAAACAAATAGATTCACTGCTGCCGTGGGTCTGTTCAGTGAAAGATTACAGACAACGTCAAAATGTGGTAAGAACGTCAGTGACACACTCGGTTGCGCCTGGTGTGCCCCCTTTTTTGCTCTTACCACATTGGACGTCATCTGTGATCCATTACTGAGGAGAGGCACGGCAACATGGGGTCTATTTGTTAAGTAGATTGTTTTTCTCTTTGGTAGTTGCCATCGACTAGCCCACTGTAAACAAAGGGCCATTTGTATCGAATTATATCAACGTTCGTCTCTGGAAAATGGCTCCTCCCTTCTCCAATCACATAATCGAGTTATGATGCGATTATTGAACTACGTGATTGTAACAAATCGGAATTTTTCCGCAGATAAATTGTTTGCTTCAGCCTTCGCCTTCGGGAAAATAAAGATCTGCGCACCGGTAATAAATCACGATGTCACACATCACCTGGTACAATAATCGTTGAATATTTGGTTATGCTCCGTTGCTCAATTTTCGAATAAAAATACTGGCTTAGTTTGATCTTTGCGAAGAGAACGGTAGACTCCTCGATATCACAAAGGTATCTTAGATCAGCAGTTGAACATGTTGAATATATGATTTCGTGATGCAAGTGACGAAGTTAACTTGTTAATGTGTTATGAATGCAAGCTTCATACTTAAAATCTTCTTCATCATTAAACAACCTTGGGTATTTAAAAATAAAGATGTCTTTCGTCTGGTATAATTTTGTTCCAGGCAGTTTGTTGGGTTACCACCTCTATCCCGTGTAAAGAACTTCGAATTTGGTACCCATTTTTGTACTCAGCCGTTGATTATCACTCTCAATTCGACTCTGGAATCCATCCTGACATGGTCACATGCAATATTAATCAGCGTGTTTGATATTCAAACGGTTTTAAGCTTAGGAATGTTTGCATATTGGTTAGACATAAAAAAAAAGGCGAGGAAAGTTAATCATTGTTGGCAGTTAACGGCCTCTATGGCCTATTAAAAAAAATTTTATTTTCTCCCGTGGATAATACGCGAAGCGAAACTGGGTTTTTCTTTTTTTAACTGAAAAGAACACCCATCTATAAATTAACAAACCTAAATTACTCATGATTTTGCCCCATTAATTAATCTTTTATTCTTTTTTATTTATCTGGAAGCGTTGTCTTTTGATTCATGCATTGGAGGCAATAATTTTCAACCAGAACTTCATTTGCATATTCTTTCTTTAACATACTGTGTATTGATAAAAGGAAAAGTAATTCGTTGCTATCAAAATAACCGTTATTTGTTTTTGACACGAATTGTTTACTTTATCAAAAAAATTGCTGTAATTTTATTTACATTTTAATGTGTTTTACGGCCTAAATAGACAAGACAAACAAACTGATAAGTCACCAGCTGCTTTATTCATTGCGTCACATTTAAACTGAGGCCACTTCATTTGAATTTTAACTGTCCTGGATTTGAAAATTCATTCTGTGCTCTGATCCATGAAAATGTTATTGAATGATATATTGTGAGCTTTTCCTTATCGACAGCACGTTTTTTAAAGACAACACATAACGATATGATCTTGAATTTTAACCAGTATGGACAATTGCATAAGTATCAAGCGAATATTGAGTCTCTAAGTAGATATTCGCGTGATCGTTATGAAAAACACGATTACAGCGATGACGACAGAAGTACATTGTTAACATTTAACCGTTTAGGTTAAAATTATATTGCATTAGTTACTAATGCATTTATTTATTCTGAGCTCATTTTAGAAATATTTTAAAATAAGAAGCTTTTGCAAGCGAAATATTAGTAATAATCTCTTGAGAATTACTTCATAATGAAGGTGATAAAGTCAGTTGTGGTACTTCTCACTTTCATACCTCGTGGGAGCGAATTTACTTCGTAAATTTCTTTATTATAAGAACAACTGCTGCTTTTCGGTATGAGAAGAGTTCGGAATCGGCCGAAATCTGAAATGGGTAGCAGGAAAAAAATTGCTCGCGTCAACACAGACAACCACAGGCGGCATGGCGTGTTTTTTCTAGAGAGTGATCCATTGTTTGTTTGCCACGATATGTTTTCTTTAGAAATAAAATTTTACTCCCCTTAAAAGCAGCCTTGACACCATTATATTGTCGCAGCGTTTGAGAATGATCTTGACCGCTTTTTAAAACCGAAATTTCAATTTTGCGCTCTCTGTTTTTCAAATGTGGCCAAGCCCACCCGCGCGCAATTCAAATTCGTAAGATTTGAATTCTGGATAACCGGTAAAGCCCTCCGCAAATACTAATAGCGTACTGACGCTTAACCCATACAAACAAACGGCGAAACAATATTGTGCGAAGTGCTTGCTTTTAGGATAACAATTTCGAAAACTTCTCGCGAGCAAGCTTCTTTTTCTTCTTTATCGTAAAACGCTAAAAATACACTGCAAAGTGATTTTCAACCTGGAGTTTAAAACTTTAAACTGATTTTGACAAGGCAGGTAAAACCCCTTTAAATTTAACTGTAATTTTGATTAAACTTTTGTTTTGATCTTTAAACAAATGGAAATTAACTGATCCTTTACGGACGGACATAGGGGCTCCTATTCTCTAACGGTCCATCGGAAATTCTCTCCTCCAAGACTACGTTATGCTACATATGATTAAAAAATGACTTGGCTTTCATTAGATGGCGTGCGAGGACATACCTCTTCATACTGCCGGGCAAACGGCAAGGCGCTCTTTTTTGAATAGTTCTCTTGTTTTTCATCTGTGTCCACTGAAGCAAATGCAAAGGAATTCGTTTTAAAATGAAGGAAAAACAAGAAATGCAAACTGCTAAAATTAAACAAATGAGTTATTTTAGAGGAAAGTAGCTTACCTGGAACACAAATCATAAGTTGGAGACCATCAGAGACGAGTATGACCAGAAACAGCCACGCGAAGTTACCTCGATGCATGTTGGCGGTGAAATGAAGATTTGAATTCATGTAACGGGTTATAAATTTTGAATTAGATAAGATCTTTGAAATACAATATCCCCGATGACAAGCGGAAATGTTCCGTAAAATATCCAACCTCAAACAGACGCGCGTGTGGGTAAAATTGCTCGATTAGCTAAGGTAGGCGAGCATGTGAGTGAAACTGTCAATTTCCCGTCTCATTTCTCTTTTTATACGGAATTTAAACAATTGTGTAGAGGTGTAAAGTACATTTTTCCACAAAAAGAGAAATATCTGGTTACCATGGCAACATAAAAAACACAGGCGGGAATAGGAGGTCTGATTCGTCACGGTTGCGTAACTCAATGAATCATGTGTAGATTAATTCGCCGGCAACTTTTAGCAGACAAGCCTTTTTTATCCCTTTATGTACCGAAAACTATTCAAGAGTTCAGAAAAGGCTGGATCTAAACTGGTCTTTGCCAGCAGAGTGTTATGTTCCTTGACATTTTTTAGATTCGCCGTCATCAACAGCAGAGTAGATTTTTCTAGGAGAGTAATTATCCAGAACAATACCCGGAGAGATATAAGCCAAAGAAGCGGTTCCTTTCAGTTAATAAGGAAAGCTTTGAGAAGCGCACACACCAGCCGATTTTAATAAAAATGATCTCTAACGGTCTAATTGAGTGAGGTCAGTTTATTTTTTTAGCTTTTATTTCTTCAACGGCTTTTTTCCACTTCGGTAGGACAAAACGCTTGACTGCGTTGGAGACCGCACTTGCCTCGCTTTAGTGATTAGGCGCGTGCTGTAGCAGTGGCGTAAATGCATGAGCTAAGTCTTGCGTGAAACCATTGAACTGAAAGAGTAATTCATTTTCCATACAGCCTTGTCTCTTAAGAAAATTCCTGATCTAAATACTTTTTGCTGCTTCTAACTCCCCTCACTGATTGGTTATAATTAGATCGCCAACCGAACAGGCAGATCTACGACTGCGCAGATTCCGCAGTCAGAAATACTAAATTTAGTAAACACTTTATCATGCATGTGGGCGGATATGTTATGGCTGATAAAATCTCGACAAGCATATGATGTTTTTTCAAAAAAAAAAAAAACTTTCCATGAATAACAAGAAATTCGTATCAATTATCATATCTTAACCGAAAAATAACGTTCGCGAACACAACACCTCGACGATTATACCGTCGCTCAATTAGACTGGCGAACAATGGTGCGTCTAGTTCATCAGCTATATCTTATTAATTTTTTTAAACCAGTCTAAAAAGTCACAATGAGAATCTCTAGCCTTAGACCGTTTTTCCGTTGTGAGGCGTAATTGAGACGCGGCGCAAAGTCAGTTAGCGTCCTAAGCACCGCCCTTTTTGTCCCGCATTTTCATCCAAGTTAACGTTTGAAGCTTGTTTTGCTGCTCACGAACTTTATACGATTGTCCTGTTGTCGCACGGTTAAGGAATGGAGAACCCAATTATATCGGCATCTTTATTTCTTTGAGGGTCTTTTAAATGTAGTTAGTTATAAATTAACGGCTGATAGCCTTTTTACATGGAAGAAGGCGGGCAATTACACGATAAATTATCACGTCAACGGTTCCTCCTTGAAATACCACAAAAATATCGGCAAGAAGAATCAGGTGCCCCATGATATCAATGTACAGAGGAATCAGTAGAATAAAATAAAAAAATTTAGAAAGCATTTCCAACTGAGAATGTCTTTATTCATATAAAAGAAGATCCGTATACTAAAAGAAAATGAATTGGAAAGTGAGCTTAGAAATTAATCGAATTACGACTAGCCTTGGAATCCTCTGCGCTTCTTTTGAAGACAACAAAGAGAACATAGTCACAAATTTAGTAGAAGAAGTTAACTTCTACCACTTAGGGTTGTAGAAAGTGAATTCATTTTGATGGTTATGAGGTCACTTCAAGTCTCGTCTGTTACTGATCAGCTCTCTGTTGGGCATCAGCGCTGTTCCGTCTACATTTTAAGGCATTTTTTGGCTATTGATAGCTATCTTATGCGTAGTTTGGTCCACTAAGCCACTAATATAACTATCAATTACACATTACACTTACAAACCAGACAAAAAGCAGAAATTTTCTCTTTCCTAGCCAGCCGAATTATAAACTAGATAAAGTTAAGATTTGGCTGTTTTTTCCTCCAAATATTTAAGGATGGGTTTTCATGCTATCATCTAGTTTCTGTTTGCCTACTTAGATATAACAGATTGGAGATTCAACTTGTAGAAGAATCATATGTAAAGTTGTTGTTCAACAAAGTATAATTCCTACACAGTCATTTTGTTTCCTTATATAATGTTATCAAATGAAGTTAAGTAAAACCGCTGACATTAACAACTGATGACTCACTCTCTTACCGTGCACGCTTCTTTTCATCATTTCAAAATGGCGGACTTCTATCTTCGCTACTACGTCGGACACAAAGGGAAATTTGGCCACGAGTTTTTAGAATTCGAGTTCCGACCTGAAGGTAAAGAAATGTTCCAATCTTTGAGCGTTTCTCTAATAAATTTTCTTAAGTTCTTTTCCTGTTTTCAGGCAAACTTCGGTATGCAAACAACTCGAACTACAAGAATGATGTGATGATTCGCAAAGAGGTAAGCTTTAGTTAAATTCGATGAATTCCTTCATTATCACAAGAGGCTATTATTTACTTCAAACGAAACATCGATTCGTAGCTATATTTGCTAAATTACTTAGTCTTGATCTTAAAAGGAGTAGCTTAGCTGTCTTTGTTTTTGCCTTTTACTTGTAATTTTGGCCAAAGAAAATAATCTATTCATAATTGTGTTTTTCAAACGATCATTCATATATCGAGAATAAAGGAAATTCTTGTCTTATATAATTTTGGAAAAGTGCTTTTTGAAATACCAGAAAGAAATATTTGTCTCTCTGATCACGATAAGCCATAATTTCACAGTGACAGGATATCCTTGAGAATGCAAGCTTTCAAATTAATCCTTTGATCTCATAGTCTCATTTACCACTTTGCTTCTTTCACCCTTTAGCCTTGATATCTTTTTGGCACATACAGTGGCGGATTTTGTAACATCAGGGAGGGGGCTCGTTGTACACAAATCTAATGCCTTCTACATGATCGTTTTGGCACAAGCAATCATTTCTGCATTGCTAAGTTTTCTGTGATTGATTTTTGACAATGTATAAGAAGACAGTTGTTCAAAACAAGTTCTACAACACATTATTTCACCAAGTTCAATCCTAGCTTAAGAATTTGTGTCAAGATCGTTAGACTGATCTCATGAAGCTCTGCCTTTCCCCTAATTTTTGTATTTTAGAGTTTGACTATGACCTGCCTGCAGTTTTCTCTGTTGCTTTTGTTTTCACTGCTTGATCAAATGTCTAATATCTAGGGAAAAACCTGTAGGAAAGACAGGAGTCCTTGAGCGTTCAGAATACCAAGCTTTGTAATAATAATATTATACCAAAGGATATAGATCAGCCTAAAATGTGTGATTTTATGAACTTGTGTAAGGCTAAGCAATGTTGAAAGTAACCAACGTGAATGAAAAAAAATCAAGTTAGGTGGCAGATTGCTTACTAGGCTGATAACATCTTTGTTCAAAACCAAGATTGTTCTTTTTTTAACACTTTCCCTCCAGTTATCATCAATAAAATATTTGTTTTCGTCTTAGGCATTTGTACACAAAGCTGTTATGGATGAACTTAAAAGGATAATTGAAGACAGTGAGGTTTGTATTTCTGTCTAATTTTCCACTTGATGGCCTCCCTAATGATGATTGTTTCCATCTTTCCTTTGTAATAAATTTTATCAGGTGGTCTGCTACAGATACTCTAATATATTTATGATGAGTTTGTATTCTTCTGCATCTCCCAAATACAGATACTGAAAGAAGATGACACCCTTTGGCCACAGCCAGACCGAGTTGGGAGACAGGTAGGATTTTTTTTGTAATTTGTGGAAAGTAAGAGATATTTTAATTAAAATAACTCCAACATCAATGTTTGTCTCTATTCCATACCAAAATTTTCTAATTTATCTGCAGGAACTTGAAATAGTGATGGATAATCAGCATATTTCATTTACAACTTCCAAGATTGGGTCTCTTGTTGATGTCAACCAGTGCAAGTATGTGCTTTCATTTTTATATAAACAGACTTCATTATCTACCCTGCAAAAAGGGTAACACTGATGCTCAAAACGTCAGTTTTTGAAACACTTTGAAGTGACCAAATTATCTTGTAGTTATAAATGCAATGTGTTTTGTTGAGGCAATGGAGTGTTTGTTTTCTTTTGATTTCATGATTTTAAAGGAATTAAACAATGTTTGTGCCAAATATCGGCTTAAAAATTACATGGGCAATAAAGAAAGATGTTTTTCATCTTATCATGAGCGCTGGACAAAGGAGTCCCCATGAGGAATCAAACCTCAGATCTTTGGATTTTGCACTCTGATGCTCTACCACCGAGCAACAGAGACTCTATGGTGAGGGAGGCCCATTATGAAGTCCATATCTGAAATGCATCCTGCATACTGCAAGGATCAGCAATGTCGATAGTGTCATGTTTGTAAATAGAATAATAGAGATGGCAAGTTTTGAGCTTGGTAAAGAAATAAAGAAAGATGTTTTTCGTCTTGTCATGAGTGTGGGACAAGGTATGGGTGATATTCTGTACTATCATGGGTTTACAAATCAGAAAAATATTATTTGGAATATGAAGCTTAAGTGGGAAATAATAAGTACAATTATTTTGGTCATGTAAAATAGAGATGTTTGGTCAAATGATTGACTTGCATCTTTAGTTATGACATATCAGTCTCAAAAGTTAAGATTTAATTTGTAGTTGTTTTGATTTGTTGTCTCATAGAGACCCTGATGGCCTAAGAAGTTTTTACTACTTGGTTCAAGACCTCAAGTGTATGGTGTTTTCTCTAATTGGTCTCCACTTCAAAATCAAACCAATCTAAATGTTTTCTCAATTTGTGTTATATACAACTTTGCAGCCGTATCTTTGTTTCATAATTTTGATCTTTCTTTCTTACATACTGTCAACCTGAGAATTAAACTGTGGAACAGAATATATTGCAGGTTGCAAGTGTGCTCCTCTTTGCTTGCTTGTTATTCTTTTCTAAAGCTTCATAAAAGAAATCTACTGAGAGTCAAAACTTTGTACATATTTTTCAGAAACTAGATGAAATAACCACCATCATCAATTTTTGAAACTGTACCCTTGTGCTATGCATGTGCACCATAGCTTTTGAACATTGTGATATTGGATTTCAGCCCACAGTTAAATAATTTTCTTTATAAACAAACCTGTATCTTTTACTGAGTACATAGGCAAAAAAACTGTATCTTTTGTTAGTTTGGTCACAGCATTAATAAAATGTTTTTATTTACAAAGTATTCAATTTGTTGCTTTTGTTAGGTGGGGTTAGGAAGTGGTAGCAAGGAGAGTGAGTGCATGAGAAGTATGAAAGAGAGATAAGAATAGCAGGAGATTAGGGGGATTCTGAGAGTGCTAGCATCTAATATCTCCTGACAGTAATACTGCTGAGTAATTAACTAAGATCATGAGAATTAGGGAAATGATTGCCAACCAATGAAGCTTTGATTGTTAAACAAATTCTCCTTGTCAATATCAAAGGGAATGTGTAGAGAAGAGTATGGAGAATGTGGATACTAATGTTAGGGTGTAAAGGGTTAATGACAGCGGGAAAAAGGATAAAACGGCCGGGAAATACAGGAAAAAAAAGTAGGTTAACTTTTGTTACCAGTAATTTTGAAGTTTTTATAATCAGTGGCTGGAGATAAAGTCAAAGGTGTTGGAGATTCTCATCACCTTGTTTTCCCAAGCAGGTTAAAATGAAACAAACAAAGTTTAAGAGAGGGGTAGGTGGGGGATGAGCCGGGCTCATTAAGAACTCATTAGCCAGAATCAACCAGCGGGTTCTTACTTTTCTTTCTTTTACCAATCTTGAATGAAAAATAGGTACAATACGATTTTCCTTTGTTAGAAAACTCAGGATATCTAACAGGATAACTGACAGACTTAAATTACAGGTATCTTCTAAAGTGGAATGCTGACTTGCCTAATTAAATGATAGCAGCAAGAGAGTGTTAGATACGTACACGCATAATTTATTTGACAAAGCTGGTTTTCAGAAGTTATAGGTTGGAACGACAATTCCTGTTGTGGACCTGCACCAACTATATAGGGTAATTTAGTATTATCAACTGAATTGATAACGTAAATTGGTCACCGTAAAGAGTTTAAAAGCTGACGTTTCGAGCGTTAGTCCTTCGTCAGAGCGATCTATATATAGGTGATAGCATCATCGGACCAACAGTTTCTTTCCATATAAGGAAGATATTGGTTCAAATATGCAGAATTCAAGAGAATTTAAGATCCTGCTGCCATAGATACCTCTGAGTATACTACAAAAAATTATTTTTGAGGCTGTGAAGTGAATGCATATGATATCGTTCGTTGGGGTGGGGGAACAATAAGGAAAGTGTAGGGGAGGAGAGAGGCTTATCATTGGGTTTATTAGAGATTATACCAGTATCTGGGCAACTGCCCACCTACCCCTCCCCTAACTTAACAACAGTCAATTGATAACAAGCCAGGGTTAATGTTGGGTTAGGGGAGGGGTTGGTGGGCAGTTGCCCAGATACTGATATTGATCCGAAAGACTGAAGGGGTTCAGATTGCAAAGTTTGATCTTACCACACTTGCTCTCATCCACCTACAGCGCCCTCTGTAAAGTTCAGAGTTTGAGTTAAATTGCTTCTATTTGTTTTTTTGTGCAACCAACATTAAAGATCTTTTGTCTCTGAAACCAGCTTCTAATTATGCTCTTCGCTCGTCTACTGAATCTCCCAGTGTTCGTTTCAAAAGTGCGATGTTTTCCTTTCTGGGATCTGGCCTTCGCTTGTTGCTTCTGTCTATTGGATCTCGCTGCAAGTCGCTGAGAGATTGTATCGATCAGCTTCGCCATTTTGAAACAACTTAAAACATTTATTTTATGCAAAGCTTTTAATATATAAATAGTATTTAATGTACAGCGCTTTAGAATACTTCTTTCCAATATTGGCGCTATGTAACCTCTGTATTATTCTCATTGTGATTATTCTTGTTCTCATTTGATATCAGTGTTGTTGATTGGCGTATCAAAGCGCTTTTAAGGCATTAATTTATGAAAAGAAAGAAAAACAACAACAGCAACTCTGAGGAAGCGTATCTAGTAGTATGTTGCTCGTACCAATCAGATCGCCGCATTTGGGTATGTATCTCGCACCAATCAAATCACAGCATTGGGCCATATTGTTCCTTGTGTCCGTCACGTCAAGGAATTAGGGTGACGCATAGTGTTGCAATAGAATCAAAACAACATTGACACACATTAAGAACGACACCAACAGAGAATTGTGAGCCCATCTAGCCAGTAAATATTATGCGAGCCAGCGACCGTTGTTTGGTCTTGTCACGCCACGGGGGAGAGAGCATGTTGCGTGACGAGACCTAGCAACGGCTGCAAAGGAGACTACAGTAAGCGTGGCACCAATGCGGTTTAATTTCTGCTTAAAAGTGTTCGGACAACAGCGCAAATAGACCACAAAATACCAGTGTCTAAGTTTATTTCATGTAAATTGGAAAAGTCTTTTTTTGTTCTCTATCGAACCATTTTCGTCGGAAACTTTAAAAGTTTTAACTTAAAATGCTCTTTTCATTTTACAAAATTAAAAGAAATTCGTCATTCAAAGTGTTCCATCGCAACCCACCCATCCAAAAAAATAATCTTTTTTGCAGGCGTAGCATACCTATGTTATACATTATGCAACAGTGTCAAAACCCCATGCTGCAGGCGCCCAATTCCTAATTATACTTTGAAGAAAGATCTCCCGCTCTCGCTCATCATAAGCCAATCAGGCAAAACTTGATTTCCCGTCAGTTTGATATTCGATTAGTCTGTAGTGTTTAAATGCAATCCCACAGGGCCTATCCCCCGCGAATAAGCGATATCAAAATTGAATTCTGAATGCTCAACACTAACAAATGCGGATGATATCTACTTTTCGAACTACTTACTTCCGAACTATGACAGGCCTGAGGAAGTTAGCCGTGTTCATTGGATTCGTTCTTTTGTTAATTTTAGAAGAATCGACCGCGCGAAACAATGAAGATAACGGTAAGCAGATATCATCTTTGGTATAATAATACTGATTGTGTTCAAAATTTCGCTTAAAGATTTTTTCTAAGACTTGGTTAATCGGCTTCAAAAATAAGCTAATTTAATCCTTATTTCTCGCATCTTTTATCAGTCATTTTTTACATTCTTGATCCTGTATTAGAAATTCGTTGAAGTAGATAAAGAAACTTTCAGGAAATGTTTCCAAATGTAAAATACTCAATGCAACCACTTCTCCTTGTTCGCTTGTAACTAAATTGCTTTGTGAGAAAAATTCCATTCGATGTTAAAGCGTTTAACTGTTGCAAAGTACCACAGAGAAACGAAACTAAGTTAAGATGTGCAAACACAACTTGAATAATGACAATTTTTTTGCCAAAGACTTAAGTCGAATTTCCTTCTTTAGTTTTTAATGCGCAAATCATTTAGCTGTGTCGTAAAGTACCACAGAGAAACGAAACTAAGTTAAGATGTGCAAACACAACTTGAATAATGACAATTTTTTTTGCCAAAGACTTAAGTCGAATTTCCTTCTTTAATTTTTAATGCGCAAATCATTTAGCTGTGTCGTAGGTAAATCTCGTTTGCGGTCTGTCCGTCGTTCTTTGTCTTTCCTTTCTTTAAGAGTCAAGTCATCAAATGAAATTGTATGAGGGAAATATTGCATTATGAAAATTACAATCACTGATGATAAATATTTGTTCATTTCACTTTTTGTAACACCTTTTGTTGCCTGGGTTTAAGGTTTCAAGTCTATGCGTGTATTCGAAAGTTATTTCACGCCCTAATAATATACATGAAAAAATTACTCAGTTCTGATTGGTTAAGGTAAATGTAGTTTTTAGGTAATTCAGTGCAGAAGAGGGTTGATTCAGTGCAAATAAGTAACAAATCAGACATTCTGATGGGTCAATAATCAAAGAAACTCACAGATAGCCAATCAAATGCGAGCCTTGAATGTCACAACATTTAGATCCGTTGGAAATTTGCGAGGGAAACAATGGCCGGCTTTTTAAGTACGTTTTCTTTCGTCACCGCAACAACAATACAGCAGCTGAAAAACAGCTCTAACAACGAAAACACTGTGAAAAGCACTACTTTTTGGTTGTCGGTTTGGAAAAAGTGCTTTTTAGAGAAGAGAATTCCCAAGGAAATCGAAAATTACGAGCCGACCCAGCTTAAGTGCCACTCTCGCCAAGAGCGGTCCTCTCGACTTCCCGTCGGAAAAAAGTTTTCTTTTATTTTTTGCCCATGAAAAGGGTTTAGGACACATGTTTCAAAAATCGTTTAGTTGTTCTCCAATTCTCTCTTTTTGCGTCGCCACAAGCCAAAAATCATTTTTAGCCAGACCACCTCTGTGAACAGCGATCGAAAGTGTCAATTTCAAAGATTTTGTCCGGCGCGCAGCGACTGCAACAATGTAGCTCACGGAATTCTATCCTGCTACAAGTTACAAGGTGTATTCAGTTAGTTCACAGACAAAATATGGAAACTTCAGCTGAAATATTTTTCATACCAGCGTAATCAGAGGAGACCCTGCTCTTCGACCTTAATTTACATATCAAAAATTCACTACTTTGTACGAAAGAATTCTCAAAATGCAGGCGTTGATCGGGCCGAAAAAGCATATCAGTGCATAGTTTATACACCAATAAGGTCACGGATTGCCTCAAACCCGCGGGTATATCTCTAGCTTCCATCCACCAACTTCTTAAAAACAACGCAAATCCATGTGTTTGCTCAATTGCGCTCGTGTCAAATACATTTGCATGATTCTTGGAATTGACCAAGATCTCCTTTTGACAGTTCAAACTTCGTTCGTTTATCTTCTACGTTGAGAACTTTAGGTTTTCACAGCAACTGAATGGAGATTAGATGCCGATTTGTCCTAAAACGTCGCGTAAACGTGATCGGAAGGCGCCTTCTCGATAATTTACGTTGAAATATCAGGTCATGAATTATGTACACTGTGGAGAAGATCAAAATTAAAGAATAAAATTTGGTACTCTGGTCATAACAGACATACCGCGTTGCTTAAAAGGACACAAAAACAAGTTAAAATAGGTTGCAGTGTTTATATTTACAAAACAACACGCATACACTCTGAAATAATTCTTGCAGTTTCTCCCGAGATTTAGTATACGGAACCCGATGAACTAACCCTCCTTTCCGCAGATTTGTTTCCATCACTAATGATGTTACGCTCTTATGGACCACAACGGTTTTGAGCGACAAACTCGACATTTCCCTGCGACCATCAAAATCAACTGGACAAACCCAGCTTGATATATTGCGTGACGTGATTGTGCAAATTTTTCCCCTTGCCATATGGCCTGTTTCGCGGGTTCTACAAATTGAAACCAAAATTAGTAACAAATTAGAATCAAAAGTTATTAAAAAGGACTGAATTACATTTTAATGAGAATTTTAACTTTTAAAAAGGTTTACTTGATTCATGGAAATAAATGATTGGAGTGGCTTTGGATATTTAAGCCCTGATTTCCCTCCTGGGACGACGTATTGAGTTATTTGAAGTACTACCAGCTATCCAGCGAAATCCTCGATTACAAGTTAATTTTGTTTCGTTCCGGTAAGTTTGACCACGATATGGAAAAAGATATCACAGTTATTGGTATGTTCTAAACATCTGAACACTTTAAGAAACATTAGAAATGCGGTGGAGGTACTTGTTAACAGCCACAGCACAAGGGGAAATGTGAGGCAGTAGAATTTAAGTTGTATTCGAATCACATGAGAAATCTATTTACAATTTCTCGAGAGTGAAGGCTATTATTTAACTAAAAATTGGTTCGTAAGTGACTATCTGGGCTATCTGCAATAGCAGACAAAACCAGAATTCTCTTGACAAAATCAAAGGACAAATTGTGTCATGACGAATTTTTGTCTCGATTTTTGCATCCACTTAAAACTTCAAAACTGTCAAATGTCTTAAGAGCTTGTTCTACTCATGAGACCAGCTGGCATAGTTTACCAATGGACTCAAACTCCAGTTTCAGGATTCATCGGACGTCGTTTCAAAGTTTTAAAATCCACGAGTTTCGCGACAAAAAAAGTTAATGCCTTCCAGGTAAATTTTAGTGAGTTCAATAACAAGCTGGTGGCAGCTTTTACGACAAATGGCGTTGAAAACTCAGTCTCCTTTCACTGCCTCACATTCTTCTTTTTGCTCTGGATGCTAAAAAATACTTTTACTACATTTCCAGTGTCCTTTCAGGTGTTCTGGTGTTTAGAACATACCACTAACTGTTTTATTTTTTCCAAATCAGGGCTGAAATACCCAGAGCCACTCCAATCTTTGCTTTCCGTGAATCATGTAAACATTTAAACGATAAAATTCTTATTAAAATGTAAAATTCTTTATTCCATTTGAATAACTTTCGATTCTAATTCGTTAAATTAACTAATTTTGGTTCTAACTCGTAGAACCTGCGAAACAGGTCGTATGACAAAGAGAAAAGTTTGCACAATCACGTCACGCAATATATCAAGCTGGGTTTGTCCAGTTGATTTTGATTGTCGCAGGGAAATGTCGAGTTTGTCGCTCAAAACCGTTGTGGTCCATTAGAGCGTAACATCATTAACTTGAATGACGGAAACAAATTTGCAGAAAGAGGGTTAGTTCATCGGGTTCCGTATACTAAATCTCGGGAGTAACTGCAAGAAATGTTTATGCGTGTTGTTTTGTAAATATAAACACTGCAACCTATTTTAACTTGTTTTTGTGTCCTTTTAAGCAACGCGATATATCTGTTATGACCAGAGTGCCAAATTTTATTCTTTAATTTTGATCTTCTCCACACTGTGCATAGTTGTTCATGACCTGATATTTAAATGTAAATTATCGAGAAGGCGCCTTCCGATCACCTTTGTCTCTTTGTAAATCACGCAAGCGCGCAAGCGTTACGACCGATCACGTTTACGCGACGTTTTAGGACAAATCGGCATCTAATCTCCATTCAGTTGCTGTGAAAAACCTAAAGTTCTCAACGTAGAAGATAAACGAACGAAGTTTGAACTGTCAAAAGGAGATCTTGGTCAATTCCAAGAATCATGCAAATGTATTTGACACGAGCGCAATTGAGCAAACACATGGATTTGCGTTGTTTTTAATTGGTGGATTAAGTTAGTGGATGGAAGCTAGAGATATACCCGCGGGTTTGAGGCAATCCGTGACCTTATTGGTGTATAAACTATGCACTGATATGCTTTTTCGGCCCGATCAACGCCTGCATTTTGAGAATTCTTTCGTACAAAGTAGTGAATTTTTGATATGTAAATTAAGGTCGAAGAGCAGGGTCTCCTCTGATTACGCTGGTATGAAAAATATTTCAGCTGAAGTTTCCATATTTTGTCTGTGAACTAACTGAATACACCTTGTTACTTGTGGCAGGATAGAATTCCGTGAGCTACATTGTTGCAGTCGCTGCGCGCCGGACAAAATCTTTGAAATTGACACTTTCGATCGCTGTTCACAGAGGTGGTCTGGCCAAAAATGATTTTTGGCTTGTGGCGACGCAAAAAAAGAGAATTGGAGAACAACTAAACTATTTTTGAAACATGTGTCCTAAACCCTTTTCATGGGCAAAAAATAAAAGAAAACTTTTTTCCGACGGGAAGTCGAGAGGACCGCTCCTAGCGGGAGCGGCACTTAACACTTTGCTCGAGCGATTCTACGCCAAAATTAAAAACAAACATGGTTGAACCTTGCAAACGACGATTCATTTTCATCGAAAGTGATTCGGACAAAGACTGAACAATTCCTTGAACTGTTTAGCCGGACTTTGAACTTTTTTGCGCCCAAAGATGTGAAAATATCATTGCATATTATTGTTTTGATCGTACGCGGTTGTTTTGATAGAACGCACGGTTTGAAAAATTTCATGATTTTTGCACTTGATGCGCGCGTTTTGCTTTTGCATAATTACGATAAGCTATCTTGTATTTTTACATGTGTATTATTTATACCTAATCCCATGATTTTTCTCTTGCAATTTGGAATAAATAAGCATATGTTAATTGCAGAAAGACCACAATTGGAGGAATTCCACAAACTGTACTGGCCCTTCGGGCTCGTGTAATTTTGTTAGTCTTTGAAAAAGTCAACTCGTGCTTATTTATTCCAAATTGCACTAGAAATCATGCGATTACCTTTACGAATAAAGCAGTATTTATTAACTCCACTCTGGAAAATTTCACAAAATTCCTTAAGTTTCTCAACCAATCCACAACCAATTGAAGAAAGGTTATTGTTCTGGAGGAAAGCCAGCAAAATTTAAAGTCGAAAACAGGTTTTAGTTCAGTTTTTTTGTGTGTTCACAGATTTTAACTGAATTGCTCATTGGAACTTTCTATTGGTCAGTTGGTTCAGTAAGCTTCTCTTGAGCGTACTTGGAGTCTGCCCTCTCATCGGCTCCTTTAGAAAAATACTTTTGTTGCAGTTTTGATTACTTGGTCTTGATAGTGTTTACCGAAAAGCGCTCTATGGAATCAATTTTGTTGACTACGGTGGTCATGAGAGGCGAGAATGTACGCTTCCTCGCTTGATCTCACTTAGCCAGCGAAAAGGCACCATAATTGTCATGACCAGCAGTGGCGCAACTTGAAAAGTGAAACCCGCGGGTTTCGAGCCGGCGAGCAATGCGAGGGTGCGAGAGGTGTGCGAGGGGGTCTTTGGACCGCGGGGATCCTCATCATATCTCTCGTGCCAGATCCTTCACAGACCTCTCGCACGTCCGCTTCGTTCGCCGACTCTAATCGCGAGCACTTGTCACGGGGATGGTTAGGGTCTGGAGGAGAAACAGCCTGGGTAGGAATCTATACTATACCTTAACGACTTAGGAAAGAATGGTGGTTATAAACCGCAACACACACGAAGTTCAAGTGGAAAAGTTGGTACTAAGAGCTAAGGGACTGCATGCAAAAACATTTGTCGTAGTATAAGACTATCAATTTACTTTCGGAAAAAGTTAGACTCCCTTTCGAGAATTTGGACGCACTTTAACGCATGCGTTACTTGTGTCGCCGCCCAGTTTAAGGCAAAGTCACTATTACTATCAAAGCCCTCGTGTGGCAAAACGAGGGTCCATGGAAAAAAAAAACTTCTTTATCTTCAAGTTCTCATAACTTACTAAACATATTGCCTAAACTTTTTCCGTTAAATAGGTCATATGAACAGTACAACTAACATTTCAGTAAAAGACTTCTATTTCGCTTGACTCTTTTTGAACAGGTGATGCGCATTCGAGCTCAAAAACGCGGAACCCTAATGGTGAACAGGGTGACTCAGCTTCGGATGAGAAAATCTTTTTGGTCCAGTTTAGTCGGAGCGGTTTAGTATGGCAGAATGAATTTAAAAACAAACACAGCGAAAAATTCGAGGATCTTTCAGATCGGATCGAAAGAGAATTCAGTGACCACAGCTCGTTTAACCAAAGCCGCGAGATCCTCAGCTGGCATGTCTCTAGGCTGCAGCAGAACGAAAGCGAAGTCATCATTAACTTACGCGTGCGCACCACCACGCGCATGTCACCCGAGAAATTGTCGACCATGGTGTCAGAAACTAACATGAACAATATCGTTATTTATGTGAAGGAGTTAACCACATCGATCTTTCCAGAGTCAAGCACGTCATTTCTGGCACATTTGTCGTCTTCAGTCATTCTTCAGACGTCGTCGCAAACACTGGATGCGCCTACAACACAGACAACATCACCGATGTCAACCACGCCCCGATGGACCACAACACATTTTTCACTCACGACAGTGTCATCAACGTCATTGATCAGCCCATCTTTTTCCGAAAAGTTTATGGCTAGCTCAGAGGTCCATGTAATAGAAGAAGACCCTGTCACAGAAGACTTAACTGTGATCGTCCCTACCGAAAAATCACCAATTAAAACGCAACCAACAGTACCGGAACCTTCTATTAAGTTTGTGGTCTCAATGAAAGTGGGCTCTTACAACTACACTCCGGAAATGGCAGATCCAGAAAGCGCCGTTTTCAAGAAGGTAGCTAAAGAGATAGAAAACACCCTATACGAAGAGTTATGCCGGAAGAAATTACTAGACTGCATCGCTGTTGAGGTGTTCAAGCTCGAGAAAGGCAGTGTAATTGTGTCCTATAACGTCCATATGGCTTCTTCGACCAATTACAAACAGTCGCACGTAAATAACGTCATCACTGATTCGGCGAATAGTGGCCAGCTGGGACGTTTGAAAGTGAGCGATGTGGAGGTGAAAAAAGGAGATAAAGAAGAGGAGCAAAGCGATAGTTCATCGTCACGTGTTTTCGTTTACGTTCTTTGCGGAGTCGGTGCCTTATTGGTGATTGCATTGATCATAGCTGCCATTTCTAAGGTAAGAAAACATACAATTTGTTGTCATCCAAAATAAAATCATTCACGTCGCTGATTTTGCGTTACTCGACTTCTACTTTAGGATACTTCATTTGCAGCATGTAATAACTTAAGTATTTTTCTTCTTCTTCTAGTACTATAACCGAAGAAAGAACTCCGTCCAAGTTCTTGAGGTTCCCTCCAACGATGGCGGCTCGGGCCGTTAATCATTCTGCAATGCGTGTTTCTGAAAATGTGAACAATTGATCCTAAATGTGACCTTTAACTAAATTTTCCGGTTTTCACTAGTTTATAATTGTTATAATATCGAGGTAGAGTAAGAAAAAAAATCAAGAGATTTGATTTATAGATATAGATTTTTGGTGAGCTGCTCTTCAAAGGAAACACAGAGGCAATCAAGCTACTATTGTCGACTTAGAACAAATTTTCCGGTAGGAGCGTGACACTTTTTCTCGGGGTTTACAGACCCTGCAGTTGCTGATCAATCGACGAAGAATAGGATCTCATGCTATCTGCTATCTCTAAGTTTTTGTGGTAACAACGACCTCCACTTCTCATTTCGTAGAACTGCACAAGAACAAACAGCACGTACCAACAACTTGTTTCAGTCTTACGCAGCCGGTTATAGGGGTTAATTTGGTAGGAGGGAGGCTTGGGTCGAGTCTTCTGAGAGTTTCATGCATAAAATTAATAAACGAAGTAACAGTATGTTGCATCAGTTTTATAAAAAGAATATTGATATAATTACCTGGTAGCACGATCTTAACAATGATCGGGACCCTATTCAAACGCTAGGACCTGAATTTAACGCCTCGGCGTTTATTTCCAAATTTACGTACAGTTTCATGCTGGCGTCACCCGCGGCGTTCATATGAAGCCGGTATTTATAAACGGGGTCCGGTGTTTGTCGAGAAAATACGTAACTGCTAAACAATTGCCTGCTTCGGATGTCAGCTGACTCCATCTCCATTTCGGGTGTCGCATTTCAAGGATTTCATCATTCGCGTGATGTTGCATTAACCAATCGCTTAGTGGAGTATAACAGAAAAATCCTGCTGGTCGAAATCGATACAAATTGAATGACCCTGCATCCTTGTACCTGCGCTGGAAACAAAGCCATTGGAATGACGTCCCTTCAATCAATTGTGCTTTTTCTGTGGTTGAGTACATTGTGCATAGCCCAGGTAAGCCTAAAGCGTTGTTTGTTCACATTTCTCATCACTTCTCAGTTTTAAGAGCTGAAGGTTAACAAAAGCAAAAAAATCGATCGACGCGTTCGCTTCTGTGGGGCTTGTAGGGTCACTGCATGGGAAGTCGATTTGAAGTTATGTCGGCAGTTTCCACTAAAACTTATTTCAGAGATATCCGTTGACATTTGAGTCTTGCCCGTCCAAGGAAGAGTTCGAAGTGGGTCAGCTTTGAACAGATAACAGCCGATATATTTTTCTTGAAGGTGAGGAATAGTTCCGACGTGGTTAAAGCAGTTTTGTGTCGGGTCACGCGATGCCCTCTTGGATTAGTCTCTAAGATCTCTAAATTTCACAAAGTCAAACTTTAATTCGTTGGTGTTTGAATCAGCTGTTAACGTTAAAGGCTTTGAACTATCAGTCTCGATTGATTGGTGTACTTTAAGTTGGATTCAATTCAGATCTGCTGGTGGTGGTAATCTAGGTAAGCTCAATCTGAGAGGGGAAATGTCACTCAAATTGCTGAGTATTTTTCAGCAGTAACCATAATTAAACGTTTCAGAGGCTTTGACATGACGTGTAGCCTTTCGAGAGAAGTGAAACATTTTTGAATGGCTTAGCTCGACTATCAACGAAGATACTCATCAATGCTAATTGCTGCTAGGATCAACAAATTCACTCCAGACGCTGCAAGGATAATCAAATTCGTTTTGCTCCCTGCCAAGATCCGAAAATTCCTTCGAATTTCTGCTAGGATCGGCAAATTCATTCTAGACGCTGCAAGGATCAGCAAATTTGTTTTGCATATGCTGCTTGGATCAGCAAATTCTGCCAAGATCAGCAATTTCATTCTAAATGCCGCTAAGATCAGCAAATTCGTTCTGTACACTGATAGGATTCTAATTGCTGTTAGGATCAGCAAATTTATTCTAGACGGTACTGGGATCAGCAAATTTGTTCTGCATATGCTGCTTGGATTAGCAAATTCTGTCACGATCATCAATTTCGTTCTAAATGCCTCTAAGATCAGCAAATTCGTTCTCAACACTGATAGGATTCTAATTGCTGCTAAGCTCAGGAAATTCATTCTAGACGCTGCTAGGATCAGCAAATTTCTTCTGCATACTGCTTTGATCAGTCAATTCTTCTGCATATTGCCAAGATCAGCAAATTCGTTTTGATTGCTGTTAGGATCAGCAAATCCGTCCTTTTCACTACTCGGAGCAGCAAATTCGTTCTTCGGTCTGATTCATCCGATCTTAAATTAAACATTTATGAAGTGTCTTATTTAGCGAAAGCGATTTAAGGGGTTAATTTTCAAGCTTTGTCCTTCAGTAGAGGATCAAAAGACACTTATTTCTCCTGGGGGCGAGACATTTAGTTGTACTGATCTTGTTTCAGAAAAATTTTATAAACCACACGAAGGGCTATTGCATCTGGTATGATCAGTGTACCACTGGCGATAAACCACTCAACTGCTTCTATAACGGACCAGCTAAAAATTTAACCGATCCAGAAGGCGTGCAGATACTGAACAGTTTATGTCCAGAATTAAGGGGTCAACATACTTGCTGTTCGACCGAACAGCTGGTGGCGTTGGATGAGAACTTGCAAACGATGCTGGAGCTTACCAATCGTTGTCCTGCCTGCTGGAACAACATTAGGAGGTTGTACTGTCAGCTGACATGCAGTCAAGATCAGTCGCTTTTCACGAATCCCAATCTTGTCATCCCAGTGTCTGAGGGGAGAGAAGCCGTTGTCAGGGTGGAGTACTTTGTATCACCCCAATTCAAACAAGGTCTATTCGAGTCCTGCAAGGACCTAACCCTTGAGGGGTACACGAACTTAAAATTGTTCTGTGGTACGATAGGGTCAGATGAGAAGCCTAAGTGTGCCCCAGAAAGTATGATCCGTTACATGCAAAGCATGGAAAGCGGACTGGCACCATACGCTTTTGATATCTACTTCCCTGACATATTACCAAGAAACCTGTCGTGGATGAACGAAACTACTTTCAAATGCAACAAGCCTTTTATCGATCCGCAATCGAACAAGACAGCAAACGTTTGTACCTGTCAAGACTGTGTCGGCTCCTGTCCGAGGCGATTAGAACAGTTGATCATAACATCCACGCACCCCACTCCGACAGGGTATCACAGGTATGGAGACGGCAAGTGGATTCCTTTTGGGCCAATGTTTCACTTGGAACTCTTAAATCAGGTACAGTTGATACCTTAGAGTATGAACTAACTTAAATTAAGCTAGTACAAAATTTCACGTACTCACATAAAAACTTTCAGAGACCAGACCCGCGAGAAAATGAACCGTCTTCAGTCTGATGATCCCTTCGTGCGTAAAATTTGAACAGCAACTCTTTGTCCCTGAACGTTTCATTTGACTCTGTATATTTATGCAAACAGTAGTCTTAGGATAAGAGCCGGAAACAAATCTCCATATCGTATTTACCATTTTTTTTCTTTTTATAGGCCCTAGATCTTCAAAATGCTATCACAAACTTAAAAGTGCCATTTGGGGATTCCAGCGTTACCTTCGCGGACATTTGCTTTAAACCGACGGGCCACCTACCTTTTGCTCCTAACACGACCGAACGATGCGAAATCCAGAGTGTCTTCCAGTATTTCCAGAATAACAAAACGAAGTTGAACAAATGCCTTACTGCCTTAGGCTATAATTGTAGCGATCCAAGCGTTACTGACTTCAAAGCTGCTGACTTCCACGATCACCTCTTGTTTTGCACGAGGTAAGAAATCCTGCGAGTAAGTGCTTCTTTTTCAGCTCAACAAATCAAACCGCGCAATTCAGGAGTCTCTTCTTTTCAAACTTGAAACAACGGTTTGTTGCATTTCGTTTAGTTTTATGCTTTACCATGGTGCTGCTGATTCTAGAACACTTTCAGCGGTTAAATAGGGATTTTTAAGTGTTTTAAAAATGAAACCTTCAAATTTGTCAGCGAAAAGAACGTATATAACTAATGTAGTTCCCAGTCTTCTTTGCGCTAACGCCAGTAATTTGGTGCGCATGTCTCCTCGGGAACGGTCTCGTTCTGTTTGACCAAGACCCTTTCCGTAAGATACTTAGTACTTGCGGGTTCCCCACAGATGTGTTTTAGTTAAGGTTCGCCTTTACCTTAAGCAGACTTAATTATCGAGACATAGATCAGCATTGAAAATTATAAAAACAGATTGACACTAAGAGAATATCAGTCAATAACCTCTTGTAGAAACAGATAGATTTCCTCCAACTTACTCTCTTCTTAAAGTAGACTTAATGGTGTATTTCATACAAAATTCAACATTATTGCCACTTACTCTTCATATACTAGCTAACTCCATTGTTTTTTTTTACATATTAGATACCCCTCGTGTTCAATGGATTTGCGACTCAAAGAACCTTGCATCAGTGCGTTTGGAGGTGTTATAAACCCTAAACTTGTATTGGGTGGATACCCGTACGATGTATACCAAAACGCTACAACCCTAATGATTTACTTTGCAGTAAATAATTACAAAGACGAAAGCAAGCTGGCAGAAGTAATTACTTGGGAAAAGGCCTTCAAGGAGTTCATGGCAGATTATGTAAATAACACCGCGCACGCCAATCTCACTATTGCATACTTTACACCAGAATTGAGATCTAATGACGTTGAGGTCCAGTTTGACCTAAGGGCTTAGTCTATTTCGTCAATCGTTGCACTAATTACGAACAGGGCGAAGCTATTTTTCCTTGAAAGCGAACGGTTATAGTTTTGACTTTCCGCGCGTCTTACGTGACTTGGCTTAATCCGCTGCTCTACCTTATGTGTGCATTAGCTGGCTCTTTATAGCTTGTATCTTTGTAGCTGATTAGTTGATATGGTGGTGTAGAGTAGTTTTTTTTTTCGTCATCCATGCTAATCTTTAAGGTTTCCTTTAGAAGCTTTGAGTGAAACGACGGGGGTGGTCTTAGAGAAGTGATCAACAAGTATTTCTATCCACCATTTTCAATACTGACAATACCCAGCAAACAGTTTGTCTACACAAAACCGTTCAAAGTGTGGATTGTTAACTTTCTGTTTCAAAAAGATTTTCTGAACTCAAGTACAAACTAGAAAGAACAATCGCCCAAGTTATAGAAGTGCATAAATCGAATGACCCTTAGTGTTTCAAAGTTATAAATGTCTAGAAAATGGTTGAGTAAAATCAGCGTTTAATAGTGTTCATTCTGTCTAGTTTTATCAATACTGTGCACGATGGCAACGGTGAGCAACATCTGACATATTTGCCGGTATTTCTTTGTGTGGTGGAAAATTCAGCATTTAATTCTTTTTTGTCTTATGTACCTCAAAAAGCTTGAGAAGCCTCCCTCACTGCTGTGTTTTGTCATGTCACGCAATGCCTTATGGTAAGGAGATAGCGTTTTACGTGACAGAACTGAACAACGTCTGCCACGTGGGACTAATACATAGATATGCAATACATAGAATGTTGTTTTTCCATAGGATCTTACGACAAAAACTAAATTAAATTTCCTTAACAATTTTGAACAAAATCGGATTTTATAATCCATCAAATATTTTTGTTCGCGTGCGATTGGTCGCAACGCATCCGAAGATATCACCCAAGTGATATTGCCCAATTTTCAAACCTTACGTCCATTAGGATCAGTCTTCGTTTAAAAATTAATTCGAGATGGGAAAGCGTTTTATGTTAGTTACAGAAGAAGGGAATTATCTGTTTGTTCATAAAGTTGAACCAGAAAACACTCAAAAGAAGAAGTCCCATACAGCAAACAGTAAACTGTTCGTAAAAACTTTTTGCACGTTCGTTGCAAAATATTTGAAGGAAAATAAAGACGATAGCCTCTGTCTTGCGCTAAAACATGCTCGTATATTTTTCCTTTGACGTTGTTTATTCCTCGAAGCTCTCGGGAAACTTTCCGCATCTTGGAACAGATCATGTATGCGGACAAATATTCGTGCGTATCTTCGCGCCAAATAGAGGCTATTGTTGATATACAGAACATTGAAATGTTGTTATACAATATTACCAACCTCTCATTGCTTATTTAAATTTTTTTGCATGTCTATTAGACATGATTTTCATGAGCGATCTCATTTCTGTGAGCCAGTCTCTTAGTCAGGAGCAAATTCAACATCAATTTTTTTTTTTAATGCGGTCCAGTTTGTCAGTCTAAACGGATTTTTATCTTGTTGTGACAAATGATCTTGACGGGTTTGCCGCACAGAGTTTCAAAAAAGGGGAATCGGTCCCAATTAAAAATATCTTTTTCTTTGAAAAGCGGCAAGGCTTTCTTTCCACACTGAGTACCTTGGGTGATCATTCGCTTGCGCAAACTATATCAAAACCCTCGCACACGGTGAACTGCTACGCGACAAATATTTATCTGCTCGGTACGAAATTGCAGTTTGAGGCGATCTATAGCTTGCTAATGAAATAGCTAAGCTTTGCTAAGAACTGAACACTGTTATCCTGAAGGTCACTTATTCACAGATCTCAAAACACGCGCCCTAATTGCAATGTGAATAAAGGGGCGTAGGCTTTTAAAGAAATTGTGGTGCTGCGTCGGTGGGAGAGTATAACAGGGTAATTTAGTATTACCAACTGAGTCGATAACGCAAATTGGCCGCCGCAAAGAGTTTAAAAGCAGACGTTTCGAGCCTTAACCCTTCGTTAGAGCGATTGGAAAAGCTAACGCTCGAGATGTCAGCTTTTAAACTCTTTACGCTGGCCAATTGCTCGGCTGTGTTTACATTCCCTAATCACTTGTTTCGCGCGCTTTTCACTAATCGTTTATTAACCAATCAGAAGCAAGTCAAAAGCGTTCAAACGCATTGCACGCTGGGGAAGTCAATCAGAATCTTTCGGAACTAAACTTGCTGAGAGGAATCAGTGATTGGAGATCCTGCGTGAATTTATGCCTCTATCTCATGTAGACTGATCTCTGTAGTCAAAGAGAAGATTCAACGCTAGAAGACGTTCGATGTAAGTACGATCTATATAGGGTTTTATCATTCTTCATAGGAATCTTAACGTCGACCCGCCGTGCCGCCATCCCAACTTCTGCATCACAGTGATGGCCTTTGCCATGTCGAATGAAAAGTTTGGTAACTCAGGCGAGGCAAGTGGAACATGATTTTCAGTTTCATAATTTTCCATGTGTTTATTCAGTGCAGTTTCTTTTGGAAATGATGCCTCCGCAGGTCATCTTAAAATGTCTACAGTATAAATTTTTATGTATAAAGGAAGGTCTTTGATCCTAAGTTTGAGTTTACTTTCAGTTCTGATTCTAAATATCAGTGGTTTTACAGCACGACTGCAAAGTGAGTCTTATACAAGTTGCTGTAAGCACTTGTATTATTTGAAACTAAAGTAAACACCGAACGTTCAGAAAGATTTGTCACCTTGGTGCCAAGTAATTGGAGATGTGTGATACAAATTAGATGGAGGTGTTTTTCTCAGTCTTTATTGCTTCATGAAGTCTATTCATGACAAAACATTAAAATATCTTCTGATGTCTTGAATTTTAAAGGAAATGATGGAGAAGGCAAGTGATCATTTCATGAACTGCTCCTTGTGCAAGACTTCTACTGAGGACAGCTTAGGTATGATTGAAATCAGAATTTGTCATTACACTCCTTTTGTGTCTGTGGAAATGTAGCCGGCTTTACTGAAGGGTTAATGAAAAGAGACTTCCAGGTAAGGGAAATACAATTTTGAGTTGAAAGGGAAAGCAGTGCTCAACTTGATTGTTGTCTTAAGCTTAAAAAAGTCTGTGATTTGGCTGTCTAGTTGTGAGGTCAAGGTTTAAGATTGCAGAAAAATAATTCACTTCACGTTAACAACTACTATATAACAGTGGTTAACAGAGGTGAGAAAATGGGAGAGAAAGATCTCAAAACAAGTGTGATTGTACAGCAGGATTCCATAATATTAATTTGTTTCATTTTCATATCTTGACAAACTGTGGTATCCACAACTTCCAACAATTTTCCTGATATCCAAATCTTCAGAAATCCAGTGTCTGAGTCTGTTCAGTTAAAACTTAAGTGTTCTTTTCAGGCTTGAGACATATTTGTTATGCTAATGTTGTCTAATGCTTCAATCATACAACTTTGTTATTTCTATTGATAGAGAATCCACTTCATGTATGGTTATCTATGGATACAAACACCAAAAAGAAGCACTTGAAGCATTTGAGGAACAGTATTTTGGCTCCTATCCTATTTGGAAAACGAATGTATTATTCTTCAAAGGTAAAGAATAGTTAGAGGTATATGGCACAAAATTCAAATCAAGTATCAGATACTGTTTTTCTTTTTATGTTGGGATGTATTTTTACTAACAGCCATTTAATAGTCTATTTTCCTTTTTTTATTCATCAGAACATAAAATTGTTACAGTACTTGAGAATAATACCAAAAACAAGCTTTGAAAGGTAAACTAAAAGTTTTTCCCTTTCCAGAAACACTGTCACATACAACCCAACCCCCGCCTCTTCCCTGGATTTACTTTGGGAGAGGGCTTATGCTTGAAATATTAGCCCTTCAAAAATTGTTGCAGTGGTTTTTCTACCTGTATCAACTTATGGCTGATAACAAACCATTTATTTCAATTGTGTGTCAATGCAGCACTAGAGCTTTTCTAGAATTTCATAATCTCCTAATATTTTGGATGCACTGGTTAACTCAAGACCTGAAGCTAATTTCTTTAACTTTTATCATACATTTGTTTTTGGTTAATCCTGAGAATTTTGTGGAACATCTAAACAATGTCTCAAACAAATAATATTGATTGAAGTCTTTTCTTCTCTTGTCTTCTCAACATTGTATTTCTGCAGAATTTCTCCTCTGGGAACAATATTGTCCAACAGAAAAATTGACACTGTGGAATTAACTGAGGAAATTGTAGACACCATTCTCTCCTGCTTGGTAAGGAAATGTTTGCTTTCTGAAAGAATCTTTTTTTCATATCAGTGATACTATCACTGTGTCTTACTTCACCTTTTTAATAACATTGTGAGGTCTGTAGACAAACTTTCATTTTCCTTCTATGCTGCCACCAGTCATTTTGAAAACAGTAATCTAAAAGCAGAAACAAAGAAATTGGTGTTGAAATAATCCTGCAGTCATTACTGAACAACCTCTGAAACAGGCCTCTTGTTTCTTTAGATGACAGGTCTGTAGTATGAGTGAAGTCAGGGTGAAACTCAATTTCAAAGGTTTACCTCTCTGTACTGTTGCTCTGGTTTTAATGAAAAGAAAATTAAGCAAGCTTTCCATTAATTTAAGATATAATTCTTGGATTTTTATTTTAGTCTCTACATTGTAATTATGCCAATATTTAGCTTTGAATTGTCACCCTCTGAGCAATAATTAATACCATGTATAAAACTCATTTTGATCCAATGCCACTATTGCATTTCTCTGTTTAAATATATACATTTTTAGGATTCAGATGAGTTTTTACACAGCGGTTACCATACTTACCAAGAACTGAAAGGTGTAAGTGGACAGCATTGTGCAGTAATTGTTTGGGCTTTTTTGTTAGAAAGTTTAACAAAAAACTATTGAAAATTTTGAACCAAACAGTTTAGTCAGAACAATTTGTTAATGGAATTAATTATTTATTGCTTTCTGTCCACATTTGTATTTATTATTTTCTAATTTATATAGTTATTTTTATTGTTATAAAGTGCTCTGTTGTGGAAGATGCCCTTTCTGTTGGAAAGAAAAGTGAATTTGTCACACTTGTGAGGTAAGTCAATCCACATTGAACTCTTTGAGGAACTATTTTTTTGCATTGTTAGCAGTATTTCACACACACTGTTTAGAAGACGTGAAAATTTTCCTAAACTTTATTTTTAGATTTATGTTTTTTGATCTACAGTTGTAGCTATGATGGTGATCATCGTTTACATGAACAAGGAATTATGCTTCTCTCACTCACAGTTCTTCATCAAGGTAAGCTACATACACTGTAACATAAATGTTTCAAATTTGAAAGTGAAAGTACTTTGCTCAAGTTACTCAGAGTTATCAAGTTTTCAGCCTTTGTAGAATCAAGTCATGTGAGAAAGGAAGGATTTTGATTAAGAAATTGAGTGGCAAGGGAATGGTGTGAACAAATGTCAGGCCATTAAAATTTAGCCGTAGAATTCTCAGATGCCTGATGAGCACCCTGAAGTGGCTGAAGAGAGGTGTGGGCATTATTTTTGTTAAAATTCAACCATTAATTCAAAGTGCATTTTAAATTTGCTTTGTGACCAAATGCACTGTGGTTGGAGAGACTTTTTGAGAGTCACATTCTGGAGTGACCTAAAGGTAACTAACAGTTAGGACTGTGTGCCTGTTTCAACATAAACAGCATCTGGATGAGAAAATCCATCAAGAAAAAACTGTTTTATTGTTGTTCAAGTTAGTAAAGGCATTTGATTTATGTTTCAGTTATGAAATACCTTTGCCAGACTTGCAAGCCTTGTGACTATTTAAAAAAGTTTGAGGAAGAGATGGCCAAGAAGGAGCAGGTGAATGTCACTCTACTAATGTATGGTTAGTTTTTCCCTGGACACAGTTTGAATGGTTTTGCTCTTTCCTTACTAAATATTTTCCAAGTTTACAGTTTGCATGCAGGGAGGGGGGACTATCACCTCTCCTCATGGGAGGGGTCCATTGCTGGTTATCTGGAGCATTTTGTGACAATTAAAAATGTCTGGGAGAAAGTAGCCTTCAAGGGGTAGTGTCTAGCCACACCCCACTCCCCCCAAAAATCAATGAGAACAACAACATAATGATCCTGGCTATGGCTTCATCCTTCAGTACCTCTTCATTTGGAGTTCTACTAGGAGGTATTTAGGCCAGGGCTCAGAATGTATGTTTGGGTGTTCTTGATACATGTTTACAGAAGAAACTTATCATAAATGTGCTGATAGTCATTTTGTTGATCTATGAACAGACTTGCAGAGGGCTAAGGCTGAAAGGAAATGATCACTTTGCTGCACGTGATTACCACATGGCTGTAGCATGTTATTCTCAGGCAGTTATGTTAAGGTAAATTTGTTTTAACTTTTGTTCACTACAATGCTCTAGAGGTATTTGCTTTGAGTTTTGGTGCACTGATTACCAGTTAGTGCTTCACTTTACTATGTCTGAGGATTCTAACATCTGAGTTATCGTCAATTGTGGAGCAGTTTGTTTTGAAACTGAACTTGTTACTATCAGAGCATAACTGAATGATGTACCTCCAGGCTATCAATAAGTTTAAAAGTGTGAAGGGCTTTTGTTGTTATTGAATTTAACTTTAACTTTAACTAAGAAAATTCTCTGGAAAAGAGAAATCAGTGTCTATCTTTGGGCAGGGGATTTAAGCACTAATAACAGCTTTATTGGTAGAGCTCTAATAAAATTTGCCTGTGGTGCTTTTGAAACATGTTTTGAAATGGTGAGGAAATGAAAGTATATTAATATCCATCTGTGATCATGTTCATGTTATATCTTCCTCCAATTTTTTGATGAAATGAACCTTGCAGATGGACTACAATTTTACCCTTTAAACCCCAAGAGTGACTAGCATCTAATTTCTCACCACAATATCATCCCTGAATCACACATTAAGGTCATGAGAATAAAGGAAATGATCTTCAATAAAAGAAGCTTTTGATTAGTAAAAAAATTCTCCTTGTCAGCACCTTAGGAAATGTATAAAGAACATTATGGAGAATATACATACTGATGTTAGGGTGTAAAGGGTTAAGCCACAGTGGAAAAGTAGCCTGATTCTAGCTCAGCACTACTACCACTACTATGAAGCCACATGTTTGGAGTGAAGCAAATTTGCCATTGTGCACATAGCATGCTTATGCAATTGTAATTCAGATCTAACCTATGCAAGCCTCACTTGATGAATTTTGGATTCTTGAAACTACAGCCCATTTGATCCTTTGCTGTATGGCAACAGAGCACAAAGTTACCTCAAACTGAAGCATTTACGGTAATGTTTTGATCAAGTGCTATTAGCTATGTAGGATCTGTAAAACTTATTAAAATGATCAGAGTCCTTACCTCTGGGCTACTGTTGGTAAATGGAACGAAACAATCTATTGCCAAAGAGGAAAGTACATGTAACCTTTTTTGGTGTTGTAGGTACTGAGGCTGTTAAGGCCTGCCTGGTCAAATGCATGCAACATTTCAATGCAAAATCTTGCACCATTGTTGTGGGAAAGGTGTTGCACATGTTGGATCAAGTTTGAAAATGGTCAAATTTTTATTGCACCATTTTTTAATGTTGCATGATGTTGTGTGTGTCTGGCCAGCTCCTTCACACCATCTCACAACATGATCCAACAATGTTGCAAGGTATGTGTTGCATTGAAATGTTACATGTGTTTGACTGAGCCTTTAGGCATGCAAGGGAGTGAAATAGTTAATGTTAAGACTGAATGTGAATTTATTAAAAGCTTTGCAATATTTTCAAATCAAATTTTGATTGCTTTTATGTAGAGTTGCTCTGCATTGTTTTTATTTATGTCCAGGTCTTGCATCTCACAGCAAAATGATATGAATTGCATCTGTTGTTTGCCCTCTTGCTGGACTTTTTTGCTTTTAATTAAATCTTGTTTGTTTTATTTTGCTTTGTTTTGTGGCTTGTTATAAAAGTGAGGCTTTGTCTGATGCCAAGAGAGCTGTTTGTCTTAACCCTGAATGGGAAAAAGTAAGTATAAAACATGGCTGTTTGTCAACAAATTTATCTCCAATTATCATTTATACTTGCTCATCATTCTCTTTTGCATCTTGGAGGAGAAATGCAGCCCTGGTTATATGAATTTTTCTTTCTTCCTTTTTAAAGTAGAAACTGGTGTAATTTCATGCAATGTATACCATATTTTTTTTTAAAAAAGGAGACCTGCATGGATGCTAGCTGGCTCTCATGGATCCTCATGATTATAGCTAGTTTTTATTTTGTGCTTATTATAATTATAATTTCAGGGTCATTACAGATTTGCACAGGCATATTTTGAACTTGGATTTACTGAAAAGGCCATGGCTGTAAACTCACTTGCTCAGAAGTGTTGTTCATCCACACTTAGCTTGCTCTGCCAATCTGTTGCATTCAGGAAAGGTTTGTTTTTATGAGTACTTTAATCAACGCTAACAAGCTTGTAAGCAAAGCGAACAAAGAGTATTTTCGGATGCAGAACGTGTCATTTAGATTTTAACCCCTTCACTCCCAAGATCTTGTCAGTCATTCTCCTTACTGTCTGCCATACAGTTAATATGATGTTAGTTTTGAGAACTGGGTATTCCATCAAATAATAATTCCCTACTTGATATTTTCTAATTTTTTTTATTATTTGTCTGCTTCATATTGTATTTATATTTCAAGGAGAAATCATGTCTTGGTCTATGGGAGTCTAAAACAGGCAGCCACATGTTACTGACAATTTTGAAATATTTCCCAAGTTCATGTTTAATTATGTCGTACATTTATGACTCAGAAATGGAAAACTCAGCAGCAAAAAACACCATTCAGTGTTGCAGTGTAAGCAATGGACAAACTTCTGATGAGGGTTGTCATCAGCACAAAGGTAACTTTACTTATGCTGTAATCAAGAACTCCTCTTCAGCTCACTACAATCATAGTTTTAACCATTTAACTCCCAAGATTTGATTTTAAATTCTCCCCTCTGGCTGCCACCAATTTCCTTCTAAATTAGGGACAAGAATGTGGTGTTAGATCATGATACCAACTTCTACCTGATAAGTTTTAGTATTCTCATTACCTGTTTGCTGGATAATGTAGCAATATATTGTAGGGTGAATCACTTGTGGGAGTTAAAGGGTGTTAAAATGTCACATGACTTTACATTAGACAACAGCTTTAATGTGCCTGAATTTAGATTCAAATCTGTGAGTGCTCTCCTGCATAGGTTCAAGGGATTATTGGACATTTCAAATGAGAGAACACTTAATTGATAAATTACTTCATTAACAAGGTATTAGTTAAAAAAGGTGATTAAGGTGAAGAACAGTGTAAGTGCTGTCTACTTTCATCTGGAGCACCAATGAAATCTCATACTCTACATTGCACATCTGAGTGTTCATTGACAGAGGTGAATTTCAATTTGTGTTTTGCATCTGTAGCTTCAACAATGGGTGCAAATCCCTCCTTAGCTAAAGCTAAAGTGGGCAGTAAAAGAAACTGGAAACTCGCCAATGAAAACAGTAAAATGCGTGCCAATGCTTCATCAGTTGACAGCAACACCAGTCAAATGTTTGAAAGCGTTAAAGATTGTGCATATGTTGGTAAGCTAATTAACAGATGGTTTTTGTCTTAGGGAGTTAAAGATCATGGTTGAAACATTTTACCTGATGGTTGTTTGAATAACTGATTTGATCACTCCAATTTCTTTTCTAAATGTGGAGATGATGTAAACAGCCAATGAAGTAGGAGACAAATTTCTCCTATGTTGTTTGGGGTTTTGAAGGTCAAATTCGCCAAACCCTTAATTTGTAATAAGAGGAACTTAGTTATGAAGTGGTTGTTTGGAAATTATCCTATTCCATGAAATTTTGTTGATGGGAGGTTGTGCATATTGTGACATATTGAAATCTGTTAGATGCAAAAAAAGTTGTAGTTCAGCCCAGGATTGATTTTTCACTATATCATTGGTGTTTTTTATTCCTGAATAGTTACTGTAACACTAAAATGTTTTTCTTCACTAGTATAAACCCCTTCACACCGTAACATCAGTATGTATATTTGTTTCCTCTACATCAGTGGGCACTTTATTTTAGCCTTGATAGTATAACCACAAAAAAGTAAACTGTGGACTATCTTACCAGATTTAGATGCTTACAGTATTGTTTGGTAAAAATGGAATAAACTTACCTGAGAATGTACTTGACCAAGAAAGAAAATGGCACCAAAAAGTCACCAGGACAACTGTCACATGACAGGAAAGACAACCCTGCACCAATCACATTGTTCAATCGCGGAATGATTGCAGGCAGATGCTATCTGTGAGAATTCCAAAGATCAGTGTACATGTATAACGTCTGAACTGGAAATTAAAGAAGCTCTCAACATAGTCATGATAATCTTGAAATGTTCTGACGTGACAGAACAATGTCCTCCATACTGATCTCTCTGCTCTACAAGGGCTTCTTCAGTTGGTGATCATTTCCTTTTTTATTGTGACCACGATGTGTGATTTAGGGGTTATATTGTCACTCTCAGGAGTCAAAGGTACAAATTAAAATGGATGATTTGAGGAGGTTTTTTTTTTTCTTGTAGAACTTTTGGATGAGGATGATGAGAACTGTGAAAACCATGGCAGTAAGGATGACCACGCAGACTCTGAGTTATCAGACTACAACTCTCTCCTAGGTCTTGTCTACGCCAACAGTGATGATAGTGACGATGACATGGACATGGATGAAAGTTGTGGTCTCTCTGACGTGGCCAGTCTTCCTTCTCTGGTGTCGTTAAGTGACTCAGACACAGATTCAGAATCAGACTGGAAACCTGACCGGGATGGTGATAGTTTTAATAACCCAGATGAACGTTGCTGTTCCGGTACGACTAGTGTAATTATAGAGATGATCTTAAACCATGTTCACGGCAATGACAAACTGCAGAAGTTGGATTCAATTTGAGAGGCAAAAACAAATGTAGGAGAATTAAGGAGAATAAAAGTAGCAAATGTGGGAAAATTAAAGAAAATAAAAGAAGCAATTGTAGGAAAATTAAGGAAAATCTGAGGTTGAAGTCTTCCTTCATATGTGCAGTAGATATGGTTAACTAAATTTATCAATTAGTTTGATGTGAACTCAAGGTCGCAATCCTTGAATTTGGGGTTTACTTGTATGTCACGATCATGAAAGGGAAAGAAGAAGGGAGACCATCGGGCACAATCTTCTCTATCCCACAAGTTAGTGATTTATCAATCTTAGTGCTACTTGTACAGCTTATTGGTTCCTACATGAATGGGTATTTGCGCAAAAAAAACCTCCCAAAAACAACAAGACGAACAACAAAAACAACTTAGTACTGCAACATGAAGATGCTCACGCGTTAAATAAACTCTGTTCATTATTCTCAGACTGTGGTAGCGACGACCTGTACAGTGATAGTGAGGAAGACGAGGCTAGCAATTTTGAACCAGTAAGGTGAGGATTTCTCTTCAATATGTCATGTCAGTTGCATGTTAGCCTTGTTTTGTGTGGGGCTCTTCACACTTTGTTGCCTGTGAGCTCGCGTGGTGTTCTCCGAGACAAGAGTTCTCGGAATATAGAGATCAAGCCTCGAGATTTGTAGCCCTTACCTCGAAAGTTCCAGTTACTGAACGGGCTTGAAGCCATAAACGAATTTTCAGATTAACATTTTTAATTTTTTTAACTTTAAAAGGTTCGTAATTCGGGTCTTAGCGAAGAAACTAGTCCATTTTCTGATGCTGCATTGTTTGAATTTCAAAGCGAACGATATCTCGATCTTTTATATAACTACGGTGAGCAGAAAAGCAGCTTTTGGTGACCGCTAATTGCTGGCTTTTTCGAGAATCGGGCATCTGGTCTGGATCATTGTCCGTCGCTAGTTTATCCTCAAAGTGCCTTGCTTCACCCGGGAGCTTATTTATAAATGAGCCGACTAGAAAATGTCAGAGAAACCTGATGAAATACGGAAAGGTTTCTCGCCATGGATTAGCTATTGATCGCACTGAGTAGTCGCCTCGCTCTACAGAAACTTCCCTTACAAATGCGGTTCTATTAGCTGGTTTTTTTTTTCTAGTTTTCTGAATTAGCCTTAACATAATTTGCTCTTTGCCACAATGCTCTGGTGCTATTTCTAACTGTGCGAGTAATTTAAAATGGCGAATTGTCAACAAATTCTGCTCACTTAGTGCCAAATTTCTTTGTGGGTGTAGACGTTTGAAGAGTCAGTCTTCTGATGTGAGATATTTTTATTTGTAGGGATCATGATGATGATGTTGATGTGCATCACAGTTGTGATGATAACAGTGATGATAATGCCAATGCGGAGGAGAGTGGAGGCGATTTCGAGGATTTGTTGAACATTTTAGGGCCTCCTACAATGATAAGTAACGTGGTAAGGCAACCGTAATCCAATAACTTGCGAGAAGCGTCATGTTTCATCAGATTAAAAAATGTTTAACTAATTTTTATCCCTTCACCTTACATATGAAGAGATGTTAGGTGATTGTATAATTTTATTTCGGTAATAAATAGTATGTAGAGTGGGAAATAACACATTAGGGAAAAGAGAAAATGGAATATACGTCAAATTTTGAATCGCTCGATTTTTGCATGGTACCAAATACACTACTCCACACCAAGGTGCGTAAGAACCTGTATACTTACACTCATTATGTTACTGCTCCTATTTTCCCTTTAAAAGTTTTCTGAAACGCCTCCTGTTAATTTTTTTTGGTAACTATCAGGTGAAAATGATTGTGATACAGACACACATATCAAATTCCTTTCTAGGGCAGTATCGTGTATACCCATAGGGAGGGGGAGGATTTGCTTTGGTAACCTGTTCTTCAGACCCTCTTTTCTTGTTTGTTTGTAGGTCTCTCCTGCCACTCTACTGCTGAGTGTTCTCGTCGAGGTAATGAAGTGAGAAAAATGTGTAGCTCGAAATAAAACATGTGGGGATTTTACTTGCTATCTGAGCAAACCTGTGTAAAGCGTAAGACTCCATAATTAGTAACGTCAAACTGGGTGAAATAAGTGTTCGAGTAAGATCGTCCGGCAAAAGATCTTCCTTCCCAATCTCCCCATGCGAGATAACTGTTGATGGAACAGGTCTATGTTTGCATGAATCTGCGGTAGTCCAACTCAAGTGTTATCTAATAGATGTATCCACCTTGAACGGAGGATATGTCGCAGTTTACTTTGTGTTTTTAGTTTTTCAGGGCGCATCCAGAGATGAGGAATGAGGGTTCTCCTCCGGCATTGCCAGCAGTGATCGAGTCACTTCCCAAAGTAAAAGTAACTGAAGATCATGTCGGTGAGTGAAATATTTCTGTCGATTTTATGGGAAAATTCCTTCCTATACTCATTCTCTTTCTTTTCCCTTCTTTTGTCTATTTTTTCGAAACCCGGTAATGGAGCTACGCTATTGATGGGAATAAGGTGACGAGAAAACAAGAATAAATTAGTTGAATGAAACTAACTTGCACTTATTGCAAAAAGTTATACATTGGTGAAACAGGAAGACGACTAGAAGACCGGTTCCGATAACACCTTCGCGACGTAGAAAGAAATGACAAGGACGCATCCAAACCAGTCGCTAGACTCTTTAATCTCCTTAATCATTCTAAGCAGCATATGGCAGTTTGCGGCCTTTTCCTACATCTAGACAGTTCGGAAGGCCGCAAAACTCTAGAATTAAAATTTCTCTTTCGAGCGAGCGCTTTTCATTTAACTAATTTATTCTTGTTTTCCTGTCACCATATTCCCACCAATAGCGTAGCTCCATTTTCTGCATTTGAACCCACACACAACCTACAATTCCTCCAACCGCTTTGACGAAGGGATACGCTCGAAACGTTAGCTTTTAAACTCTTTACGGTGGCCAATTTCCGCTATAAACTCAGCTGATAATAATAATTTACCTTATCTCTTGGTGAGTTTTTGTAGCGCTTATTTGAGGCGACCAACATTTGCGAAGTTCATACTGACATTATTCTCTGGTTGCACTTGCTCTAGCCGTGAACTTATCCTGTACCATTTGTCGGTCTGATTATCAAGAGGATGACTCAGTTCTGGAGTTACCATGTTCTCATTTATTCCATCCTCCTTGCATTACTACGTGGCTAAAATTGGTAAAATATTTGTTCACATTTACAGTTACTACAAATTACTTTTTGTATTTGCCAGATAATTATAGCAAAAAATTAACCGCTTTTTAACGTGCAGAACAGTGGCGGATCCAGACCTTGAGCTAAGGGGGGGGGGAGGGGCCCCGGTTTTTGTCGCTTTGCCCTACCGGCTTTTCTTCCTTCTGCGATTCTTTTTTTTTTTTTTTTTACCCGAAAAAAAAAGGGGGGGTGGGGAGCCCGTTTCTGGAGAATACATTCTCTCAAACTCCTACCGTGGAGGGTGTTACAGTGAGGAATACTGCGTTTTTTCTTTCTGGAAATTAGACAGCTTCAACCCCTATTACGATAATGATAAAAAAAAAACAACAATATTAATGAAGAGAAGAATATAAAATAGATACAGTAAGAAGGGTGTCAAATTATAGAAATTTGTTAATCAGTTGATATGTTAGACCGCTTAAGACAGCAGAAAGACTGTATATCACTAAAAAACAAATTTACTTTTGCTTTTTTTCTGTAGCACGCCACTTGTCCAACTTGCCGCGATATTCTACCTCACTAAACGAAGAAAACGGAGGAATGAGCTAGTCTTTCAACGGATTGGCAGAACACCACGACTTAGTGCAGCTGTTTTATCTAAACCTGCACAATTTCTAGCTTGGAATCAGGCTGTATGGTGTTACCAGTGGGAAAAGTCCACTAACTAAAGACTCGAGCTCGAATCATCGGGCGCATTTAATTCCTGAGTCCTTAATAACTGATAAATTATTGGGATTGTTTAAAAGTTTAGAAGTGTAACTCAATTGCAGTACTTTGCATGAAACGAGGCCATTAGGACATGGTCGTTGATCATCTGTCGATGATTCAACTAAGAGGTAATTTTTTTGCAGACTAAGCTCTAACTGAATGGTAGAGTTAAGGTTAAGTTATTTGACCATTTTGTTTTAAAGAACTAAATACAAAGAAGATATATTACATTAGATAAGTTTTGTTCCGAGAAACGAAGTCGTAACGTCTTGTTTTTGTTATGGTTTTTTTTTAATGTTTTTTGTTTTCCAAACACTCACAAACTCCTGCTCGCTCACAAGGAGTCGTATCTCTTTCAAGAAAGTTGGCACAAATTTCATTATTGAAATTTAAAGAGGCTGACTTCAGGCTGTTTAGATCGAAATTGATCCGCCTAATCACGTCACATTTGTCAACTTCCGGTACGATCGGGACGTAAAAGGATGCCTTTGGAAATAATTCCGAAGATGTGACCTTTTCGTTTGACGCAACCTACAGGGTTGAAAGGGAAAGATTTTGAACCTCCAAACTATTTCCTTTGCGTGTCATCTCAGGGTTTTCCACCAGCTTAATCGGTTTCTCTTACGTGATAGTAAGTGTATGCATAATCTAAACTGCTGCGCTCATTCCAATTTTTTTCAACAACAAGGAGGGGAAGCGCTCGCATGTAGAAATTTCAAGCTCATTTTCTTTTAAAAGCTTTATTTTGTTTATATCAGTCTTAGTGAACAATGCCTTAATAGTAAAACTCAGTCACTTGAAGGCTGCAGCTACCTCAATCACCCACTCCTTTAAAGTAGTAGGCTCTTCGCCAGTGATCTTGGTGAAGTGTGTCATATCGGGATCATCGATCAAAGGATTCTCTTCATCCGTCATCCGGTAGATTTCTAAGATTCCATCGGCGTCCTCTTCACTAAAACCAACCACGTTGATGAGACGCTTTCTACAATTCTCGTAAGAGATTCGTTCATATTTAATTTTCCTTCCGAAGACTTCGCTGTAAGTGCTAGCAAGCTCTCCCAGAGTATGGCGATTGCTTATCAACTTGTAGGTCTTTCCATAATGCTTCTCTGGTTCGACCATGATTGCCGCCGCAGCCCTCCCAGCATCAGCTACCACAACAGCTGAGAAAGGTTTAGTTGGGTCCCCTGGGGTACTAAATGATGACTTCTCTTGAATAGACTGTTTGTGGCCCCAATAGTTGTCAACGAAAGGAGGAAGGCGAATAAAGGTGTACGGTATATCTAGATCCTTCACACTTGATTCCAGCTCGCCATACTGTTTTCCGTAGATGGAATCGGTTATCTCGACAGTAAGGACACTCACAGTAAGGATGTGTTTAACTCCAGATGACTTGGCTTCCAGTGCTGCTCCAATCGCAAGTTTCCAGCCATTGGTTGGCGTCACAATAAACAAAGACATCACGCCACGTAACAGCTCACGCAATCCCTCTTTGTCATTCATGTCAGCTCGAAGGACAGTCACTCCTGGTAGGGTTTTTAACACGACTGCCCTCTCTAATGTTGGGTCTCTGGTTCCAGCTAGGATTTTAACTTTGTCTGAGTACTTTTCAGACAGAGCTCTCACCGTGGCAGACCCCACAGATCCACTGCAGCCAAGGACAAACACTGTGGGCTTCGGCATGGCTGGATAGGAGAATGAAAAAAAAAATCAACTTTTAGGCGACAAGCAGAATCTGATAAAAACCTACGTGCAGATAATTAAAATCGAGGACATGGACCGTTGAGAGAGCAAGTGATCTAAAATATGCACAAATGGGTTCTACCAAGATCACTAAATTGAATCGCTTTTTGAATCGTTAAATAGTTTCTAATTTACAAAAATAACTTGACCAAGAGAAAGTGTACTGAAATAGAGGTATTGAAAGTAAAATTTGAGCTTGGAGGTGAAACTATTCTAAAGGTTTTTCATTGGGGAACGTGATCCAAAATCAGTCACCTGCAAAATTAAAATTAGAGGTTGCAATCTATGAAGTAAAGATGGCTCTTTTAATTCACTGTTGCAAGATATTTCGACATAATTAAAAGAGGATTTAAACGAAACTAAGAAAATTAAAGAAAGAAAGCTAAATAGAAGTCAACTTATTTTAAATACAATAATGACGAAGATTCCGTGGCGAACACAGCCTTAGGAAATACGAACGACCTAATCCCAAAACCGCGAGGAAACGATGATTTTGTGTTCGTCTTGCGTCACGAGGGAGACATGACTTCACTCCCTATTACTGAACGGTGACAGATAGTTTCCATCGTAACTTATTGGACTTTTTTTCCCAACTTATGTCCTCCTTTGTAAGAGAGGAATGCCATCCGCCTGGGTGTGTATTATTGCGTGACTTTAACGACAATGCAAATTTCTGTTGAGACTTTGCCCTCAACGTTGTTCCCTTTTAAATCAAGCGCGTTTTATACTTAAGAGGGAAATTATAGCTTTTTCGCAGTGTAACTTACCCACTAGTCCTTTCTTAATAAACCCAACTTCCCCAAGGATTTTTAGACACACCAAGTCAGTGAAATCACCCCAATCGCCCTGTTTGGGGCATTTTGTTATGTATGTTCACTAGTCTGTCCTAGGATCCAGCTCCCACTCGTTATAATCTGCCGCCTGGCATTTATTTGCAATGATGGCCGCCGACCAAAAAAAATTTTGTTTTGCGACATTTTCTGATCTTAAACCTTTATAGAATCTCATGGCATCTTTAGAGAAGTTGCAGAATGAAATTCTCCTCAAGGAAGAGGCGTTTCTGAGGGAAGAAAAGGCTAAGCTAATGGAACAGCTGAACAAGCTGAAGGTGAAGCCTCTACTGAATTTCCAAATTTTTAGTTTACCTTGCTCAAGAATCGAAGCGTTTTGTCACTAACTAAAATGTTTCAGGTGGAAGAAATGGCCCTTATGAAGTTATTAGAGCAAGACAGCGTGAATCCCCAACAGACAACCATGGAACTGTTTAGCAAGACTTCTCAAGTGGTAGGTGTACGTTGTTATTTCCACGGATCAAACCTCGTTCAAGCGATAAAATTATAAAAGCCAATACTATCTTTTTCTCGCAAAGCAGAAATGTAAAGGGGAAGTGTCACTACCAAAATGTTTTGATAACATTAACTGTGAAAATGGACTAAGTTTGTTTAATTGGAAAGTTTTTGACATCAACTCAAGTATAAGTACAATCTTTTTTGCACAATTTTTCGTTTCAGTCTTCATCATCCAGCCTTAAGATTGATGAAGTCAATCATATCCCACTGCAAGGACTAAAAACCACTGAGATGTAAGAAGTTTATATTTTTATGATTTTTAAAATCATTGTTATATGTTCAGCAAAAGTATTCCAACTACTTTCTTACCAATAATACAGGAAACCTCTTTGAACAGTACTTGTACATCAACAGGCAAAGTGCTAAAATAATTATTGACCAATGATACATTTTTTTTAAACTGAGTGAGTATGAAAACAAGATCATGTCTTGTCAACCCTTTGCACCCTAACATTAGAATGCATATTAATTCTCCATACTGTTCTCTATACATTTCCTAAGGTGCTGACAAGGAGAATTTGCTTTACAATCAAGAGTTCCTTTAGTTAGTGATCATTCCCTTTATTTTCATGACCTTATTGTTTGATTTAGGGGTGATATGGTAAGGAGAAATGAGAAACTAGTTAAAGGAGGCCCCCTCAAAAATTACTATTTTGCTACAAATAGATGAGTATTAAGTCAACTTTGGTGTTCAAACATGTGATTTTATAGGAATAATGACATTTATCAAGGGGAAGAAGAAGAAGATGAAGATGATATGGATGATGATGAACCTGCTTACAGTGAGTGAAATCAATTCTAGTTGTCATTGTTACTGTTCAAGTATTCACAGTATTTAATCTCAATTGATCAGAATAAAACTGAATCCACAAAATTCTTGTTGCAAGTTGATCAGTGTATTTAATACAATGTATGAGGATAGATGTGCATGCTTATTACAGTTGGTTTAAGTTTTACATTTTGATTTTTCCAGATGAATATATTACCGGTACCTATTTATTCTTTCCTACTGGTAACCCCAACCAGTGATCAGTGAGTAATTTCTCTCTGCAATATCAATACCATATCATGCAGAAGGGCAATGAGAATAAAGAAGAACATCAACAAGGGGACTATATAGATTTAACTCTGAATTCTCAGAACTGCATTTAAAAGAATTGTGCGGCAGGAACTAAGGAGAATTACCATTGAGATAGAGGGAGTTTAGGTTTAAAGAGCATATAGGAGCAAAACCAGGTTTAGGTTCCAGATTTTTCTCCTGATAATGTGGACAGTATACTTCATAATATTTATGTAATGGTACAGTACTTTGAAAATCCTTTTGTATTAAATGATACATTTTTTATTATTTAATAGGTCAGCAGTTACTGAATGCAATATCAAATATGCATCAACAAAACAATAATGTTGATCTGGACATTTCTAGGTAAGATTTGGGTGTTCAAATATTTAGTTCAAAATTGTCCTTGGAATGAAGGATACTAGGTTAAACTCTTCTTAAATTAAGTTTATCTGTGTGGTTAGAAGTCTAACTTTTAGAATTTAATTTTCTTGTTGGGAAAACACCACATGAACTACTTTGTCTTCATTATTTAATACAAATTGTTCCTAGGGGTTGGGTTGTGTCCTATCAGTCTGTAGCAGCCCCATCAATGCTGAGGTGTCACCCAGTTCTTGTAGCTTGAAATGACCAGGAGAGTTGTAAATCCACTTGGATGGAATTGTTCAAGCTGCAATCCATCCCAGGTTGAGGAAACCTCCTGGCAGCAGTTTCTAAAGTTTTCCCAATTATTTTTGCAGTATTAATCTGTTTTCCTTGGTGAAGAGAGGGGCACTAATAGAATAAAATTTTGTCAAGTCTCCCATAGAGATAACTCAATGACTCTTATTCACTCTCAAACCAAGACATTTCCATTCCCAATCCACCATGCTAATAATTCTTCACAAAATCTCTCACTCCAAAGTTTATTTTATGTTTTCAAAGTGACCTAATTCTGACATCATTTTCCTTTTATCTCAATATAATTTAGATCTGTTATACAGAATGTACTGCAACAAGAGATTGAAGGTTTTGATGATGATGATGAGGAAGAATATCTTTATTGATTGCTCCTGGGAATATATTTCTTGCATGTTACAAGCTGTGTTACACTGAACAAAGAACTCAGTCACAATACTACTAGAGACTTCCATGATTTTGAAGCAATGGTTGGAAGAATTGATCCAAACCAAGACAAAGCCAAAAAATATTTCATAAAAACAACAGCAACCATGATGTACATACCAGATATAAATTTGTAAATTGGGAAATAAACTTCATTAGTTTCATCTGCATTGTTGATTGAAGTACCAGTTACAATGTTGTTTGTTTATTAACAGCTTTACTTGCATACTGCTTATCATTGTTAAAGTCAAGGGTTCTATTCATCCTGTACATCCTAACAGCAGTATGCTCATTCTCCATACATTTCCTAAGATGCTGATAAGGATAACTTGTGATCATTTTTTTTATTCTTGTGACTTTGTTTGACTCAGGGGTGATCTTGTGCAGAGAAATTAGATGCAAGTTAAGTTTTCCCCAACTCATGGCACTCTTTGTGACTTGACTGTGGTGAATAAATGTAAGATGAAATTGCAACAGAACAAATCATAAGTTTTTTTAAGGTGTTCCAAAGCATGTTACTCTCTCTAAAACTGAAAAAAGGGCAAGTTTTAGAATGTAAGTCCTGACTGCTAACTTCAAGCAATTTTCCAGAAGATTGTATAGCAAGGAGGAATGTTAACTAAGAATGGAGTGCTAGTGAGGAGTGATGACAGAAATAATGTGATAATTGTTAAACTTTATTGAACACTTTTGTACCCAGCTTCAAAGACTCTAGTGAAATTATTGCATATGATGTGATTTGTGTCTAGAAAAAGTTTAAACATAACTATGGAAGATAACAGCAGAAATATAAAGCTTAGTGATTGTGGTATATTTCACACTTAACTGGAATCTCCTTTCTGCTCTGCTTTGTTCAATGTTACTTATAACTAAAAGAGTACACCTTCTAAGTGCATGTTTGAACTGAAAACTGTAATAATAAACAAGAAATTAATCCTCTTTTGTAGCTCTGGAAAACTTGATCCTGCTCTAATTTTGTTGGATCTACTTATTACAAAGACTAAATCTAATGTACACTTCTTGTTGACTTTGCAACACTGATGCAGTTGACAAAAAGTACACAACTGTAACCATATGTGTGGAGCCCTGTAGGTTACAGCAGCTTGTAATAGTTGCTTTGAAGGTTAAAAGGGACAAAACTGATCATTATGGAACAGATGTTACTTCTATGTTTTTAGTGAGAGGATCTGGAAATGTTGAGTCATCATCAGGAACCTCCAGCATCTGCTGCTGATGCTGCAATGAAAGAAAAACAAAAATAAAAACTGACGTAACCTTGGTAAACTTTAAGGAGGGATAATTTTTCATTTACAAGATCTGACTGTTGTTTGTGCCTTTCTAGAGTCTTGTGGCAATGAAATTGTTTTTACTATATGGTTATAATGAAAGGAACCAGTCACATATTTAAGGTTGTTATTAGCAACTGGTAGGCAGTGGAAACTCAGTAGCAAAGGGAAAATTTTGGGTCAACTCCTTTGTAAATTGTGAAAAGACACAAAATATGTATTTTTGAACTGATTCTTGCCTCAATGTGTGGCTATAAAAGGTTACTCACCCATGTCCCAGAAAGCTGAAAATCACGTTTTGGAAAGCTTCAATTTAAGACATTTTTCAGGGGAGCATGCCACCAGACCCCTCAAGAGAGTGTGCATGTCATGTTTTCATTCAACCACCTACTCAGTTCTGATCATACATCTATAAATTTCTTGATGAAAACCCAATATAGTCCACTTTTTAGGAATGAAACCTTTCATAAATGTGAAGTTGAATGGCAATAAGAAAAGTTAAGTGATCCATGTTTCAGAGAGGCACTCCAGATCCCCTAGAAGATCGTACCTAGAACTAAAGAATAAGTAGTTTCTAGTCAAAAGCCATTTCACTGCACAAACCTTTTCCATCGCATGCCACTACTTTCACTTTGTCCACTTGGACAAGTTCTCCTACTTCTCGGAATTCTACTTTATTGAGCACAAAGGTCCACACATTGTCACAAAATCTATATGTGTTCAAGTGACCCTGAAAAAGAAGGGAAACTGAGCAACTGAGTATATGTCAGTAATATGTGTTACTTGTGTTAATAAAAAACAAGGCATATTTTACCTACCTTGAAAGAAATTTTGCTTTTGACTTTACTGGAGAGGTAATGGTTAATAGCTTTATCAAACTGTAGTAAAACTTGCAAAGCTAGCTGTGGGCTTATCTGTTGTGACTGAAAATGGGATAACAAATATGGTTAGTGAACAAATCTTGTCTCTTGGGCTTACTACGTTTTCATAAATTAAATGCACTTTTCTAATAACGACACAAGTGATTAGTATCTAGATTCTCTGAAGAAATATTGCTACACTCTAAAGAACACTCACTGGTAAGGAGAATTGAACATATGATATTAAAACATAGCTAGCAAATTGAGGTAACCAAATACAAAGGTGCAAGCATGTTTCATAATCATATTCTGCATGCTAATGATGTCAGCAAACAAATGCCTTGGACTACTAATTTTCATCTATGAGTGCCTGCACTTCCAACCAGTTTGGCCACAAGTTTTGAGATTTTCAAGATGGTTTTTCTATTCCATCCTAATTAACAAAGTTGTTTAGGAGCTCTAGATGAAAAGTAAATCAACAGAAGGATAATCAATTTGGAAAGTTCTAAGTTATTTCAAGAAATAACATTCAAAATACTGCATTGACAATGTTATTCACACATCAGCTGTGGGTTCATGGAGAAGTGAAGTACTTAGGAAGTTTTGAGAGCACTCAAGAAGCTAGACTGGCTCTCCAGCAACCCTCTCTCTTCTCTTGTGCTCTCAAAATTTCCCCTGTGCTTCATATCCCCATGAACATGTGGCTGATGTATGGTCAATTGTTAGTTGTTATAGTTTATCACTAAATTCTCATAAATAGCTTACAACTGTTTGTATGTTTATACAATTGCCAAACTACCTGTTGGATCTTCAGGGATAACTATGAAGTAAAACAACATTTTTCCTAACTAAACAAATAATATAAAAGATTTCCACATTTCTATAAAATTTGGTTACTATTGATTAAAAGCAAAAAACTGTTATTTTTACAACAATTTTCAGTTGAATAGCAAATAAAAAGCAAGCTGTATAAATTCATATTCTGGTGTTACAAAACAATGGATCAGCAGACTGTGGAACCTCCAGAATCTCTGGAACCTGTGGTACCATTAATTTTTTTGTACAAAAAATTATAATGAAATAAAAAAGAAACTAAAAACACCTTAGCACTATTCAAGATTTTGTTTTCAGGTCTAAAGAAGATAACTTTTACATGATAAATAAGTTTCTTTTTTATTTCTTTGACATCCAACCACAGGGTGCCAAGTTCACACAATGATCACTCTGAATAAAACAAATATGTTCATGCAGTAAATTTGTTCCAGATGCCCCAACCACCCTGAAATTCTGAAATTCTACTGTCATCACAAGCAACAATGTTACTTTATGCTTAAGTTCCTCATTCCAGGGTCATGTACAATGAATTACAGCCTAAAGGTTTGTTAAGAACCTTCAAATGAGGTGTTATTAGGATACTGCAGTACCAAAACCTTTAAAGCTTTCAAATTATGGTTCAGTTATTGACATTCAAGGTAGGTGACTGCTAATCGCTCCTACTGACATTGCATACCAGTGTTCAGGTAAAATAAATTTTCAAACCGGTAAAGCAATCCTTTTACCTGTTGAATTTTCAAGAATTCCAAGCAATTTTAAACAGTAATAAGAGGTACTAAAGGCGGTAAATGCTACCGGTTACTGCCTGAAAAGGAGAACATTGCATACCCTTGTACTAGTACTGTGAATGTTGTCACAATTAGAGTAGGACGTCAAGGACAGTTGAAACATATTTATCTTTTTAAGTATTCTTCTTTATACCCAAAAACGAACTTTCAGACAGCGTTAAGGTCTTTTTACTTTTTATTTTATCTGATTACGTTTATTTTACAAAGAATCATTGTTTCTTAAGGTTCTGCAGCTTCTGTGGTCTGTTGATCCACAGTCTAGCAACACCCTTTATATTCTGATTGAGACAACACAAGCTACACTTTGCTATTTGGTAATTTTAAAACCCAATATGATATTAGCGACTGGTATTAATCCGGAGGACAGGGCAAAATTATCAAATGCATTAATTCAGCAATGTTGTTGAAAAGATTCGAAACTATTTGGGTCGATCGAGGTTGGTATTTACATGATCTGTGCAATAGCACACAAATATTCTGAAGAAGGCTGTCACTGCTCTGTTGGATCAGCGGACTAAAAGCCCTCATTTTTTCCCCCGTGAAAGTGTAAAGCCACCTTTTCTTTGCGGCAACGCTAGTGACAATCGACGACAAGTTTGGGGCTTCGTGGCCAAATTTATGTCGCACATAAAATTCATACGAATACAGAACATACCAGAGAATACAAACTTACTGAGAAAAAAAGGCAAGGAGTAGCTCGCCTAACATTTAAAAAGAGAAAAAGATTCAACCCAAATGAAATTACAGTCTTCGTGAAGGCGTTTTTCACTTTCAAACAAAGAGAGTCAACGTGACTACTGTATTTTTTTTCAGGGGGCTATCAGCTTCGACCAGAATACATCGAAAATATTCATATTAATTTAATATGTTGAGGAAATATTGTGCCGTAGATAAAATGAAGAAAGTGTGCGTATCGAGAAGAAATGAAGAAACCAGCTGAAGTCGACATTCTGTGCCAGGGTTCACAATCTGGTTAAGACTTCACAAAAGAAATACGCAATAAAAGAAATTAATCCTCGAGTTCTGTTTGGTTCTGCCTCACACTCTTATGAAACAAAGAATCTTACAAAAAAAGGCAAATTTCAAGTGTCTCTGGAACTGCATGTCTCTAAATTCAAATCGAGTGAATTGGAAAATCAAGTTACAGACTTAAGCGAACGTGGCTACTCAACCAGCCCCTCTGTTCCTTCCCGAAGAAACTACCCTTGAAAGCATTTTCTTGTTGTAGCCGACCAAATAAAGATAATTTACCTGTATCAACTCGTCCAAGCTCTCCTGCAAGCTGTTCCCCAACGTGGTGTTTCGGTAGAGTTGGTAGCTCATCTTCCTGTGGCAGCTCAGAGTTTTTATAGTGTGCTCCTTCCAGCCGCTTCCTTTTTTGGCTGTCTGAATCAGCCGCCATCTTGAATTTGACCATATATGGTATGGTGCCTTAATCCCTCCACCAAGCTCTCTCTGATGTATGAATGATTGGTGAAAAGGTACCCGGAATTACTCTAGTTTTGCTTGCTCTCTCTGTCTGAAAAGAAAACGCGAGAAGACCTGAGAAGGAGGGACAAGAGAGAAAAGGGGAAATAAGGTAGAAAAGAGAATGTTAAGATAAGCAAATAGAGAAGGTTACTGTTTTCGTGTGCCAACACTATCCAGCATCAGGAGGCCCTCAACAACGCTGAATGCTGAACGACCGTGTGCTAATTTAAAAATCCACCCTACAAGGGCGGTTGGTTGGTCGCTAACCTAGGTCTTTTTTCCACATCATCGCTTTCGGAGTTTCATGTAAGCTTTATATGGGGCAGCGGTCGGCAGTAGTCGATGGTGCTGACAAAATTATCAGCTGCTCTAAATGAGATAATTATGCTCACGAGTGATAAGGGAAGGACCATTACGAAAGTGATTTAGATGGGGGAGGGGGGTAATGATAGCTTTTATTTCGAAAATGCGCGGACTATCCCTTAAAGACAAGAGTTATGGCTCAGAACTAATTACTTTAATAACAGTTGCTAGAAAATCCACAAACACCACTTTTAATTGCAGCTTAGTTGCTTATGGTTCACTTGTACTTTAGCACTAATTACAAAGATTAACAAGTGATCAGTTTTATTTGATTCTACTTGTAGCTACTTTACAATATTTATATCTTGCTAAAAAAATTCTGTTATTTCAAAATTACTATTTCTAACACTAGAAATTTAATTATCAATTATCTGATAGCACCTTATTCTTTGCTGTCTTGTGTATCACTAACATCGCTAACTCTTGGCTATCCTTAGGTTCCGGATTGTTTCTTTCTAATCAAAAAATTGAATAACTTAACTCCGTCTATCAAGTATCAGCATGAAAAAAGGGGTCAAATCATGGGCAGGGTTAAAAATTTAAAAAATTGCAGGAAATTTTCTCTCGGAATTACGGAAAAATCGATGATTTACAGTAAGGCAAATGCAAGCAGTGAGTCTTTTTCGATCAAGAATTGATCATTAAGCACAGTAAAAAAACGTCCACGACACTTTTGTGATACGCTACGGCTCCTATGGGAACAAGGAAGACCTGATCTATTTGTGTACTAATATTTACGTACAGCAAACTAACGCAAACAGATTAGCACTAGGATTCTGCATCCGATTTAAAAAAGAGAGAGACATTTGACGCTACTTGAACAGTTGAAATTTGTGCTTTCAATCTTCACAATCGTTCGCAATATGGAAAGTAATCTGCCAACAAATGGAAAAGCATAGAGTATTCAGTATTGAGAATATAGAAAGAAGGAATTATTATTCAATACTGAGAATGTAAGTGGAAGGATCTCTCTCATAAAATCGAGAATCTATCACATATTGTTAACTCAATCATAGGCCGCTTTTGCATGTTTTAAAACCTTGTCGAAAAAAAACGCTTAGAATCACTGAGCGGATTCTGCGGTTCCCTTACAGGAGGAGGATGATTTGGACGAAACTTAACTTCCAAAAGTGGAGAACATCGTTCGAACTCCACTCTGAGTTCCTCAGGGTTTTCCTGAAGGAGTAGAAGGATGATCGAGAGCTTAGTTAGTGCATTTACTGTTCAGAAGGAGGGTAAGGTTTGACCATAACCAGGGGATTACATGATTCCCCGAGTTCACATTCCCTTTTTAAGCGGTCAGCACCTGTCGTTCCGATAAAAGGGTGCCGAGAGAGAAAGCTTTGGGAACGTAATTTCTATTCCTAATCTTAACGAATTGCGTTTGTTGGTTCCTACAAAAGATACAGTGATTCTATATTCTAGTTGACAACAAGGGTGGCACGGTGAAGGGGGGGGGAGGGGGGAAGGGAAAAGGCATAGTGGGAAGGTAGGGTGTACAACGATTTGTCAAAAAAGATGGCCTCTTGATTTGGAGAAATTAAAGAGATATTTATACATTAAAACTTACCTTTCCACGGCGTTTGATAGTTCTGAACCAAAACCCCACACATATTCCACCAATGAAGGCACCGACAAAGGTAGCAATTATAGCGTAAGATAAAGTGGAGAAACTAATGTGGGGGGAGGTTGAGCATTTTTCCTTTTCTGACTCTTGGTTTATTTTGGATTCTAAAAGGGAAGTGACAACAAGACATGCTTACTGTGGTGAAAGTATTTCAGAGGATTAATTAAACCGAAAGACTAACCAGTACTTTCTGACAACTTTGTGCAAAAATCATCCAGTTTCCGTTTCTTCAGTAGGCTCACTATGAGTATGAACTACTACCATACATCCAGCCTACTTAGTACGCTGTTAAAGAGAAGGCAAGTTACACGTGCACGCGAGGGCCGACACCCGTAAGTTCTCGCCCGCGCTCGTTGTCATTAAATCACTCGCGCTCAGTGCCTCAACATCCTCATATGCAGGGTAGCGCGTCACCAACTTATTAGGACTACTAAAGCAGAATAAATTTTAGCCTTGGGTTGGACTAAACAGAAAGAAGGAGTGAGAAGTAAAACATTTCTTTGCCATGTTTATTGACCAAAGTCAACTGAATAAGGCTAAAATTTCCAACAATGTAAGGGAGTCTTACCTAACTCTTTTATGTACAAGAAAGCCGCTGACGATGTCCTCTCACCAGCACTGTTGCTTGCAACGCACTGATATTTGCCATTATCTTCTATCTTCACTTCCGTTATTATCAGCTGACTGTGATTATTTTTGTTATCTGAAACAACCCTGGCTCTCACATTGGATGTTACTGCATATGAATTGTTGTTCTTCATCCATGAGATGGCTGGTGTTGGAAGACCCATGGCAGTACAGTTAAAAGTTACATTGGAGCCAATGAAAGCGCTTTGGTTCTTTGGGTTTTCAACCACATTAGGAAATAGAAGATGGGGTGCCTTTGTTGTCTCAGGTGGACTTAAGTTTTCTGCAAAATAACCAATCAATAGTACTATGGCAAGTAAGTGGAAACTTTGGGGTGAGGGGGGTGGGGGAAGGGAATAATCTTGAAAAGCTTGAATAAATGGAATTTGCAAAAATATCCTGTTTTTCACCTACACTATTGCTGATTTCCGTATCCACCTTTGCTATTTTATTGCAACAGCCTTTGATGGAGATAGCGAAAAGAAATAACTACGATAGTAAATATTTAACCTGCCCAAATTAATTTGTGTTAGGAATAATCTGATTCTTACCTTTAGGGAGAATTTCAATGGATTTTCTTCTGCAGTATCCAGTATAGTCATTTTCTGCTTCACAAGTGTAGTTCCCGAAGTTTTCTACGATCAGATTCTTAAGAATTAACAGACATTTCAGTTTCTTTACTAGTCTTGCGTTTTGGCATTTGACTCCAACAGGTCTCCCATGGGGATCATACCACTGAATATACTTGACCCTTCTCCTGGGAAAAAGCACGTCTTCATCCCTTGGTCGCGCTTCACAGGTCAGATTAATGGCTGCTCCGATAGGTTGCGTGCGGTCTGGCGGACTTGAGAAGATTTTAACTTCAGGTATAACTGGACAAGGAAAGAAGTTTATGAGCCACAAATTTGTAAAAACCTGGCTTATCATTAGCAAGTTGGCGGAACATAGAATTCAGTGCGAAAAATTCCCTTCTTGGATGAAGTGTCAACAATTAAAAGAATAAAACTGTCACTGTTGATTATATTCACAAATGAAAAAGACCTGGGTAATAGTAATACTTACCAGATTTGGTGTTACATGTTGCAGCATCGCCCGTGACTGACGAGAAGTGCAGTAGAGAATTGGCAACAAGAACTTGTAGCAGGATAACCTTTGTTGTGTCTCCTCTCCAGAATGTGTTAACCATCATGATATGCTGTCGAATAGTTTTGTTTCTGGTTCAAAAGAAAGGAAAAAAGGAAAGAACTCCTTGTAACTCCAGTTTTCATACTGGGTGTCTTCTTAATGTGCGGCCCTGCACGTACTTTTATTTTAGAAGATTACCTTTATAACAAATATCTTGGTACAAGGGCCGTATGCAATGGTCCGAGCAGAGCTGGTAGAAGTCGCACGAGCTTGTGTTGGTCCTTGCAAGATTAAATGTGCAAGAAGACATGATAAAAAAACCAAAAGTGCAATATATGTGATAAAATTGGCTGAGTTTAGGCGAGGCGGATGGGAAAATATTTGGTCTATTTGGTTAGACTACTGAAAAGCCACATTAATTTTTGGAATTGCTTGATATATCTAAACAAACATCTGATATTCGTAGGAAGTTTGAAAGAACCTTTAAGTGTCGACAACCGAGCGATATTAAAGTATGCCCAAAGAAGAGAAGAAGAGAACTGTCCTCCAAAAAGCCAAATAAATATTTGGAATCGCTTGACATTTCTAAACCAACATCTGATATTTTCAAGAACTTTTGGAAGAACCTTTCGGCGGAGTATGTGAACATTTCTGACAGCCAGGCATTTAGTCACATCGTTTTGAAATACAGCTATTGTGTGTTTTGATATAAAAAAATGTTAAACGCCGCCAATCGTTTGGGATAAGTAGAAAACGTCCATCTTTATATATTGTTAGTGCTAGATTTAGCGTAATCAGTGAACTGGAGCCCGGCAAAAAAATTATCCACATTTCTATTTCGAAATTAACAATGAGTAAGCTGGGACGTAAGTCTGATGCAGTTGAAGAATGTAAGTGCATCAATCTGCCCGCGAGTTCGTACGGACGGAAGCTCTCTGTCTTATAGTAAGGTTTTGACGTAACGATGGACGTTGAAGGCATCGGAATTCACAAAGAAGTCAAGAGAGGATGTTCTCATGAAAGGCATACGTATGGAAATGATCCATTTCGGAGAAATGCCAGGATATTAAGCTAAGGCAGATGTCTTTTAAAACGAACTTTGCTACGCTTTTGCTTACTGTCGAGATCGGTAGCAAGGCTTGAAATATTAAAACAGATCGAAATCAGTAAACCTAGGAAAACGGCCCAGGTAATTTTCGAATGGTTCATTGTTAGGTGTTCACTTCTCAGTTGAAGACTGGTTTACTTTGAACCCGTGTTTGTCAGGTTTATCGCCTCGCAACTTACCAGCCCGAATGGCTATGACTTGTAGCGACTTCGTCCTTGATGGCCGCCAATCGCTCCCTATTTTTTTGATGTCTTTTTAAGTCGGATGTCCTTTCTTTGAATTAAAACCGGTCCTAAATGTTGCCAATGGTCAAAATTAGCTGAATCGTATGCATTCCCTGACAGGCTAAGACGATTTTAACGGCTTCCTCTAGGGATGATGATCGAATTAAAAATTCTTTGAATTCATAATCTATCGATAACGTGGTTCGGCCGAGTGAAGATAAAATATCATTGCTACTCGTATTATTAGTACTCGTTAGTCCTTTTAATCCACCGCAGACTTTGTTTGAGCTGGTGGTATACGGTAAACCAAAGCATAACCACAAATAGACAAATTTTAGTTTTTTCTTTTCTATTTCAAATTTCATAATAAGACCGATAACATTTCTGCGGGTGAAACAAGACGAAAATGTTGAAACTGTTCAAAATGTGGATGCGTTTAGCAGCTGAACATTCGGCCACCGTCATATTTATTTTAGCTGGCAGAGGCAAAGTAAGAACTTTGGAATGTAAGATATTTTTAAAAACCTATAACGTTATCCTCTAAATTGTCCTTTACTCTTGTAAATAGCCCGAAACAAATTTAATAAGGAGTAAACTTCTCGAAGTTTCTAAATAGGTTACAAGTGAAACGTAATACCAGAGAAAGTGTCTAAAATTCTTTTAACGATTCGGTGACGATATTTAAATAACCCCTTCATCGACATTTCCCTGAAACTAAAGGTCTCTAAACTCAAATCGAGTGAATTGGAAAATCAAGTTAAATACTAAGGCGAAACGTGACTTCTCAACCAGCACTTCTAAAAAACTACCCTTGAAAACATTTTCTTGTTGTAGCTGACCAAATAACAATAATTTACCTATATCAACTCGTCCAAACTCTCCTGCAAGCTGTACCCCAATGTGGTGTTTCGGCTGAGTTAGTAGCTCATCTTCCTGTGGCAGCTCGGAGTTTTTATGGTGTGCTCCTTCCAGCCGCTTCCTTTTTTGGCTGTCTGAATCAGCCGCCATCTTAAATTTGACTAAAAATGGTCTGATGCCCTTATCCCTTTTTCAAGTTCTTTTGACAGCTTTTACATACTTAGGTAATAAAATGATTGGTAAATGGTACCCAGAGTTACTCTGGTTTTGCCAGCTCTCTCTGTCTAAAAAGAAAACGCGAGAAGTCCTGAGAAGGAGGGACAAGAAAGAAAAGGGGAAAAAAGATAGAAAAAAGGATGGGAAGATAAGCAAATAGAGGAGGTTTTTTTTTTTCGTGTGCTAATTTTATCTCGCGTCAGAAGGCCCCTCAACAACACTGAATGTTGAACGACCGTATGCTAATTCAAATCCACCCTACAAATGGAGTTGATTGGTTGCTAACTTAGGTCTTTTTTCCACATCATCGCTTTGGGAGTTTCATGTAAGCATGAAAACAAACATCTGATATTCGTAGGAAGTTTGAAAGAACCTTTGAGTGTCGACAACCGAGCGATATTAAAGTATGCCCAAAGAAGAGAAGAAGAGAATTGTCCACCAAAAAGCCAAATCAATATTTGGAATCGCTTGACATTTCTAAACCAACATCTGATATTTTCAAGAACTTTTGGAAGAACCTTTCGGCGGAAATTCTGTGAAAATTTCTGACAGCCAGGCATTTAGTCACATCGTTTTGAAATACAGCTATTGTGTGTTTTGATATCAAAAAATGTTAAACGCCGCCAATCGTTTGTGATAAGTAGAAAACGTCAATCGTTATATCGTTAGTGCTAGATTTAGCGTAATCAGTGAACTGGAGCCCGACAAAAAAATTATCCACATTTCTATTTCGAAATTAACAATGCTTTCATAAGTAAGCTGGGACGTAAGTCTGATGCATTTGAAGAATGTAAGGGCATCAATCTGCCCGCGAGTTCGTACAGACGGAAGCGAAGTTTCCTTGTACAGTGTAGTTAGAGCTCTGTTTAGTAAATATGGAGTTCTCTGTCTTATAGTAAGGTTTTGACGTAATGATGGACGTTGAAGGCATTGGAATTCACTAAGAAGTCAAGAGAGGATGTTCTCATGAAAGGCATACGTATGGAAATGATCCATTTCGGAGAAATGCCAGGATATTAAGCTAAGGCAGATGTCTTTTAAAATGAACTTTGCAACGCTTTTGCCTGTTGTCGAGATGGGTGGTAAGGCTTGAAATATGAAAACAGATCGAAATCAGTAAACCTAGGAAAACGTCCACTGTAATTTTCGAATGGTTCATTGTTAGGTGCTCACTTGTCATATGAAGACTAGCTTACTTTCAACCCGTGTTCGTCAGGTTTATCGCCTCGCAACTTAGCAACCCGAATGGCTATGACTTGTAGCGACTTCGTCCTTGATGGCCGCCAATCGCTCCCTATTGTTTTGGTGTCTTTTTAAGTCGGATGTCTTTTCTCTGAATTAAAACCGGTCCTAAATGTTGTCAATGGTCAAAATTAGCTGAATCGTATGCATTCCCTGACAGGCTAAGACGATTTTAACGGCTCCCTCAAGGAATGGTGATCGAATTAAAAATTCTTTGAATTCATAATCTATCGATAACGTGGTTCGGCCGAGTGAAGATAAAATGTCATTGCTACTCATATAATTAAAGAAAATACCATGTAAGTTCTTTCTATCCACCGCAGACTTTGTTTGGGCTGACGGTAAACCAAAGCATACAAACACAAATTGACAAATTTTAGTTTTTTCTTTCCGTTCAAATTTCATAATAAGACCGATAACATTTCTGTTTAAAATGTGGATGCGTTTAGCAGCTGAACATTCGGCCACCGTCATATTTATTTTAGCTGGCAGAGGCAAAGTAAGAACTTTGGCATGTAAAATATTTTTAAAAACCTATAACGTTGTCCTCTAAGTTAACCTTGACCCTTGTAAATAGCTTGAAACAAATTTAATAAGGAGGAAACTTCTCGAAGTTTCTAAATAGGTTACAACTGAAACGTAAAACCAGAGAAAGTGTATAAAATTCTTTTAACGATTCGGTGACGATATTTAAATAACCCCTTCATTGACATTTCCCTGAAACTAAGCCGGTCTCTAAACTCAAATCGAGTGAATTGGAAAATCAAGTTAAATACTTAGGCGAAACGTGACTTCTCAACCAGCACTTCTGAAAAACTACCCTTGAAAGCATTTTCTTGTTGTAGCCGACCAAATAACAATAATTTACCCGTATCAACTCGTCCAAACTCTCCTGCAAGCTGTTCCCCAATGTGGTGTTTCGGCTGAGTTAGTAGCTCATCTTCCTGTGGCAGCTCGGAGTTTTTATAGTGTGCTCCTTCCAGCCGCTTGCTTTTTAACTCGTGAATTGCGCGCATGCGCAAGAGCGAGTTGTAGATATGATGTGGAGAATGGCACTCGCTCGCTCGCTCGATTGGTCGATTCCTTTAAAATTTTTTTCGACTTTAGGCTTTTGAGTGCATTTGATAGTTTTGGCTGGTAATAAACAAACGAAGTGGCGACCTTTGTTGCTAAGAACAGTGGTGAGGTGAAAAAGAAGCCAATGATAATCTTAAAAGAGTTTTTTTTTTTTTCGTTTTAGTTTCAACAAGGGGCGCTAGCGACTGGCAGGCGTGCGAAGATTCACACTGAAATAAGAAAACAACCTTGTTTTTCATAAAATTGTAATTTACAGTCCTTGAACTTGAAAACAATCCGAAGATTCATTAAAAATATTACTTACTCCAAAGCGCTCGGAGTCTACAGGTGTTCAAAAGCTTTTTCTGTTATGGCGTGAGATTGGGGACAAAATCGATCATTACATTTCGTATCGTGTGTTTTTTCTGCGTGAAGCAACAGAAGGTGCCGGCGACTGACCAAATTACAGGTTAACGAGAAAATCAAGTAACACCAAGACAAATAATTTTGGCTACCGATTTTCAGGGAATTTTTAAAGAACAATTTTCTTTTAAGTTTCAAGACAATTTGAAGATTCAAAATAAATACTACGTACTAAAATGCGAAAGTTATACTCTACCAATTGATAAATAGGCCTGAAATGAAATTCTATCTTGTTTTCGATTATACGTTGCCTAGCACGTGACCAAAATCTACCCAGGCGGAAATCCAAAATGACGGTGGCAGTCTGGGCTTAGTTATATCACTCAAAACCCGTTCCCGTTTGTCTCATTTGAGGGACAGAGGGAATAGACAGTAAATTTCACTTTTCACCCACATTTATTTCCAACCTTTTCTTTTGAAGCAGAAACAAAAATGATATATGTTTAAAACACATGACATCATCCACCCTTGTCAAATGTCATAGCATGATCATTTCAATTGTAATGCCTTCTTATCCCAACTTTACTTTGTTTCTTTGCTACATTAGCGAACACTGAACTACTGCTCGTACTCTAATATAAATATGACAATCAACCACAAAATTCCATAAACCAGATAACGTTAAACATAATCCAAAAAATCATGTAAGTCATCTGTCAATTCACAAGTTTGCTCACAGAGCACTTTGTTTTGGCTGTCTGAATCAGCCGCCATCTTGAATTTGACCATATATGGTCTGGTGCCCTAATCTCTTTTTCAAGCTCTTTTTGACAGCTTTTACTTAGGTAGTAAAATGATTGGTAAAAGGTACCCGGAGTTACTCTGGTTTTGCTTGCTCTCTCACCATGACAACGATTCACCATGACAACAACGCGAGAAGACCTGGGAAAGAAGGACAAGAGGGAAAGGAGGAAAAAAGGTAGAAAAGGAGATTGGAAGATAAGCAAATAGAGGAGGTTATTTTTTTCGTGTGCTAAGATTATCTCGCGTCAGAAGGCCCCTCAACAACACTGAATGCTGAACGACCGTGTGCTAATTCAAATCCACTTTACAAATAGAGTTGGTTGGTTGCTAACGTAGGTCTTTTTCCCACATCATCGCTTTCGGAGTTTGATATAAGCTTTATATGGGGCAGCGGTCGACAGCAGTCGATGATGCTGACAAAATCATCAGCTGCTCTACTGTAATTAGAAGTCATCTTATGTTTTTTTCGTTTGGCACGAAAAACGGTAGACTGAAGGCACTGGCTGGCATTACAGGGAGCACGATCCACAAACACCACTTTTGATTGCAGCTTAGTTGCTTATGGTTCGCTTGTAATCTAGCACTACTTCCAAAAACTAATAAGGGATCAATTTTAATTGATTCTACTTGTAGCTACTTTACAATATTTATATTTTGCTAAAAATATTCTATTATTTTAAATATTACAATTTCTAACACTAGAAATTTAATTATCAATTATCTGATAGCATCTTTTTCTCTTATGTCCTGTGTATCACTAACATCGCTAACTCTTGGTTATCCTTATGTTCTGGATTGTTTCGTTCTAACCAGCAGATGAATAAATTAACCTCGTCTATCGGGTATGATCATGAAAAGAGGCAAATCTCAAAACACGAAGGATCCATCATTTCGTCAAATTATGGGCAGAGTTTAAATTGCAGTAAATTTTCTCTCGGAACCACGGAAAAATCGATGATTTACAGTAAGGCAAATGCCAGCAGTAGGTCTTTTTCGATCAAAAGAAAACGGTCCTGGCACTTTTTTGATACGCTACAGCTCCTACGGGAACTAGAAAAAGACCTGGGTATTAGTGTATTCATGTGCACAGACAGCAAACTAACGGAAACAGATTAGCACTAGGATTCTGCATACGATTCCAAGACGAGAGAGAAATTTGACGCTACTCGATCTGTTTAAACTCGTTCTTTCCCTGCTCACAGTCGTTTGTAGGATGGAAAGTGATCTGCCAACAAATGGAAAAGCGTAGAGTATTCATTATGGAGAGCATAGAAAGAAAGACTTACTCAATATTGAGAATGTAGGCGGAGGGACCTCTCTCGTAAAATTGAGAATCTATTATATAGTGTTAGCTCAATCATAGGCTGCTTTTGCATATTTTAAAACCTTAAAACGCTTAGAATCACTGAGCGGACTCCGCGGCTCCCTTACAGGAGGAGGATGATTTGGACGCAACTTAACTTCCTAAAGTGAAGAACATCGTTTGAACTCCTCTGTGAGTTTCTCAGGGTTTTCTTGAAGGAGTAGAAGGATGATCGAGAGCTTAGTTAGTGCATTTACTATTAAGAAGGAGGGTAAGGTTTGACAATAAACAGGGGATTACATGATTCCCCGAGTTCACATTCCCTTTTTCAGCGGTCAGCACCTGTCGTTCCGATAAAAGGGTGCCGAGAGAGAAAGCTTTGGGAACGTAATTTCTATTCCTAATCTTAACGAATTGCGTTTGTTGGCTCCTACAAAAGATACAGTGATTCTACATTCTATTTGACAATAAGGGTATCACGGTGAAGGGGGGGGGGGGGGGGGGAGGGGGGAAGGGAGAAGGCATAGTGGGAAGGTAGGGTGTACAACGATTTGTCAAAAAAGATGGCCTCTTGATTTGGAGAAATTAAAGAGATATTTATACATTAAAACTTACCTTTCCACGGCGTCTGATAGTTCTGAACCAAAACCCCACACATATTCCACCAATGAAGGTACCGACAAAGGTAGCAATTATAGCGTAAGATAAAGTGGAGAAACTAATGTGGGGGGAGGTTGAGCATTTTTCCTTTTCTGACTCTTGGTTTATTTTGGATTCTAAAAGGGAAGTGACAACAAGACATGCTTACTGTGGTGAAAGTATTTCAGAGGATTAATTAAACCGAAAGACTAACCGGTACTTTCTGACAACTTTGTGCAAAGATCATCCAGTTTCTGTTTCTTCAGTAGGCTCACTATGAGTATGAACTACTACCATACATCCAGCCTACTTAGTACGCTGTTAAAGAGAAGGCAAGTTACACGTGCACGCGAGGGCCGACACCCGTAAGTTCTCGCCCGCGCTCGTTGTCATTAAATCACTCGCGCTCAGTGCCTCAACATCCTCATATGCAGGGTAGTGCGTCACCAACTTATTAGGGCCCCTGAAGCAGAATAAATTTTAGCCTAGGGTTGGACTAAACAGAGAGAAGGAGTGAGAAGTAAAACATTTCTTTGCAATGTTTATTGGCCAAAGTCAACTGAATAAGGCTAAAATTTCCAACAATGTAAGGGAGTCTTACCTAACTCTTTTATGTACAAGAAAGCCGCTGACGATGTCCTCTCACCAGCACTGTTGCTTGCAACGCACTGATATTTGCCATTATCTTCTATCTTCACTTCCGTTATTATCAGCTGACTGTGATTATTTTTGTTATCTGAAACAACCCTGGCTCTCACATTGGATGTTACTGCATATGAATTGTTGTTCTTCATCCATGAGATGGCTGGTGTTGGAAGACCCATGGCAGTACAGTTAAAAGTTACATTGGAGCCAATGAAAGCGCTATGGTTCTTTGGGTTTTCAACCACCTTAGGAAATAGAAGATGGGGTGCCTTTGTTGTCTCAGGTGGACTTAAGTTTTCTGCAAAATAACCAATCAATAGTACTATGGCAAGTAAGTGGAAACTGTGGGGTGAGGGGGGTGGGGGAAGGGAATAATCTTGAAAAGCTTGAATAAATGGAATTTGCAAAAATATCCTGTTTTTCACCTACACTATTGCTGATTTCCGTATCCACCTTTGCTATTTTATTGCAACAGCCTTTGATGGAGATAGCGAAAAGAAATAGCTACGATAATAAATATTTACCCTGCCCAAATTTATTTGTGTTAGGAATAATCTGATTCTTACCTTTAGGGAGAATTTCAATGGATTTTCTTCTGCAGTATCCAGCATAGTCATTTTCTGCTTCACAAGTGTAGTTCCCGAAGTTTTCTACGGTCAGATTCTTAAGAATTAACAGACATTTCAGTTTCTTTGCTAGTCTTGAGTTTTGGCATTTGACTCCAACTGGTCTCCCATGGGGATCATACCACTGAATATACTTGACCCATCTCCTGGGAAAAAGCACGTCTTCTTCCCTTGGTCGCGCTTCACAGGTCAGATTAATGGCTGCTCCGATAGGTTGCGTGGGGTCTGGCGGACTTGAGAAGATTTTAACTTCAGGTATAACTGGACAAGGAAAGAAGTTTATGAGCCACAAATTTGTAAAAACCTGGCTTATCATTAGCAAGTTGGCGAAAAATTGCCTTCCTGAATGAAGTGTCAACAATTAAAAGGATAAAACTGTCACTGTTGATTATATTCACAAATGAAAAAGACCTGGGTAGTAGTAATACTTACCAGATTTGGTGTTACATGTTGCAGCATCGCCCGTGACTGACGAGAAGTGCAGTAGAGAATTGGCAACAAGAACTTGTAGCAGGATAACCTTTGTTGTGTCTCCTCTCCAGAATATGTTAACCATCATGATATGCTGTCGAATAGTTTTGTTTCTGGTTCAAAAGAAAGGAAAAAAGGAAAGAACTCCTTGTAACTCCAGTTTTCATACTGGGTGTCTTCTTAATGTGCGGCCCTGCACGTACTTTTGTTTTAGAAGATTACATTTATAACAAATATCTTGGTACAAGCGGCCGTATGCAATGGTGCGAGCAGAGCTTGTAAAAGTTGCATGAGCTTGTGTTGGTCCTTGCAAGATTAAATGTGCAAGAAGACATGATAAAAAAACCAAAAGTGCAATATATGTGATAAAATTGGCTGAGTTTAGGCGAGGCGGATGGGAAAATATTTGGTCTATTTGGTTGGACCACTGAAAGGCCACATTAATTTTTGGAATTGCTTGATATATCTAAACAAACATCTGATATTCGTCCTTTGAGTGTCGACAACCGAGCGATATTAAAGTATGCTCAAGCTCGAAGAATCTGTCCACCAAAAAGCCAAATCAATATTTGGAATCGCTTGACATTTCTAAACCAACATCTGATATTCTCAAGAAATTTTGGAAGAACCTTTGAGTGGAAATTCTGTGAAAATTTCTGACAGCCGGGCATTAAGTCACATCGTTTTGAAATACAGCTATTGTGTGTTTTGATATCAAAAAATGTTAAATGCCACCGATCATTTGTGATAAGTAGAAAACGTCAATCGTTATATATCGTTAGCGCTAGATTTAGCGTAATCAGTGAACTGGAGCCCGGCAAAAAAATTATCCACATTTCTATTTCGAAATGAACAATGCTTTCATAAGTAAGCTGGGACGTAAGTCTGATGCAGTTGAAGAATGTAAGTACATCAATCTGCCCGCAAGTTCGTACGGTCGGAAGCGAAGTTAGTTAGAGCTCTGTTTAGTAAATATGGAGTTCTTTGTCTTATAGGAAGGTTGTTGACGTAATGATGGACGTTGAAGGCATCGGAATCCACAAAGACGTCAAGAGAGGATGTTCTCATGAAAGGCATACGTATGGAAATGATCCGTTTCGGAGAAATGCCAGGATATTAAGCTAAGGCAGATGTCTTTTAAAATGAACTTTGCAACGCTTTTGCCTGTTATCGAGATGGGTGGTAAGGCTTGAAATATTAAAACAGATCGAAATCAGTAAACCTAGGAAAACGTCCACTGTAATTTTCGAATGGTTCATTGTTAGGTGCTCACTTGTCAGTTGAAGACTGGCTTGCTTTCAACTCGCGTTCGTCAGGTTTATCGCCTCGCAACTTACCAGCCCGAATGGCTATGATTTGTAGCGACTTCGTCATTGATGGCCGCCAATCGCTCCCTATTGTTTTGGTGTCTTTTTAAGTCGGATGTCTTTTCTTTGAATTAAAACCGGTCCTAAATGTTGTCAATGGTCAAAATTAGCTGAATCGTATGCATTCCCGGACAGGCTAAGACGATTTTAACAGCTCCCTCGAGGGATGATGATCGAACTAAAAATTCTTTGAATTCATAATCTATCGATAACGTGGTTCGGCCGAGTGAAGAAAAATGTCATTGATACTCATATTATTAAAGAAAATACCATGTTAGTTCTTTCTATCCACCGCAGACTTTGTTTGGGCTGACGGTAAACCAAAGCATACAAACACAAATTGACAAATTTTAGTTTTTTCTTTCCGTTCAAATTTCATGATAAGACCGATAACATTTCTGTTTAAAATGTGGATGCGTTTAGCAGCTGAACATTCGGCCACCGTCATATTTATTTTAGCTGGCAGAGGCAAAGTAAGAACTTTGGCATGTAAAATATTTTAAAAAAACCTATAACGTTGTCCTCTAAGTTAACCTTGACCCTTGTAAATAGCTTGAAACAAATTTAATAAGGAGGAAACTTCTCGAAGTTTCTAAATAGGTTACAACTGAAACGTAATACCAGAGAAAGTGTATAATATTATTTTAACGATTCGGTGACGATATTTAAATAACCCCTTCATTGACATTTCCCTGAAACTAAGCCGGTCTCTAAACTCAAATCGAGTGAATTGGAAAATCAAGTTAAATACTTAGGCGAAACGTGACTTCTCAACCAGCACTTCTGAAAAACTACCCTTGAAAGCATTTTCTTGTTGTAGCCGACCAAATAACAATAATTTACCTGTATCAAATCGTCCAAACTCTCCTGCAAGCTGTTCCCCAACGTGGTGTTTCGGCTGAGTTAGTAGCTCATCTTCCTGTGGCAGCTCGGAGTTTTTATAGTGTGCTCCTTCCAGCCGCTTGCTTTTTAACTCGTGAATTGCGCGCATGCGCAAGAGCGAGTTGTAGATATGATGTGGAGAATGGCACTCGCTCGCTCGCTCGCTCGATTGGTCGATTCCTTTAAATTTTTTTCGACTTTAGGCTTTTGAGTGCATTTGATAGTTTTGGCTGGTAATAAACAAACGAAGTGGCGACCTTTGTTACTAAGAACAGAGGTGAGGTGAAAAAGAAGCCAATGATAATCTTAAAAGAGTTTATTTTTTTTCGTTTTAGTTTCAACAAGCGGCGCTAGCGACTGGTAGGCGTGCGAAGATTCACACTGAAATAAGAAAACAACCTTGTTTTTCATAAAATTGTAATTTACAGTCCTTGAACTTGAAAAGTATCCGAAGATTCATTAAAAATATTACTTACTCCAAAGCGCTCGGAGTCTACAGGTGTTCAAAAGCTTTTTCTGTTATGGCGTGAGATTGGGGACAAAATCGATCATTACATTTCGTATCGTGTGTTTTTTCTGCGTGAAGCAACAGAAGGTGCCGGCGACTGACCAAATTACAGGTTAACGAGAAAACAAGTAACACCAAGACAAATAATTTTGGCTACCGATTTTCAGGGAATTTTTAAAGAACAATTTTCTTTTAAGTTTCAAGACAATTTGAAGATTCAAAATAAATACTACGTACTAAAATGCGAAAGTTATACTCTACCAATTGATAAATAGGCCTGAAATGAAATTCTATCTTGTTTTTGATTATACGTTGCCTAGCACGTGACCAAAATCTACCCAGGCGGAAATCCAAAATGACGGTGGCAGTCTGGGCTTAGTTATATCACTCAAAACCCGTTCCAGTTTGTCTCGTTTGAGGGACAGAGGGAATAGACAGTAAATTTCACTTTTCACCCACATTTATTTCCAACCTTTTCTTTTGAAGCAGAAACAAAAATGATATATGTTTAAAACATATGACATCATCCACCCTTGTCAAATGTCATAGCATGATCATTTCAATTGTAATGCCTTCTTATCCCAACTTTACTTTGTTTCTTTGCTACATTAGCGAACACTGAACTACTGCTCGTACTCTATTATAAATATGACAATCAACCACAAAATTCCATAAACCAGATAACGTTAAACATAATCCAAAAAATCATGTAAGTCATCTGTCAATTCACAAGTTTGCTCACAGAGCACTTTGTTTTGGCTGTCTGAATCAGCCGCCATCTTGAATTTGACCATATATGGTCTGGTGCCCTAATCTCTTTTTCAAGCTCTTTTTGACAGCTTTTACTTAGGTAGTAAAATGATTGGTAAAAGGTACCCGGAGTTACTCTGGTTTTGCTTGCTCTCTCACCATGACAACGATTCACCATGACAACAACGCGAGAAGACCTGGGAAAGAAGGACAAGAGGGAAAGGAGGAAAAAAGGTAGAAAAGGAGATTGGAAGATAAGCAAATAGAGGAGGTTATTTTTTTCGTGTGCTAAGATTATCTCGCGTCAGAAGGCCCCTCAACAACACTGAATGCTGAACGACCGTGTGCTAATTCAAATCCACTTTACAAATAGAGTTGGTTGGTTGCTAACGTAGGTCTTTTTCCCACATCATCGCTTTCGGAGTTTGATATAAGCTTTATATGGGGCAGCGGTCGACAGCAGTCGATGATGCTGACAAAATCATCAGCTGCTCTACTGTAATTAGAACTCATCTTATGTTTTTTCGTTTGGTGCGAAAAACAGAAGACTGAAGGCACTGGCTGGCATTACAGGGAGCACGATCCCTGATCAACGCTATCAAGGTAAGACGAACTTGTAATTAAACAATTGATACAAGGAAAGGAAGATCCACAAACACCACTTTTGATTGCAGCTTAGTTGCTTATGGTTCACTTGTACTCTAGCACTACTTCCAAAAACTAACAAGGGATCAATTTTAATTGATTCTACTTGTAGCTACTTTACAATATTTATAATTTGCTAAAAATATTCTATTATTTTAAATTTTACAATTTCTAACACTAGAAATTTAATTATCAATTATCTGATAGCATCTTTTTTCTCTAATGTCCTGTGTATCACTAACATCACTAACTCTTGGTTATCCTTATGTTCTGGATTGTTTCTTTCTAACCAGCAGATGAATAAATTAACCTCGTCTATCGGGTATGATCATGAAAAGAGGCAAATCTCAAAACTCGAAGGATCCATGATTTCGTCAAATTATGGGCAGAGTTTAAATTGCAGTAAATTTTCTCTCGGAACCACGGAAAAATCAATGATTTACAGTAAGGCAAATGCATGCAGTAAGTCTTTTTCAATCAAGAATTGATTGTCTTTTTCGATCAAAAGAAAACGGTCCTGGCACTTTTGTGATACGCTACGACTCCTACGGGAACTAGGAAGACCTGGGTATTAGTGTATCCATATGCACGTACAGCAAACTAACTCAAACAGATAAGCACTAGGATTCTGCGTACGATTCCAAGACGAGAGAGAAACTTGAAGCTACTTGATCTGTTTAAATTCGTTCATTTCCTGCTCACAGTCGTCTGCAGAATGTAAAGTGATCTGCCAACAAATGCAAAAGCGTAGAGTATTCATTATGGAGAGCATAGAAAGAAAGACTTACTCAATATTGAGAATGTAGGCGGAGGGACCTCTCTCGTAAAATTGAGAATCTATTATATAGTGTTAGCTCAATCATAGGCTGCTTTTGCATATTTTAAAACCTTAAAACGCTTAGAATCACTGAGCGGACTCCGCGGCTCCCTTACAGGAGGAGGATGATTTGGACGAAACTTAACTTCCTAAAGTGAAGAACATCGTTTGAACTCCTCTGTGAGTTTCTCAGGGTTTTCTTGAAGGAGTAGAAGGATGATCGAGAGCTTAGTTAGTGCATTTACTATTAAGAAGGAGGGTAAGGTTTGACAATAAACAGGGGATTACATGATTCCCCGAGTTCACATTCCCTTTTTCAGCGGTCAGCACCTGTCGTTCCGATAAAAGGGTGCCGAGAGAGAAAGCTTTGGGAACGTAATTTCTATTCCTAATCTTAACGAATTGCGTTTGTTGGTTCCTACAAAAGATACAGTGATTCTACATTCTATTTGACAATAAGGGTGGCACGGTGAAGGGGGGGGGGGGAGGGGGGAAGGGAGAAGGCATAGTGGGAAGGTAGGGTGTACAACGATTTGTCAAAAAAGATGGCCTCTTGATTTGGAGAAATTAAAGAGATATTTATACATTAAAACTTACCTTTCCACGGCGTCTGATAGTTCTGAACCAAAACCCCACACATATTCCACCAATGAAGGTACCGACGAAGGTAGCAATTATAGCGTAAGATAAAGTGGAGAAACTAATGTGGGGGGAGGTTGAGCATTTTTCCTTTTCTGACTCTTGGTTTATTTTGGATTCTAAAAGGGAAGTGACAACAAGACATGCTTACTGTGGTGAAAGTATTTCAGAGGATTAATTAAACCGAAAGACTAACCGGTACTTTCTGACAACTTTGTGCAAAGATCATCCAGTTTCAGTTTCTTCAGTAGGCTCACTATGAGTATGAACTACTACCATACATCCAGCCTACTTAGTACGCTGGTAAAGAGAAGGCAAGTTACACGTGCACGCGAGGGCCGACACCCGTAAGTTCTCGCCCGCGCTCGTTGTCATTAAATCACTCGCGCTCAGTGCCTCAACATCCTCATATGCAGGGTAGTGCGTCACCAATTTATTAGGGCCCGTGAAGCAGAATAAATTTTACCCTTGGGTTGGACTAAACAGAGGGAAGGAGTGAGAAGTAAAACATTTCTTTGCAATGTTTATTGGCCAAAGTCAACTGAATAAGGCTAAAATTTCCAACAATGTAAGGGAGTCTTACCTAACTCTTTTATGTACAAGAAAGCCGCTGACGATGTCCTCTCACCAGCACTGTTGCTTGCAACGCACTGATATTTGCCATTATCTTCTATCTTCACTTCCGTTATTATCAGCTGACTGTGATTATTTTTGTTATCTGAAACAACCCTGGCTCTCACATTGGATGTTACTGCATATGAATTGTTGTTCTTCATCCATGAGATGGCTGGTGTTGGAAGACCCATGGCAGTACAGTTAAAAGTTACATTGGAGCCAATGAAAGCGCTTTGGTTCTTTGGGTTTTCAACCACCTTAGGAAATAGAAGATGGGGTGCCTTTGTTGTCTCAGGTGGACTTAAGTTTTCTGCAAAATAACCAATCAATAGTACTATGGCAAGTAAGTGGAAACTGTGGGGTGAGGGGGGTGGGGGAAGGGAATAATCTTGAAAAGCTTGAATAAATGGAATTTGCAAAAATATCCTGTTTTTCACCTACACTATTGCTGATTTTCGTACCCACCTTTGCTATTTTATTGCAACAGCCTTTGATGGAGATAGCGAAAAGAAATAACTACGATAATAAATATTTACCCTGCCCAAATTTATTTGTGTTAGGAATAATCTGATTCTTACCTTTAGGGAGAATTTCAATGGATTTTCTTCTGCAGTATCCAGCATAGTCATTTTCTGCTTCACAAGTGTAGTTCCCGAAGTTTTCTACGATCAGATTCTTAAGAATTAACAGACATTTCAGTTTCTTTACTAGTCTTGAGTTTTGGCATTTGACTCCAACTGGTCTCCCATGGGGATCATACCACTGAATATACTTGACCCTTCTCCTGGGAAGAAGCACGTCTTCATCCCTTGGTCGCGCTTCACAGGTCAGATTAATGGCTGCTCCGATAGGTTGCGTGTGGTTTGGCGGACTTGAGAAGATTTTAACTTCAGGTATAACTGGACAAGGAAAGAAGTTTATGAGCCACAAATTTGTAAAAACCTGGCTTATCATTAGCAAGTTGGCGGAACATAGAATTCAGTGTGAAAAATTCCCTTCTTGGATGAAGTGTCAACAATTAAAAAAATAAAACTGTCACTGTTGATTATATTCACAAATGAAAAAGACCTGGGTAATAGTAATACTTACCAGATTTGGTGTTACATGTTGCAGCATCGCCCGTGACTGACGAGAAGTGCAGTAGAGAATTGGCAACAAGAACTTGTAGCAGGATAACCTTTGTTGTGTCTCCTCTCCAGAATGTGTTAACCATCATGATATGCTGTCGAATAGTTTTGTTTCTGGTTCAAAAGAAAGGAAAAAAGGAAAGAACTCCTTGTAACTCCAGTTTTCATACTGGGTGTCTTCTTAATGTGCGGCCCTGCACGTACTTTTGTTTTAGAAGATTACATTTATAACAAATATCTTGGTACAAGGGCCGTATGCAATGGTGCGAGCAGAGCTGGTAGAAGTCGCACGAGCTTGTGTTGGTCCTTGCAAGATTAAATGTGCAAGAAGACATGATAAAAAAACCAAAAGTGCAATATATGTGATAAAATTGGCTGAGTTTAGGCGAGGCGGATGGGAAAATATTTGGTCTATTTGGTTGGACCACTGAAAAGCCACATTAATTTTTGGAATTGCTTGATATATCTAAACAAACATCTCATATTCGTAGGAAGTTTGAAAGAACCTTTGAGTGTCGACAACCGAGCGATATTAAAGTATGCTCCCAAAGAAGACTGATAGTAAATGTGTGCCTTTTATGTAAGACTTAAGATTTTAAATTGTACATATATATTGTTTTATTTTTAAATTTCTCAAATTTTTAGGTAATAACTGCTATTTTAGATTTGACACATAAATAAAAAAAAAAGGTTGTATCTGTCCACCAAAAAGCCAAATCAATATTTGGAATCGCTTGACATTTCTAAACCAACATCTGATATTCTCGAGAAATTTTGGAAGAACCTTTGAGTGGAAATTCTGTGAAAATTTCTGACAGCCGGGCATTAAGTCACATCGTTTTGAAATACAGCTATTGTGTGTTTTGATATCAAAAAATGTTAAATGCCACCGATCATTTGTGATAAGTAGAAAACGTCAATCGTTATATCGTTAGTGCTAGATTTAGCGTAATCAGTGAACTGGAGCCCGGCAAAAAAATTATCCACATTTCTATTTCGAAATGAACAATGCTTTCATAAGTAAGCTGGGACGTAAGTCTGATGCATTTGAAGAATGTAAGGGCATCAATCTGCCCGCGAGTTCGTACGGAAGGAAGCTACTAGTTAGAGCTCTGTTTAGTAAATATGGAGTTCTCTGTCTCTAGTAAGGTTGTTGACGTAATGATGGACGTTGAAGGCATCGGAATTCACAAAGAAGTCAAGAGAGGATGTTCTCATGAAAGGCATACGTATGGAAATGATCCATTTCGGAGAAATGCCAGGATATTAAGCTAAGGCAGATGTCTTTTAAAACGAACTTGCTACGCTTTTGCTTACTGTCGAGATGGTTGGCAAGGCTTGAAATATTAAAACAGATCGAAATCAGTAAACCTAGGAAAACGTCCACTGTAATTTTCGAATGGTTCATTGTTAGGTGCTCACTTGTCAGTTGAAGACTGGCTTACTTTCAACCCGTGTTCGTCAGGTTTATCGCCTCGCAACTTAGCAGCCCGAATGGCTATGACTTGTAGCGACTTCGTCCTTGATGGCCGCCAATCGCTCCCTATTTTTTTGGTGTCTTTTTAAGTCGGATGTCTTTTCTCTGAATTAAAACCGGTCCTAAATGTTGTCAATGGTCAAAATTAGCTGAATCGTATGCATTCCCGGACAGGCTAAGACGATTTTAACGGCTCCCTCTAGGGATGATGATCGAATTAAAAATTCTTTGAATTCATAATCTATCGATAACGTGGTTCGGCCGAGTGAAGATAAAACGTCATTGCTACTCATATTATTAAAGAAAACACCTTGTTAGTTCTTTTTATCCACCGCAAACTTTGTTTTAGCCGGCGGTATACGGTAAACTAAAGCATATAAACACAAATTGACAAATTTTAGTTTTTTCTTTTCTATTTCAAATTTCATAATAAGACCGATAACATTTCTGCGGGTGAAACAAGACGAAAATGTTGAAACTGTTCAAAATGTGGATGCGTTTAGCAGCTGAACATTCGGCCACCGTCATATTTATTTTAGCTGGCAGAGGCAAAGTAAGAACTTTGGAATGTAAGATATTTTTAAAAACCTATAACGTTATCCTCTAAATTGTCCTTTACTCTTGTAAATAGCCCGAAACAAATTTAATAAGGAGTAAACTTCTCGAAGTTTCTAAATAGGTTACAACTGAAACGTAATACCAGAGAAAGTGTATAAAATTATTTTAACGATTCGGTAACGATATTTAAATAACCCCTTCATTGACATTTCCCTGAAACTAAACCGGTCTCTAAACTCAAATCGAGTGAATTGGAAAATCAAGTTAAATACTTAGGCGAAACGTGACTTCTCAACCAGCACTTCTGAAAAACTACCCTTGGAAGCATTTTCTTGTTGTAGCCGACCAAATAACAATAATTTACCTGTATCAACTCGTCCAAAATCTCCTGCAAGCTGTTCCCTAATGTGGTGTTTCGGCTGACTTAGTGGCTCATCTTTCTGTGGCAGCTCGGAGTTTTTATAGCGTGTGTCGCGGAATCAAGAGGACTGTATACTTCTTTGTTTTCTAAACGCGTTTATTTTCTTCCATCACTCCTGACAATCTGAACATACTAACACTCTAACGATCTAATACCAATCTACCCTTACAATTCAGTGCTTCTTCGTTTTACAGTTCTAGTTGCGAAATAAAGTAATTTTCCCACAATCACGAGTTCAGTAAATTCCCAATCCCAAAGTACTGTAATATACCCTATTTTAGTTGCAATTTCACAATAACACGTTTCTTTCCCTTATTTAGTTCACTGTACGCATGCAAATCAGTGTTGAACTTTGTTTACAACGTTGTGAAATATCATGTCACGAAATCTTCCTATTCGCGTTACGATCATTCTAGTATTTCGTTACATTGTGTGACAATTCATAACATTAATCATTAATTATAAAGAAATCGTTCTCGACAGCGTGCTCCTGCCAGCCGCTTCCTTTTTTGGCTGTCTGAATCAGCCGCCATCTTAAATTTGACCAAATATGGTCTGGTGCCCTAATCCCTTTTTCAAGCTCTTTTTGACAGCTTTTACTTAGGTAGTATAATGATTGATAAAAGGTATCCGGAGTTATTCTCGTTTTGCTTGCTCTCTCTGTCTAAAAAGAAAACGCGAGAAGACCTGGGAAAGAGGGACAAGATAGAAAGGGGGAAAAAAGGTTGAAAAAGAGGATGGGAAAATAAGCAAATAGAGGAGGTTATTTTTTCGTGTGCTAACATTATCTCACGTCAGAAGGCCCCTCAACAACACTGAATGCTGAACGACGGTGTGCTAAATGGAGTTGGTTGGTTGCTAACTTAGGTCTTTTTTCCACATCATTGCTTTTGGAGTTTCATGTAAGTATTAGTCGGGGTAGTAGTCGACAGTAATCAATGGTGTTGACAAAATCATCAGATGCTTCACCGTAATTAGAAGTTATTTTATGTTTTTTTGTTTGATACGAAAAACGGCACTGACAGGTTTTCTTGTATCGTGCTTTGCGCTCTGTCATGGTGAATCTCTGGCGAAGCTTGAGTCTTTTCTGTAATCTCTCAGGATGGCGAGACAGAGAAGGCATCTTACCAGTCAATTTAAGTTGAGACACGAGATTAGATGCAACTGTCGCGAGAGCTGAGTGAGATGATTTGGATCGAAGACAACTGACGGAAGGCAGTTAACGCCAGCTCTCGGGAAATGAGGTATGCTCACGAGTGATAAGAGAAGGACCATTACGAAAGTGATACAGATGGGGAGTGGGGAGATTTTTTAATTACCTAAGAATGACGATATTTGCGAAAATGCTAAAAGACAAGAATTACGGCTCAGGACTAATTACTTTAATAACAGTTGCTAGAAAATCCACAAACACCACTTTTAATTGCAGCTTAGTTGCTTATGGTTCACTTGTACTCTGGCCCTAATTACAAAGATTAACAAGAGATCAATTTTAATTGATTCTACTCGTAGCTACTTGACAATATTTATATCTTGCTAAAAAATTCTATTATTTAAACATTTACAATTTCTAACACTAGAAATTTAATTTTCAGTTATCTGATAGCATCTTATTCTCTAATGCCCTGTGTATCACTAACATCGCTAACTCTTGGATATCCTTAGGTTCTGGACTGTTTCTTTCCCATCAGCAAAAGAATAATTTAACCGCGTCTATCAAGTATGGTCATGAAAAGAGGCGACTTTGAAAACACCGCGAAGGATTCATCATTTAGTCAACCTATGGGCAGAGTTAAAAATTTAAAAAAATTGCAATAAATTTTCTCTTGGAACTAAAGAAAAATCGATGATTTACAATAACGCAAATGCAAGTAGTAAGTCTTTTTTGATCAAGAATTGATCGTATTTTTCGATCAAGAATGGATCGTCTTTTTCGTTCAAGAATTGACAGTAAAATTAATAGTAAAAAACTGAACGTTCTGAATCTGATCCATAGAAGAGAGAGAAATTTGACGCTAGTTGAACAATTGAAATTCGTTCCTTACAGTCGTTTGCTGTATGGAAAGAGATCTGCCAACAAATGGAAAAGCATAGGGTATTCAATATTAATAATATAGAAAGAAGGACTTATTATTCAATACTGAGAATGTAGGTGGATATAGGCTGCTTTTGCATGTTTCAAAACCTTGTCAAGAAAAACGCGCTTCGCGCTCCTTCAGGGTTTTCCTGAAGGAGTAGAAGGATGATTGAGAGCTTGGTTAGTATATTTACTGTTCAGAAGGAGTGTAAGGTTTGACCATAAACAGGGGATTACATGATTCCCCGAGTTCACATTCCCTTTTTCAGCGGTCAGCACCTGTCGTTCCGATAAAAGGGTGCCGAGAGAGAAAGCTTTGGAGACGCAATTTCTATTCCTAATCTTAACGAATCGCGTTTGTTGGTCCCCAGAAAAAATCCACTGGTTCTGCATTTTAGTTGACAACAGGGGTTGCACGGTCAGGGATGCGGGGCGGGGAGGGGGAGAAGGTATGATAGGTGGGGTGTGCAATGAATCGACCATCTAAAAAGATGGCCTCTTGATTTAGGGAAATTAAAGAGATATTTATACATTAATTAAAGCGTACCTTTCGACGACGTCTGGTAGTTCTGAACTAAAACCCCACACATATTCCACCGATGAAAACACCGGCGAAGGCGGCAATTATAGCGTAAGATAAAGTAAAGAAACTTATTTGGGAAGAGGTTGAGGATTTTTCCTTTCCTGTTTCTTGGTTCATTTTGGAATCTGAAAGGGAAGTGACAACACGATATTCAAACTGTGTTTAAAATATTTCATAAGATTAATGAAACCGATAGACTAGCTTGTACTTTCTGACAACTTCGTGTAAAGATCATCCAGTTTCCGTTTCTTCGGTGGTCTCACTATGAGTATGAACAACTACCATACATAGTTCTCAATTACTGAGAAGGCAAGTTACATGTGCACGCGAGGGCCGACACCCGTAAGTTCTCACACGCGCTCGTTGTCATTGGATCACTCGCGCTCAGTGCCTCAACATCTTCCTATGCAGAGTAGCGTGTCACAAACTTATTAGGATCCCTGAAGCAGAATAAATTTTAGCCTTGGGTTGGACTAAACAGAGAGAAGGAGTGAGAAGTGAAACATTTCTTTGCAATGTTTATTGGCTAGAGTCAATTGAATAAGCTAAAATTTCCAACAATGTAAGGAGTCTTACCTAACTCTTTTATGTACAAGAAAGCCGCTGACGATGTCTTCTCACCAGCACTGTTGCTTGCAACGCATTTATATTTGCCATTATCTTCTATCTTCACTTCCGTTATTATCAGCTGACTGTGATTATTTTTGTTATCTGAAACAACCCTGGCTCTCACATTGGATGTTACCGCATATGAGTCGTTGTTCTTCATCCATGAGATGGCTGGTGTTGGAAGACCCATGGCAGTACAGTTAAAAGTTACATTGGAGCCAATGAAAACGCTTTGGTTCTTTGGGTTTTCAACCACCTCAGGAAATAGAAGGTGGGGTGCCTTTGTTGTGTCAATTGGACTTAAGTTTTCTGCAAAATAACCAATCAAGAGTACTATGGCAAGTAAGTAAAAACCTTGGGGTGAGGGGGGTTGGTAAGGGAAGGGGAAGGAGATAATCAAGCTAAAATAAACAGAATTTGCAGAAATATCCTGTTTTTCACCTACACTATTGCTGATTTCCGTAACCACTTTTGCTATTTTATTAAAACAGCCTTTGACGGAGATAACGAAAAGAAGTAACTACGATTATAAATATTTACCGTGCCCAAATTTATTTGTGTTGGGAATAATCTGATTGTTACCTTTATGAAGAATTTCAACGGATTTTCTCGTGCAGTATCCAGCATAGTCATTTTCTGCTTCACAAGTGTAGTTCCCGAAGTTTTCTATGGTCAGATTCTTGAGAATTAATGGACATTTCAGATTCTTCACTGGTTGTGGTTTGAGGCATTTGTCTCCAATTTGTCTTCCATGGGTATCATACCACTGGATATACTTGATCCATCTCCTGACATAAGACGCGTCGTTGTGCTTGGGCCACGCTTCACAGGTCAGATTAATGGCTGCTGCGATGGGTTGCGTGCGGTTTGGCGGACTTGAGAAGATTTTAACTTCAGGTATAACTGTAAAAGCCAGAAATTTTTAAAAAGCTGGCTTATCATTAGCTAGTTCCCTATTGATTGAAGTGTCAACAATTGTAAAAATAAAACTGTCACTGATGATTATATTCATAGACGAAAAAGACCTGGGTAATAGTTATACTTACCAGATTTGGTGTTACATGTTGCAGCATCGCCCGTGACTGATGAGAAGAGCAATAAAGAATTGGCAACAAGAACTTGTAGCAGGATAACCTTTGTTGTGTCTCCTCTCCAGAATGTGTTAACCATCATGATATGCTGTCGAATAGTTTTTGTTTCTGGTTCAAAAGAAAGGAAAAAAGGAAAGAACTCCTTGTAACTCCAGTTTTCATACTGGGTGTCTTCTTAATGTGCGGCCCTGCACGTACTTTTATTTTAGAAGATTACATTTATAACAAAAATCTTGGTATAAGGGCCGTATGTAATGGTGCGAGCAGAGCTGGTAAAAGTCGCACGAGCTTGTGTAGGTCCTTGCAAGATTAAATATATAAGAGGACATGAATAAAGATCAAAAGTGCAATATATGTGATAAAATTGGCTGAGTTTAGGCGAGGCGGATGGGAAAATATTTGGTTCTCGGTCATGATAATAACCTCGACACAAACATGCTCTAATCGAATGTTTTCCCAGCCGGCCTTCCCTTTCAGTTAATAAGTGCATATAGTGTAGTGTTCTCAACTGCGATTGGAAAACAATCGATGGTAAGTAGTAAAGTCTTTATACAGGTCCAAGTGGCCCATGGGGCCGGCGCTTAACTCCGGTTTCCTTAGCATGAAGCGGCTAGGAGTATTGCTACTCCCGCCTGGATGGGATGCTAGTCTATTGCAGGGTAACCCCCAGCATATTTGCTGATACCCATTTGTACACCTGGGTGAAGAGAAGCACTGTGAGAGTAAAGTGTCTTGCCTAAGAACACAACACAATGACCCCGGCCGGCGCCAGGGCTCGAATCGGGACTAATCGATCTGAAGACGAGCGAACTAACCATGAGGCCACCGCGCCTCCACAAAAGTAAATATTTCGTGAAAAAAACGGTTTAAACGGCATGAAGGCGAAAAAATACCACAGAAGAGTTCATTGACATTTTATTTAACTTTGTTGAGATATTCAGACCAAGATTTTACGTGGATATGCAATTTTCAGAGCTTTATTCATAACCTAGGCTCGATTTCCGCCGCTCTCTCGTGTCGACTCCTTGCTCCTCCCCTAATGGGTTAGGGCTGAGGAGCGCGGGCTCATATTCCCGAACAGCGGCTGATAATCGAGCCTATTCATAATCCTCATAGATTTTTTTCGTCTCATGTGAGCAATAATTAACCACGAACACATAGTGTGGTCTACCTGTGATACAATTTCTAAGTGTCGACAAAAGGAGCGATATTTTAGTATGCCAGACTCGGAGAGTTAGACCACTGAAAAACCACATTAATTTTTGGAATTGCTTGACATATCTAGACAAACATCTGATATTCTTAGGAAGTTTGAAAGAACCTTTGAGTGTCGACAACCGAGCGATATTAAAGTATGCTCAAGCTCGAAGAATCTGTCCACCAAAAAGCCAAATCAATATTTGGAATCGCTTGACATTTCTAAACCAACATCTGATATTCTCAAGAAATTTTGGTAGAACCTTAGAGTGGAAATTCTGTGAAAATTGCTGACAGCCGGGCATATAGTCTATTTGAGACCGTGCCCGGCTGCCGGGCATTTAGTCACATCGTTTTGAAATACAGCTATTGTTTGTGTTGATATAAAAATGTGAAATGCCACCAATCGTTTGTGATCATGACGAGCTTTGTGCCGGAAAAAATTTTATGCAAATTAGCTGGCTTTGTATAAGTAATTCAAGCCAAGGTTTGACGCCTCTTGATGGCTTGATCTTGTTCGCTCACTTTCCATAAACAAGAGTCCAGAGAAATGCCTTACACAAACTTAACGGGTCTAATTCTAAAAAACCTAAGGGGCGGTATGCTAAACTTATTTTCTCTGTGGAGGGGGAAGCACACCGTTAGTACTGAGGGAGGGGTGGGATGAGGTCTATCAGTACTGAGGGAGGGGTGGAAGGCAGAGTGTTATTAGGGGTGAGTGATGAATTATTACTACGCTGGGAGGGTTGGGAGGTGGTTGTAATAGTAAACGCTACTGGTAAATGGAGCTTTTACACGATCGTACAAACTATTTTAATTGGTTTTTCGACTGACTTTTTGTATTTCAAAATTTTAGCGCTGGGCCGTGGCATTTCTTCATCTTTTTGTCACGCGAAAGCGAAGCTGCCACGTAAACACTGGACTTCTACGTTTTGCCGACGGAAAATATCGGCAAGCAACAGTGGCCACCATAGTTTCACTTCGCAGGTTTCGTAGGTTTTTACGCAAGAAGTGATCGGCAGTGGCCCGGGCAAAGAGGGTAAAGAAGAGGTTCAAAATAACACTCAGGCATACACTACCCAAGAGGGTATAGAACCGATTAAAAATAACACTCGGGTATATACTAGCCAAAAGGGTATAGAAGAGATTGAAAGTAACCCTCAGATATACACCACCCAAGGGGGTATAGAACAGATTAAAAATGACCCTCAGGTATATACTAGCCAAAAGGGTATAGAAGAGATTTAAAGTAACCCTCAGGTATACACTACCCAAGAGGGTATAGAACAGATTAAAAATAACCCTCAGGTATATACTAGCCCAAAGGGTTTAGAACAGATTAAAAGTAACCCTCAGGTATACACTACCCAAGGGGGTATAGAACAGATCAAAAATTAACCCTTAGGTATATACTAGCCCAAAGGGTATAGAACAGATTAAAAGTAACCCTCAGGTATACACTACCCAAGGGGGTATAGAACAGATCAAAAATTAACCCTTAGGTATATACTAGCCAAAAGGGTTAGAACAGATTGAAAGTAACCCTCAGGTATACACTACCAAGAGGGTATAGAACAGATTAAAAATAACCCTCAGGTATATACTAGCCAAAAGGGTTAGAACAGATTGAAAGTAACCCTCAGGTATACACTACCCAAGAGGGTATAGAACAGATTGAAAATAACCCTCAGGTATATACTAGCCAAAAGGGTATAGAACAGATTAAAAGTAACCCTCAGGTATATACTAGCCAAAAGGGTATAGAACAGATTAAAAGTAACCCTCAGGTATACACTACCCAAAAGGGTATAGAACAGATTAAAAATAACCCTCAGGTATATACTAGCCAAAAGGGTATAGAAGAGATTGAAAGTAACCCTCAGGTATACACTACCCAAGAGGGTATAGAACAGATTGAAAATAACCCTCAGGTATGTACTACCCAAGAGGGTATAGAACAGATTAAAAATAACCCTCAGGTATACACTACCCAAGAGGGTATAGAACAGATTAAAAATAACCCTCAGGTATATACTAACCAAGAGGATATAGAACAGATTAAAAGTAACCCTCAGGTATACACTACCCAAGGGGGTATAGAACAGATTAAAAATAACCCTTAGGTATATACTAGCCAAAAGGGTTAGAACAGATTAAAAGTAACCCTCAGGTATACACTACCCAAGAGGGTATAGAACAGATTAAAAATAACCCTGAGGTATACACTACCCAAAAGGGTATAAGAGAGATTAAAAATAACCCTCAGGTATACACTACCAAAGCGGGTATAGAAGGCGCATACCAGTACTTTTCGGGCTCGCAATTGAATCCTGTAACTATAGAAAGCTCAGCCGATCTACCGAAGACTTCGGCCTGAGATGAGATCGCGCCAAGTGATTCCAATGCAAGATTTATTTTGTTTTCGTGATTGAAATTGGAGCATTGATGAAGTGTTTTAAAATTATTAGGTGAACCTTTAACTTATAATCAACAGGTTTAAGTAACCGCATCGACACCTACCGACAGCAAGCGTTAATGTAATTCTCTACTCTGATGACAGAAATATAGCACCACAAATGACCTCCGTAGAATGCATGCTGCGAATTTTTTTTTAGGGCCAAAGCTCCTCATGAGTAGAAAACGTCAATCGATATATATCGTTAGTGCTAGATTTAGCGTAATCAGTGAACTGGAGCCCGGCAAAAAAATTATTCACATTTCTATTTCGAAATTAAAATTGTTTTCATAAGTAAGCTGGGGCGTAAGTCCGATGCAGTTGAAGAATGTAAGTGCATCAACCTGCCCGCGAGTTCGTACGGACGAAAGCGAAGTTTCCTTGTACAGTGTAGTTAGAGCTCCGTTAAGTAAATATGGAGTTCTTTGTCCTATAGGTAGGTTGTTGATTTAATGATGGACGTTGAAGACATTAGAATACACTAAGAAGTCAAGAGAGGATGTTCTCATGAAAGGCATACGTATGGAAATTATCCATTTCAGAGAAATGCCAGGATATTAAGTTAAGGCAGATGTCTTTTAAAACGAACTTTGCAACGATTTTGCTTACTGTCGAGATGGTTGGCAAGGCTTGAAATATTAAAACAGATCGAAATCAATAAACCTAGGAAAACGTCCACTGTAATTTTCGAATGGTTCATTGTTAGGTGCTCGCTTCTCAGTTAAAGGCTGGCTTACTTTCAACCCGTGTTCGTCAGGTTTATCGCCTCGCAACTTACCAGTCCGAATGGCTATGACTTGTAGCGATTTCGTCCTTGTCCTTGTCCTCGTCCAATCGCTTCCCGTTGTTTTGGTGTCTGTTTAAGTCGGATGTCCTTCCTTTGAATTAAAACCGGCCTTAACATGCCCTGATAGGCTAAGACGATTTTGACGGCTCCCTGTAGGAATGGTGATCGAATTAAAAATTCTTTGAATGCATGATCTACCGAAAACGTGGTTCGGCCGAGTGAAGATAAAATGCCATTACTACTCATATTACTTAAAGAAAACACCGTGTTAGTTCTTTTTATCCACCGCAGACTTTGTTTGCGCTTGTGGTATACGGTAAATCAAAGCATACAAACACAAATTAACAAATTTTAGTTTTTTCTTTTCTATTTCAAATTTCATAATAAGACCGATAACATTTCTGCAGGTGAAAACAAGACGAAAATGTTGAAACTGTTCAAAATGTGGATGCGTTTAGCAGCTGAACATTCTGCCACTGTCATATTTATTTTAGCTGACAGCTTGGAATGTAAGATATTTTTAAAAACTTATAACGTTATCCTCTAAGTTCACCTTGACCCTTGTAAATAGCCCGAAAAAAATTTAATAAGGGGTAAACTTCTCGAAGTTTCTAAATAGGTTACAAGTGAAACGTAATATCTGACAAAGTGCATAAAATGCTTTTAGCGATTCGGTGACGATATTTAAACTAGACCCTGTGAGCAGGGTAACTGGGATACCTGGATAGTACTGGATCCTTGAAATCAAGTGTAGTGATACTACGGGTGTCGGACTAGTATACTGAAATAGTGAGCTCAAGTCTGGCCAAGGGCGTACACCTACTTCAAAACATAGGCACGCTATGCATGTAAGAGTTATTTTTTGTAGGGTGGGTGGATTACTTGAAACATTGTAAGTGGTCTACATTCTTACAAAAGGAAAGAAGAGTATTAACGCGGAAAAGAACGAAAATGTCGAAATACCTCACACACAGGAATTTTTTGGTAGATTATGTGTTGTGCGAATAAATGTAACCAAAAATAAACTGTATTGATGCCACGGATACCTGTTAATACAAAATGCAGACAGCAGACCGCAGACCGGATACAAAATATAGACTGCAGACTTCAGAGTGGATACAAAATGCAGACTGAGAATCTGAAGAGTTTCTATGTCTGGTATATAATAACATGTCATCTTACAACTTATCGAGCGTCACGCAATCGCTTTTCCGCGATCAGCCTTCACGATTATTTGCACTATTGTGGAAAATTCCTGGCCCATTTCTTGATGAAAATCGATCGTAATATAATTTCAAGCCTTCAATATAGTCTTCTTACTATGCGCGCCAGTTGCTTGGTGTGAAGTCTGTACAGATTTTACTGTTATGATTGGGCTACCACAGGTATCCCAGTAATAACCCCTTCATTGACATTTCCCTGAAACTAAAGGTCTCTAAATTCAAATCGAGTGAATTGGAAAATCAAGTTAAATACTTAAGCGAAACGTGACTTCTCAACCAGCACTTCTGAAAAACTACCCTAGAAAGCATTTTCTTGTTGTAGCCGACCAAATAACAACAATTTACCTGTATCAACTCGTCCAAACTCTCTTGCAAGCTGTTCCCTAATGTGGTGTTTCGGCTGAGTTAGTAGCTCATCTTCCTGTGGCAGCTCGGAGTTTTTATAGTGTGGTCCCTTTAGCCGCTTCCTTTTTCGCTGTCTGAATCAGCCGCCATTTTGAATTTGACCATATATGGTCTGGTGCCCTAATCCCTTCTTCAAGCTCTCTCTGACAGCTTTTACTTAGGTAGTAAAATAATTGGTAAAAGGTACCCGGAGTTACTTTGGTTTTGCTTGCTCTCTCACCATGACAACGATTCACCATGACAACAACGCGAGAAGACCTGGGAAAGAAGGACAAGAGGGAAAGGAGGAAAAAAGGTAGAAAAGGGGATTGGAAGATAAGCAAATAGAGGAGGTTATTTTTTTCGTGTGCTAAGATTACCTTACGTCAGAAGGCCCCTCAACAACACTGAATGCTGAACGACCGTGTGCTAATTCAAATCCATCCTACAAATGAAGTTGGTTGGTTGCTAACTTAGGTTTTTTTCCACATCATCATGCTGACAAATCATCAGCTGCTCTACTGTAATTAGAAGTCATCTTATGTTTTTTCGTTTGGCACGAAAAACGGTAGACTGAAGGCACTGGCTGGCATTACAGGGAGTACGATCCCTGGTCAACGCTATCAAGGCAAGACGAACTTGTAATTAAACAATTGATACAAGGAAAGGAAGTGTAATATTGTGTCAGGACAACGTGAAGAAAGGACAGATTTTCTTGTATCGTGTTTTGGGCCTTGTCATGGTGAATCTCTGGCAAAGCTTGAGACTTTTCTGTAATCTCTCAGGATGGCGAGACAGAGAAAGCATCTTACCAGTCAAGTTGAGACACGAGATCAGATGCAACTGTCGTGAGAGCTGAGTGAGATGATTTGGATCGAAGACAACTGATGGAAGGCAGTTAACGCCAGCTCTCGGGAAATAAGGTATGCTCACGAGTGATAGGGGAAGGACAGTTACGAAAGTGATTTAAATGGGAAGGGCGGTTGGAGAGGAGATTTTTTAAATACCTAAGATAATATTTCTTATTGCGAAAATGCGCGGACTCTCCCTAAAAGACAAGAGTAACGGCTCAGGACTAATTACTTTAATAACAGTTGCTAGGAAATCCACAACACCACACCACTTTTAATTGCAGCCTAGTTGCTTATGGTTCACCTGTACTCCAGCACTAATTACAAAGATTAACAAGTGATCAATTTTAATTGATTCTACTTGTAGCTACTTTACAATGTTTATATCTTTCTAGAAAAGTTCTATGATTTTAAATTTAAAAATTTCTGACACTAGAAATTTAATTATCAATTATCTGATAGCACCTTTTTCTCTAATGTCCTGTGTATCACTAACATCGCTAACTCTTGGTTATCCTTATGTTCTGGATTGTTTCTTCTAACCAGCAGATGAATAAATTAACCCTGTCTATCGGGTATGATCATGAAAAGAGGCGAATCTAAAAACACTACGAAGGATCCATCACTTCGTCAAATTATGGGCAGAGTTTAAAATTTAAAAAAATGCAGTAAATTTTCTCTCGGAACCACAGAAAAATCGATGATTTACGGTAAGGCAAATGCAAGCAGTAAGACTTTTTCGATCAAAAGAAAACGGTCTCGGCACTTTTGTGATACGCTACGGCTCCTACGGGAACTAGAAAGACCTGGGTATTAGTGTATTCATGTGCACGTACAGCAAACTAACGCAAACAGATTAGCACTAGGATTATGCATACGATTCCAAGACGAGAGAGAAATTTGACGCTACTCGATCTGTTTAAATTCGTTCTTTCCCTCCTCACAGTCGTTTGTAGGATGGAAAGTGATCTGCCAACAAATGGAAAAGCATAGAGTATTCATTATTGAGAGTATAGAAAGAAAGACTTATTCAATATTGAGAATGTAGGTAGAAGGACCTCTCTCATAAAAGTGAGAATCTATTATATAGTGTTAGCTCAATCATAGGCTGCTTTTGTATATTTTAAAACCTTGTCGAAAAAAAAAAACGCTTAGAATCACTGAGCGGACTCCGCGGTTCCCTTAAAGAAGGAGGATGATTTGGACGAAACTTAACTTCCTAAAGTGAAGAACATCGTTCGAACTCCAAGGATGATCGAGAGCTTCGTTAGAACAATCACTGTTCAGAAGGAGTGTAAGGCTTGACCATAAGCAGGGGATTACATGATTCCCCGAGTTCACATTCCCTTTTTCAGCGGTCAGCACCTGTCGTTCCGATAAAAGGGTGCCGAGAGAGAAAGCTTTGGGAACGCAATTTCTATTCTTAATCTTAACAAATTGTGTTTGTTGGTCCCTACAAAAGATCCAGTAATTCTGCATTTTAGTTAACAACAAGGGTGGCACGGTGAAGAGGGGGAGGGGGGGAGGGGGGGAGGGGAGAAGGCATAGTAAGAAGGTAGGGTGTACAACGATTTGCCAAAAAAGATGGCCTCTTGATTTGGAGAAATTAAAGAGATATTTATACATTACAACATACCTCTCCACGGCGTCTGGTAGTTCTGAGCCAAAACCCCACACATATTCCACCGATGAAGACACCGACGAAGGTAGCAATTATAGCGTAAGATAAAGTGGAGAAACTAATCTGGGGGGAGGTTGAGCATTTTTCCTTTTTTGACTCTTGGCTCGTTTTGAATTCTAAAAGGGAAGTGACAACAGAATATTCTTATTGGGGTGAAAATACTTCAGAGGGTTAATTAAACCGAAAGACTAGCCAGTACTTTCTGACAACTTTGTGCAAAGATCATCCAGTTTCTGTTTCTTCAGTGGTCTCACTATGAGTATGAACTACTACCATACATCCAGCCTACTTAGTACGCTGTTAAAGAGAAGGCAAGTTACACGTACACGCGAAGGCCGACACCCGTAAGTTCTCGCCCAGAGTAGCGTGTCACAAACTTATTAGGATCCCTGAAGCAGAATAAATTTAAGCCTTGGGTTGGACTAAACAGAGAGAAGGAGTGAGAAGTGAAACATTTCTTTGCAATGTTTATTGGCTAGAGTCAATTGAATAAGCTAAAATTTCCAACAATGTAAGGAGTCTTACCTAACTCTTTTATGTACAAGAAAGCCGCTGACGATGTCTTCTCACCAGCACTGTTGCTTGCAACGCATTTATATTTGCCATTATCTTCTATCTTCACTTCCGTTATTATCAGCTGACTGTGATTATTTTTGTTATCTGAAACAACCCTGGCTCTCACATTGGATGTTACCGCATATGAGTCGTTGTTCATCCATGAGATGGCTGGTGTTGGAAGACCCATGGCAGTACAGTTAAAAGTTACATTGGAGCCAATGAAAACGCTTTGGTTCTTTGGGTTTTCAACCACCTCAGGAAATAGAAGGTGGGGTGCCTTTGTTGTGTCAATTGGACTTAAGTTTTCTGCAAAATAACCAATCAAGAGTACTATGGCAAGTAAGTAAAAACCTTGGGGTGAGGGGGGTTGGTAAGGGAAGGGGAAGGAGATAATCAAGCTAAAATAAACAGAATTTGCAGAAATA